CAGAACATACTTTCCAAAAGGATAGAAAATGTAGCCAGCAAATTGCCATAACACATAGCCGTACTCCTGGCAGCCAGGGGTGAAGCGTAGAGCAAAGCAAATAAGAGCACCAGCAGCACAAAGCAAGGCAAGCCACCAGCCGAATATGAGGGTCCAAAGTAGGTTGAANAATAACAGACCCAAGCTGACATGGTGACCAGGGGTCTGATGAATGTCACCTTCGGCTGTAACCTGAACGGAGCGACTCTTCTTGTACAAAGCAGGCTTCCAGATACGGATACCGAAAGGATGTGTCTCGTTGATGGCTTCTTGCCTGTCCTTCAAGGTGAAGCTCTCGGCGTCGCTCAGGTCGGCGTCATCGTCGCCATCATCCCTCATCATTGTCGTCGTCGTCCTGGTCTTTCGCAGAGTTGTAGGCTTCCTCTTCTTCCTCAGGATTNNTATTGTGGCCTCGGTGTCGTCAGAGTCGGCGTGTCTGTGTGCCTCGGCTGTCTGAGGCCTGGATGGTGGGTCGTCCTCCCGTTCGTCTGATTCGACTCTTGAAAGATGTGGTGGCTGGGCTGTTGGTCGTCTGCGGAGTGTTGAGTTCTTGGACTTCAGAACATGGCTGGATGATGACGAAGCCTTGTCCTGCTGAACCTCGTTCACATCGTCATCCACCGAGAACTCTTGACCACGCTTGGGTCCGGCTGATGAAGTACGCTTTCCGAGAGAGGGTTTCTTAGGGGTGCCGCGGGTTGATGGTTGAGGCGAGTTGAGAGGTGGCCTTGTGTGAGAGGCCATGGATCCNTGCGAGTGTTATTAGCTAAGGATGATGGGCAGGCAGCCAGATGTTGTAGGCTTACCATAGTTCACGGGTCCGAGTCTCTTCTTGGATGCATCGGGCTTTGTGTTTGGGTTGTACGTCTGAGCGCGAAGGTCGTCGGGCGCAACAACGGATTCGGCGCGTGACGGAGGGCGGTGAGAAGCGGCGGCGCTGCTGCTATCTCGTAGGCTCTGCGTTGATGTATGCAGGGCGGTGAGGGAGCTTTGGGATGTCTCTCCCCAGTTGGACTCCTGTGACGAATGCTGCTCGTCCTTGGGTGCCATGGTTCCTGTCGTGTATACTCTGCTATGGCGCGTGGAGCGCTGCTGCTGGAAAATTGCTCAGTTGCGCATCAAAAGCAATCTTGATTATGCCGGATTGTTGATTACGAGCCCAACCACGCTAAGTATATCAAAGCTGGGTGACTCGGTGCCAGATGACTCCTTGTTAGTGACTGTATTTTCTACTCACGCGACAGCAACACTTCAGCTGGGCGTGCAAGTCGTTTTGAACTGCAGATACAAAAAAGCGGCCATCTTGTCGCTATTTACAATGACCATGCATCAAGGTCCACGACACGCCATCCCTGATTTGCCGTCTCCAATAACAAAGCCAACGGCTTCTTCGGTCCTTGAATAATGTCAAAGCTCTCGTCTTGAAACTCGGCCTCCCATCAGAACATGTCACCGTACCACACACCGACCCTCTGTCTGTGAAAATTCTTGCCTACTGCTGTCTGTCTTTTGAATCATGCGAAAGCTGTCTAGCATCCGTCTTTCCAGCTCTTCCGAGCAGCTTGAGACCGTCGTTGAGAAATGACGCTCACCCTTCCTTCCCCACACAGCATCCATGTCCTCCCGCAGCCCTGCACATCTTTACTCCTGCACCAGACTCCTTTTCCACTTCACCATCTAATTCTTTACGGGTACTCGTCACAAAACGTCTGCGCTTTGCCATACGTTAGTCCGCTCTTATCTAGGCTCGCTCTGCCTCTTCAACTGTCGGCCCGCTTCCGATCGCCATCGAACCCGCCAGCCAGGTTGAAATCTTGTTCATTCACCGCCGTCCAGCCGTCAGAGCTGTTCTTCTTGTAGCAAGCTCCATTTGTTTCACCGCCGAAAGCACAGAACATTCTTTCCAAGAATCCAACAAGCCAAGAAGACCTTCAACAACTCTTCTTGGCCGTGGATATGTATATTCGGTCCATGTCGCCATCACTAGACAAAAATCGCATACCTTTAGAGCTTGTCGTCCTGATTGATTGATGTTCGCCAGACAGGCTCAAGACCACCTTTAGGAAGCAACGCTTGAAAGTGCCCGAGAACATGCACAGTACTCCATGTCGGCTCTAACAAGCCTCGTGTAAGATGAGTTCGTTTGCACCAGTTTCTGACTCACTAAAAACCAACCAGCATACATCTCGCGTGTGTCACTCGAGCTCTTCTATAAGAAATGCTGCTTCTTTCTCTTGCTCTTGATTCTCTTTTATGACGCCCTGGCACCACAAATTGGAGTTTTGTGTTCTCTACAGCAACGCGACAGGATTCAAAATGGCTACTTCACCATTCCCATTCATGAGACTTCCTGCCGAGATCCGAATCATGATCTATGAGGCCGTCTCAGACGACTGTGATCTGTTCTACATGATGAAGTACCTTCTACATGGGAAATCGGATAGACGTTTTACTCGAGTCTCTTCTGGAGATCGCACAGATGTACGATCGGCTAAAGGCATACTCTCGCTTCTCATGACAACGCGTCAAATTCAAGCTGAAGCGCTGCGTGTCCCCTCCGGATTAAAACTATGTGTCACGGTCCCAAAAGGAATCAACAGGTGGGAAGCCGCGGTCGTCAGAGGCACTACAGAGAACGTTACACCATTCAATACAGCATTCAATGAGTCTCCCAGATCCTACGAGTGGCCGTGGAAGACGTCTTCCGGAACGCAAGAACTGCTGATACAATGCTTCAGCTCTCTGACCCTAAGCGTAGGATTGGGAGACTACGTCATGCTCACAATCAACATCTCCTCCAGAGATCAGATAAGCGTCGACATATACCTACATCCACATCCTGACCGAGAAAGTAATTACTGCAGCAGGCCCATCAACTATGTTGGACTGAACGAAATGAACGACGCGGCCATCGCGAAACTCAAAGCCAAAACCTTGCGTAGAGTCAGAGCGTACAAGCGCTTGAGTCGAGAGCTGGTCCAAGACATCGTCGGCGACTTGAGCAGAGTGGGCTGGCACCCCTTCCCGAAAAAAGAGTAGCCACCTCTGACAACTCACCAGAATACGACGAATACGACTTGCTATGGCACATATCCGTACCTGGCACTTCTGCACCTGACGAGAAGAAGCTGAGAGAGGCAGAAGCAGAAATGGCGAGCTAATCAGCTCTGGCAAGCCTCGTGTATGGTGAGTTGGTTTGCACCGATTTTCTGACTCACAATTAGCAAGACAGTCAATATCTTGCGTGAGCTAACGTGAGGTCTTCTGTACTTCCTCTACTCTTGGTCCTCTTCCCCGGCCATATCCCACTACAAAACTCAAATTCTGTGTTCGCTGCTAACAGCACGATGCCATACGAAATGGCTACATCAACAACTTCCTTCATGACACTCCCTATCGAACTCCGGATGATGATCTATGAGTTTGTATTGGGTGGTAGTGACCCATTCAAAACATTGTATTATCTTGTACAAGCAGACTTTTGGACCTTCAAAAGATACTGCTTTCATAATGTACCTCAGCAATGTTCTGTGGACCCTTCTCTGAAAGATCCTTGCCATTGCGACGCCTGTACGAGGTACAGAGCCTTAAAATGCTCTCGCTTCTCCTGACTTCACGCCAGATTAGAGATGAAGTGCTTTTCACTGTCCGTCATCTTCTACGCCTCCGACACGAAACTAGGCTTTTTGTCGAAGCGCAAAGAAGCTACAGAGGCTGGAAAGCAGCAGTCGTCCAGGACTCAAATGACACCCCGACTGATTTTGTGGTTCCTGCTGTCGGTCTCACACCTCGCGAGCTCTTCTCCAAAACGAAACGCCCCTATTTTCACTGGCTCACGAACATGTCTGCCTGGAGGCAGAACTTGTTATTGCAAGCCTTCGACTCTGTGACCTTCAGCGTGTCATGGGTTCACTACTTCATGGTGCAGATTACGATCACAGTCCCTGACAGCGGTCAACAAAGTGTTGATGTACGCCTGTTGCCACACCCACAATGGAGGGACGGCTTCACGACATACCCTAACGAATACGTCGAGCTGAAAGGGAAAAACGACACTGCCATCGCGAAACTCCAGGCTGGAATAGAGCGCAGAGTCAGAGCTGGTCCAAGAATCGACAGAGAACTGATTAAAGACGTTGTGGGCATCCTGAGCAATGTCGGATGGCATTTTTATTCCCAGGAAAAGATACTCTTGATTCTCATGACTTGGACGGTACATTCAAAACTATGTGGCATATATCAGTCCCTAGCACTGCATCGTGGGAAGAAAAGTTGTCCAGAGAAGCGGAAAGGATGTGGTGCGCAAGCTTGGCCATGAATTGAATTACTCGTGTTGCAGTATGTAAAGTCTGTTTTATAAGTAGTTTGATCGGGCCACTTGGTCCTACTAAGACTCTATATACAATAAATTTCTTGCTAGGGCAACAGACTCGGTTGAAGTCCGTGATTTGCGATATCGTAAATACTCGAGGAACATTTGAGGGAATGAGAGACATCCGTGGCCTCTCGCCAGTCTCCTCTGCACGCGCTTCCCATCTGCAAAGGTCGTGGATCTCTATGACTCTACCTTCGGTCTGTATCGTCGTAAGACTAAGGTCAAGGAGTCGAAGGTCTGCGTCTTGCAACGTCGCCGCTCTCCCAAGCATAACTCTCGAAGAGTGCTAGTTGGCCAGCGACTGCTTGCTTTTGATCCGAGAGTTTCGAGTTCGCAGAAGACTCTCGTGACTGCAGTTTTGGAACTGAAATGAGGCTTGTCAAACTCCATCAACATGAGTTTCCCAGCATGTTAACCACGGTTTGACCTGTCCGACGCCGCTTGTAGCGACTGCCTGTCCAGTTGCTGCATCGAAATGCTCCTCAATCAACGGATCAGGTGTCCCTAGGGCTCAGGACTACGTTCTGCCTGGATATCGAGTACGACCGAGAATTGGTTTGATCTTCATAGAGACGCAGTCATCCATTTATCCACCTTTTGAACCCTGTGCAGCGTGTTTCTGCTTCAACATCTTCTCCGTACGCATGAATTCTCTCATCCCGACGGGAACATTGGCAAATGGATCCATCTCTTCCTCGTTAACCTCACTACCCCCAGTCCAAAGAGTCTCACTACCACCTCCATCATCATCCATACTGCTTGCCAAAGCAGCAGGCATATCAGCGCCCTGCGGTTGTTGTGCTCTTTGCGCCTGCATCTTCGCCTTCGCCTCCTTAGTCTTCGCACTCCACTCCTCAGACTCCTCGCGATAGATATCCCACACGCAATTTACACATCCACTCATACAACAATCATCGCCCTCTGGTTCTTTTGGTTTTGGCGGCACAAACACACCAGCGATTTCTTTACTATGTGCCTCTATCTCGTCTTTGCGTTCGCCAGGCCCCGCGAGACGTGATCCAAACACTATACGTGCTTTCTCTAGCGTTTCCTCTTTGTCGGTTTTGGGGAGTGATTCGGCGGGTGGTGGTGTTGGTGCTGTATTGGTTTGCGGTTGGATTTCTTTGGTGGGTGTGTTTTGTAGTTCGTGGTTTAGGGTTTGGCGCGAGGAGAGTATGTCGGCGTAGTAGCCTGTTAGAGGGTAGACTTGGTCGTCCTTGTTTTTGGTGTCGTTGCTGCGGTGTCGAAGATGTTGCAGCGAGGGTTTGTATATTGTTCGAGGTATGGACGCTTTCCGAGATTGGGCGAGGCGGATCGCATGCCGTGTTACGACGCGTTCCATGGTTTTGTGTGTTTCGTGTTTGTGGATATTGAGCACGAGGGCAGTAACAAGAAAGAAGTTGTCTATCGATCCGCAGGCTACGTCATTGAGACTTCCTATGGTTGATGCTGTGGGTACGACCCTGGCTTGGATATCTATACCACCAGCAAAAGATATTTACTCTCGCATCAGCATACAGGCAATAAACGCGCTGTAAAATGCACGATTGTTTCCAGGTCTAGGGAAGCTTACAGAGAAGACATGTCAAATTGAGGTTCTCGCCTAGTCTTATCCAATCGTGGAATAGTTTGTGCATTTCTACACGTACAATTGTTCAATGTAGCACATCAAGAGCAAGCGGGCACTTGAGAACATCCAGCCTTATGCTCGAGAAGCATCAGGGCAAGTCTAGAACATGACCGCATCCTATATCGCGTGCTTATTCCCTAAAAGTATCATGTCTCTCGACAAACTATCGAAATGAGAACAATGAACTAGGAAATTCACAGAGAAAACGGAGCGCACTGCTCTTGAGCCCGAGGCGTCGCTTCTTCCGAACGCGATCGAGAACCGTGAAGTCCTTCCGTAACCAGACTGAGCATCAACGCAAGATCGAGCATGTCGAGAGAGCAATTTCGACGTCGACCTGGTCTTCGAACGTCGGTCTTAGAATTTTCTCAAGAAATAGTGGACGGAAGTCATGTCGAGAATGGGGGCAGATGTGAAGGAGAACTCGGATTGGCAAGTAGAGAAGGTCAAATTCTCGTTGCTGAAGTTTTTGGTCAAACTGTAGTAGAGGAGACTTTTAAGTAGGTCTAAATATGCTGGCCCGTGCTAGCATGTGAATCGATGTTGTTGTTTGATATTGTGTGTTTCCTACTTTCTCCCGAATGCCAACACATGTAACACGAGTAGCTATAAAAATGCACGATAGTAACAGGATACAAGGTAGTGTCCACTGAGAAGCAGCAATCTGTCGACTCTCTGTGGACACGCCTCTACCCCGAAACAACTGTGCCTTTTTATAGGCTACTTTTGCTCTTAGTTGGAGTCGGAGTACAGGGAAAGTAACAGACCTTCAACAAGCGCTACTGAATCGCAATAATATTTGGTGGACTGGCCACACCACCGGGAACCNNTTTGTGTAGCACTATTAGTGGGTTTGTCTCTTGAGCATGACGTGATGTACCAACATTGCAAGGTTCGCTGGCGACAAAGAAGCTATAACGAGCGCTTTTCTTGCATTGGACAGACAACGCTTCAAGGTCAAAGAGTTCGCCAATCGGACAGCCCCAACCAGCCAGGNNGAGGACTTCATGAAGCATATATGGCTGGGAAGACGCTGTGGAACATATCAGTCTCGAATATACAGAGTATCAGAAGAAGAGGTTGGAGCACATACGCCAGCATTCAAATGATGGTTGATCTCCAGCGACCGCGGAAAAGTTATCCCAGATCCAGTTCAACATCTCCGTACTCTGTTCCACACCTAGAAAAGTCGGCGGCATGATTTTGCTAAGAGCTTCGAGCTCGTCGCCAGAACGTTTGTTGTACTGAGCCATGTATCCAGAACGAATGGTGAGGATGTCACCAAACTTGATCTCTACGCCTTCCCACTCAGCGACTGCTTTCAGCTCGGACAAAGTGATGACGCCAGGTTTGAATGCATCCTTGAGCGGATGATTGTGTTCTTCTCGCCAGGCTTCATAGTCAAGAAGAATACCACGACCGATGATGCCTTCTTCGCTCCAAGCTCCGATTCCATTGATGGTTGAATCGTCACTGTGTATGTCATCCAGAGTTACGCCGTTGTAAAACTTCGCTTCTTTCTGATAGGCGAAGTGTCGAAGGCCGTCCCCTACATGATTAAGTATTTGTCACGAGCTTAAAAGCACAGGGTGCATACATTGGCTACTACTCTGGGTGTTGAAAGTCCAGACATCGTCGTTAACGACGCGAGGCGGCTTCTGATAGACATGTTTGTGGAAAACCTGACGACCGAAGAATGGTATGTCGTTCTGAGCATCCAGTGGCCAGTTCAGAGAGATCCTATCAATCAGTCAGGCACAAGCTCAAGATATGTCACAGTGGAGTGTTCTGGTGAGCGAAATATGTTAATCGATAAGACTGTATACTTACCTTGTGCCGGACTGGATCTCTTTGGCTGCTTCTTTAACCAAGGCGTCGGTCAACCGATTCAGAAAGCCTAGCTGATCATCTTCCCCATATCTGAGTTGCTTAGCATGGTCAATCCAGGACTAGGAAGACGACAACGCTCACAGTCCCCAAGCGTTCAAGAATGGACCTTTCTTGTCCACAGGCAAATCGTCAAAGGTAGGTATAGACTTCACGGACATATTGGACAACTAAGATTTTGTGTATGAAACAGAGAAGAGCTTCAGAGAAACAAGAGCTAGCCACTCACCAAGACCTACCTGTAGTTGATATAGAAAGATCGGCAGCCGAGGAACCGACACAATGCGGGGAAAGCAATGTTTGCCTGCGCGCGTCCGCGCAACGAATATGGACCGCGTAACGAGCATTGTCAGTGTCACCAGATGGCATTGAATCGATCAAACGTCAGGCGATAGTCAAAGTCAGAGGGTGACGATTCAGATTGATGGACAGAGGTGAGCAAATCCGGCATGTGGTTCTTGAATGCAAGACTGCACGATCGTGCTGCAGTGACATTTCGATTGTCGCAATAATACACGAGTATTCAGCTGCATGGGTATTTTCAAGCGTACTCGATCAGTGAAGTGGCGGCGAGTCCAATGAGAGCAGCTGCGACTCGAAGAGTAACGCGATAGCGTGAGACGTTTGAATGAATGGTGATCAGAGTCTGATGTGGCTGTTATGGAAAGAACGAACGTGATTCGAGCAAGTATCAAGAATAGCTGGAAAACTCTCGGGAGTTGGCGGCCGAAGCAAGCTTGGCCCGCATGCTCTCGATTTCAAGAACTTGTGACTTTGGGGACGCGCTTCATCACCAAGTTTTTCCCTCGACTTCCATTATAACCCTTCTACCCATTCTACCATCCGACCAATTCTTCAACCACGGTCGCAAACCACTTCAGAACTAAACATACATCTAAGATAGTGGAAAAGTGAGTCCCTGCCCCAAGAAACGCAGCAATCATTCCTCATACCCACCCAATCCATTCCTTCGCGCAATCACTCAACGGACGCGTTTTGCTGATGACATCTAGTGGCTGGTGTTAAATACATCAAGAAGACCAAGGACGTCGAAGCCGACGCGCCTAAGAAGACCACAGCACGCGCAGCTGCCAACACAAAGGCAAAGGTCGCCGCTAAGAGCGACACTGAGGCCGAAGACAAACCCGCCACAACCACAGCCAGAGGACGTGGCAGACCGAAGGCAGCCGACACAAAGGTCGCAAAGTCAGAAGAGGGTGCGTTGCACCACGTACGACAAGTCTCGATCGATCGACAGGCTAAAACAATGTCAGAAGCCCCCAAGAGAAAGCCCGGCCGCCCAAAGAAGACTGAAGAAGCTCCGGCTGCAGTAAAAGCAACCGTGGCTTCCAGAAAGCGCAAGGCCACTGCTACTCCTGAACCCGCCGTCGCGAAGAAGGCAAAGGTTGCACCCAAGGGACCTGTCATCAACGAGGCTCCCACCCAGCGCCTGGATGTCTTTGTCTGCGGAGAAGGTTCATCTGGTGAATTGGGTCTCGGTACATCCAAGAAGGCTATCGATGTCAAGCGTCCGCGTCTTAATGCCAACTTGACTGCTGACTCGGTCGGTGTCGTACAAATCGTCGCTGGAGGTATGCACGCCATGGCATTGACCCACGACAACAAGATCCTCACCTGGGGTGTCAACGATCAGGGTGCTCTTGGAAGAGATACAACGTGGGAGGGTGGTCTCCGTGACGTCGAGGATGAGGAGGATTCCGACTCTGACGATGACGGCGACTCGGGCATGAACCCCAAGGAGAGCACACCTACCGCCATCTCATCCGACATCTTCCCCGAGGATACTGTCTTTGTCCAAGTCGCTGCAGGTGATTCGACGTCCTTCGCTCTTACCGACGACGGACAGGTCTGGGGTTGGGGCACCTTCAGAAGCAACGAAGGCATCTTCGGCTTCACAGCAGATGTTCTCGTTCAGCGCACTCCCATGCTCATTCCCGGACTCAAGAAGGTCAAGCACATCAGCTGTGGTGCCAACCACGTCCTCGCACTCGATGCAAATGGCGCCGTTTTCGCCTGGGGCTCAGGCCAACAAAATCAGCTCGGTCGCCGCGTGGTCGAGCGCACAAAGACACAAGGTCTCGTACCCAGAGAGTTCGGACTCCCCAAGAAGGCCATCAAGTACATTCAATGTGGTGACTACCACAGCTTTGCAATCGACAACAAGGATCGAGTTTGGGCGTGGGGTCTCAACAACTTCGGTGAGACCGGTGTGCCTGACAATGCTGGTGAGGATGATGCTGTTGTTCTCAAGCCCGAGATTGTCGAGACCCTTTCTGGCAGACAGGTCAGCTGTATCAAGGGCGGTGGTCACCACAGCATTGCCGTGACTGGCGCTGGCGAGTGTCTGGTCTGGGGCCGTCTTGATGGTGGTCAATGTGGTATCCCTACTGCAGACTTGCCCGAGGACGATTTGATCAAGGACGAGCGCGGCAACCCCCGCATCCTCAAGAACCCTACTGTTGTCAAGAGCATCCCAGGCAAGGTCATTTTCGCCACCGCCGCATCAGACCAATCGTTCGCCATTACCGAGGAGGGCCATGCCTATTCATGGGGCTTCTCTTCCAACTACCAAACTGGTCAGGGCACGGACGAGGATGTCCTGGTTGCTACCAAGATCGACAACACCGCAACCCGTGGCAAGATGCTCAACTATGCAGCAGGTGGTGGTCAATTCAGCATCCTGACTGCTCCTGCACAGCCTGCCACCAACGGCAGTGCTTAAAGGAGCGGCAAAAGCAAGAGATGAGCGTGGATCATGATGGGACTATGTCAATATTTCCTTTTACTCTGGCGACACAATGGGGCGGAACTAGCTCTCCCAAAAGCGGCACAGGCAGGACACACTTTAAACAAGCATTGTTATGTGATATCTTCTTGCTACCACCATGATGTGCGATCCAGCTGTCTTACGTAGAATGTAATGAATACGAAGGTACGTTCTAAACATGTACAGCAATTCAATCCCCTTCGGCTGCTCAGAAGAGTCTCCTTAACATCATACTGGACCACCAAGGCCCATGATCAATCTATTCGAGATGCAGATCTGCACTCATGCAGCACAACTCAGACTCCTAACCAACTCCACTGGCCTCAGCCTCGCCTGGCTTTCTCCCTCATTAACAACTTCCTCTCTGACTTTCGCTCCCTTAGCCACAACAACAGTGCTTCTCCGTTTCAAGCCCCTGTTTCTGGGTGTGTTGCAAGGCGTAGTGCCTACATCTCCTAACTCCTCTTCTTCTTCAGCTTCAGCACTGTCTGGTCGCGGTGTCTTGATGCTGCAGTTGTACAATGAAGAGTCTGTAGGGTACAGAGGAGACACAGTAGTAGGCGTGTGAGAAGACGACGTATAAGAGTATTGGTGACGGGATAGGCGATGAGATACTGTAGGGAAGGAAGTACGGAACTGGCGAAGAGTCCAGCGGCGCATGCTTGCTGTGTAGGTATCTAGGTCTGCAGCGCCAGGGTGGGCATGAGGTTCTTCGATTTGTGGAGATGTTTGTTCTGTTGCTGGGTGAGAGTGACGACGTGTATGTTTCGTCATGCTCTCGAAGGCCTGGGAGTGTGGAAGACGGGAATGGTTCTTGCGTGGGTAGAGAAAGGAGACCATGGTTGAATTATGTCCGTTCGAAAAGTTTGGAAGGAGGGAAGAAGGGCAAAGAAGGATTATAGTGATGCTTTGGGACTCTCGACTGCTTTCTACCTCTTTTTCCTTTGCTCCATCCGTCCATCAGCAACTTTCTTGCCATGTCATCATCGCACTTGGCTGAAACCAACACACGGCATAGAATCTCTTTGCTGTTCTTGCCATCCTGCTGCCAGAACTATCTCACGGGCCGAGTAGACGGTACCGAAACACAATTTCAAGCCGCGTCTTTCACGAAAGCGGAGGCGAGACAAAGAACATTTGCCATCAAAAGACTATGGGGGTGGCGGGATGGCAAACTTTCTTCTACATTCCTTTGTGCTTCTCCCGCCCCTCATACCGGTTGCAGTAGCAACTTCACGGGTTGTGAAATGGTTACGTAGGTTAGGTGAGCATATACATTCCTTGCGTTTCAGCATAGCAAACATCTGAGAAAAGCTAAGATTAGCAATCGATGAAAACAAACAAGTGGTGAGGTATGCAGGTGTACCGAAGATCTGGGTTAAGTTCTAGTCGAAAGCAGCAATAGGAAGCAGGGAGACATAGAAAAGGGAAGGGGCGAGCAAGGAACAACTTAGCTTCCTTCATACCACTCCTTAGGTTTTCTCTCCAGACTTAGACACTGTCCTTTTCTCCATTTTACGGGTTCAAGTCGATATAGAAAGAATCATGCGTTCATCAACTTTGTTCTTTGCTGGCCTTGTGGCTGTAGCACAGGCTCAGATCAGCGCCGATATCATCGCTCAGATCCCTTCTTGTGCAACTGGTCCACTGGTTTCCGGTATCGCAGCCTCTGGTTGTCAAGTCACAGACTCGGCTTGTATTTGCGGCAACCAGACGCTCATTTCCAACCTGAAGACCGCCGTTCGGGCGCAGTGCAGTGAAGCCGATCTAGCCAGTAAGTATACGACACACGTCTCTTGGAGACAAGAACGCAAAAGACTGATTCATGTAAACAGAGGCTCTCGCAGTTACCGCCCAGATCTGTCCTCAAGCCGCCGCACCAGCAGCTGACGCCGCATCCTCGGCCTCTGAAGTCGCGACATCTGCCGCCGCTGCCGCTTCCTCCATCTCGTCGGTTGCGGCAACTGCTGGTATCACCACTGATGCTGGTAGCCCTGTAACCACTGCCCCTTCAATGGGTACAGGCAGTGCCATGATCAACTACACCGCCACAACTGGTGACTACACTGCCCCTTCCACACCCACCGTTACCCCCAGCACTGGTGACGCTGCTCAGAGTTTCGGTCTGGGATCCATGGTCATGGGAATCGCTGCTTTGGGTATGTTTTTCGCTGGCCTCTAAGCATTCTTTTCGTAGCGGCTAAATTGTGGTGTTTTTGTGGAATAGGGGCATTTCTTGTAATGTGTAATTCGAGGCATACTGCCTTGATGTAGTCTCTCATTCGAAACAATTCTCCTTTGTCATTACTTGGTTGTCTTGTCAAAGAGCTTCAACAATAAGAGGACTTGTTCAGAGGAAAGATGTTGCAAGTAATACATACCCTTTCAGAATCTCGTATCTGCATTGAACGTTCGTCTCTATGTTGTGTGTATGCGCATAAATCATTTTTCTGGTTGAGAATGGAGAAGCGCGAGAAAAAAAAAGAAGTATGAAAAGCAGACCTGATATAAGAAAAAGAAAGTCGCAGGCATGCGACAAAGGAACAGGCGTATGAGTTTGCCAACATCGCAAACTCTGGAAGAGCAAAAGAAAAACAAGCACCGTAGGCAGGAGTCGAACCTGCGACCTCCCGATCCGCGAGATAGAGAATTAGAAACTTAGGTAAGCGAGTATTAGGGACTTAGGTAAGCGGTTTTAGGGGTTACTGGATCGGGCGTGCTACCGCTGCACCACCACGGCTTTCTTGGCTTGTTGGAGGGGACAGGAAAAGATCGTATATAAAGGTAGGTGGAAAAGGGTGGATGGTTGCGGGAGCGAGGTTGCATGAGGGAGTTTCTCTGGTCAGCAGGCGTCAGGGGTGATCAGTGCTCAACTTCTGGAAAGACAGCGCCGACGACGACAATGCCAGACTTGAGTCTTGAATACTTTCGACAGACCTGTACTTCGACTTTCGGCGAGTAACTATTGACCTGGTTCACTAGGAGCCTGATCAGAATTGTACAAGGGTCTAACGAGCCCAGAGCGGTCAGTCTATAATCCAATATGTATGTATACAACAAACGAAGACGAGGGATTTCATCGGAAACACAAACGACAGCGTTTTCAATATTCGCGGCTCTCGCCAATATCGCAAGTATCAAAGACGCCTGTTTCAGGCAAGTCTTTCCAGGCCATAGCCTGCTTGAGTACCCTCGGAGGTTCGAGGACGTCTTCTTCGGTGAGAACCCATGTGCCNTGTGATATGTCAGTAAGCTTGTCCATGATATCTTATCATCGATTCTTACCCCAATGTATGCCAAGTGCTTTCTTGCATTGTGTGTCAACGAAAATGTTGACGCTGTCAAAAGGATTGGCGTGCATAGGTGACATGATGAAACGAGGGTCATATGCTCCGATAGGGATCAAGCCCAAGTCAAAGGGGCCTCTAAGCTCTCAATCTCCCTTGAATGCAGGACATGTCGGGTAAGTGTACTTCTCATCATAGTCGTTCTCTTCTTCGGGAAGGTCAGGGACCGAGCGGTATCCGGTATCTCCACCAAACCAGATCTTCTTGCCGCCGCTCTCGACACTCCACGAGCCCCACAGTGTATGTGACTTATCGAAGGGCGTACGAGCACTGGTGTGTTGGCAGGGCAAGCAGCCAATGACAGCTTTGATATCTTCAGCACCTCCTGCATTCACGGTAGAGCTGGTCTCAGTGTGTGTAGCTTCTGCGTCTTGCTTCTTTGCTGACAGAGTAAAGTCTCGCGACTCCCACCAATCCAGCTCGGTCATGTTCTCGATGCCGCACTTTGTGAACCATGCTTTGTTGCCCAATGGAGCCCAGAAATGAACATTGGGATGCTTCTCTTTGATTTTCATGATGGTAGGATAGGATAGATGGTCGTAGTGACTGTGGGAGATGACAACTGCATCAATGATGGGAATGTCGGCGACGTCAACGGGGCATGGTGTGTATCGTTTGGGGCCCATAAAGCTGAAAGGACTGCATCGTGGCTCGAAAACGGGATCGAAGAGGACTCTGAGGCCACTAGGGAACTCGACGTAGTAACAGGCATGTCCCAGCCATGTTGCTCGTAGTGTTTTGGTCTCGCGTGTGGGCAGGAACTCTGGTCTCTGTACAGTTACGGTGGGTGGTGTCGTATCGGGAGTCTTTGATTTGCCTTTGAGTTTTCGCCTACATGATAGTGGTCAACAACGTGTTATACAACGACCAGGTAGAATTGTATACCAAATCAAGGCAGAGATGATCTGTGGCGCTGTGCGGTCGACGTATGACTCCCAAGGATTAATGAAACCCTTTCCATTCTTGTTGTGATGGCGCAATTTGCCAGTGTCTTTGGGCACAGCACCAGTGGCTCGTGAAGAGGATGAGACTGTTGCGTACAAAGCCGACGAAGTTGTTGACGATGACATTCTGGCGCTGCTATGGAACAAGCTTTGTTGATGCTTGACGATCTTTGCAGCAATTGATGGATTGCGCAACCGCTGAGTCGAGAGCATCACACCAAGCAGCAGGCCACCTGCCTCGATATATACTATACAATAAGGCTACGATGTAGGAATGTCATCCGCCAGCTCCGGACCAAAGAAAACTGCGAACCTTATCTCCGAAGAATGGCTTTAGGCAGCTCAATTTACCTATGCATTGTTCATGGTCGACACTGGATTACGATTGTGAGACGGATAGATGTAAATCCCGGAGGAGCTGAGCTCGAGGACAAATCAACGAGTGATCCGATAAGAATTGACAGGTCGACGAGACAATCGAACCTTCTCTGTCCGGAGGTGGTCAGCAACCAAGCGCTTGCGACATGCGGGCGCTCATGTGAAAAAAGCGGAGGCGCGTTACCTTCGTGTCTAGGCGCATACCATCCGTCCACCTCCATCTTACCATCTGGTAGACATCATATAGCATCGCACATAGTCATTATCCTGATCGCGTTGCCGTAGTCGCCAAGCGAAGCGTCTGTCGCCATGGCGCCTCAGTGTCAGGCGTTGTACGTGTCGGATGAACGGCGATGCAGCGAGGAAGCTACCAACGTCAATGGCCTGTTCTGCTCCTTCCACGCAAGACAGGTCTACAGTAAGCATGAGCAGCTTCCCGTAAAGCCTCAAGACGTGGGTTAACACGACNTAGGTTTGTACAAGGGTTACAAGCGTAGAGGTGCCCAGTTAGATGCTTTGCAGAAAGATCCTCCTTCCTACCTTGCCGACCATCCACTTCATAAGATTACCTTTGACGACATAGAAGATGAGGAGACTCTCAAAACCCTGCACGCCTATCTCTTCAAGCAGAATGGCTTGCTCGATCGCTGCATTCGTGCTCGTAAGCTCCACCACTCTCGATTCTACGCTCTCGAGCTCGACTATGGTCACCAACACTACCTGGACCACCTCATCAGCGAGAAGCACAATACTGGCCGTGCCCTTGAAAGACTCGAACGACGAACTGCCGAAGTCCTGTACAGACAGCAACAGTGGTTCGGTTGGGTCCGTAATCTTGAAGACGATGAGGAGAAGGAACGCGATGCCGAAAAGAAGAAGATTAAGCAAGAAGCTGCCTTATTCAGGCGTCACTGGAAGGATGTCTCCGCTCGTATGGACAAGTTGAGGCAGAAAGAGAACGAAAAGAGACAGGCAGAATACCTTGAGAAGGTTTGGGAGGAACGTAACAAGTTCGAGGCCGACCTCACTGCTGAAGGAGAAGGCGGCGAGGAATGGGATCCCATCGAAGATGTGGTCGAGGATGAACGCGGCAGCTATATCGACCTCATTCGACGCTTCTTGTGGCTCGCAGAGCCCGTCACCGTGTCGTCGAACGACCCAACCCCTCACGAGCCTGCTGCCACGAGTNGCCTCAGGCTCCAAGGAAGAGAACAAGGCCCTGAACCTGCTAACAAGCAGTCTCCTACCAAGGACTCCCCTACCTCTCAGGCACTCGTGGAGACGAACAAATCCAAGAACGCCAGAAAGAAAGCACGTCAGAAGGCAAAGGCCTTGGAGGAAAAGGCGGCAGTGCCCTTGGCCATTAGAACGACACAGGAAGTCACAAAGCCTGGTGAAGTCCACATTGAGACACCGGAAGAAGTTCGTACTCGCCTGCGCGAAGGCCAGACCATGAACGGTGTGCTACAGACTTTCGACCCTGAGGATCCCGCGAATACGCAATTCCTTACGGACAAGACTTTCCCTCTCGCTGACGACGAGATCAACACTCTAATGCAGCAAATCCCTGACATCAAGCAGCTGTTGTTCTGTCGATTATTGCTTGGTTATGCCAGTCTGCTGCCAGCGGCCTTGCGAGCTGAGAACGTTGAGGAGTTCCTCTCCGACTCGTCCGTGACCAATGCAGAATTGAGAGATCTGTGCCTGAAAATGGAACAGCCTGGACTGCAACAGTTACGTGACGCGTGTGCTGATCTTGGTCGTGAAGATGACGAGCCTGACGACGATGATGCCGCGCCTGCTGCAAGCGCTGAAGCACCTGCTGGACGCACAAAGTTTACATCAAGACCTATGTATCCTGTCAAGAACGTGAAGACTAGGCGTGAGAAAGAGCTCAAGGAGAAGCGGGAGAGAACCATGCAGGACAATATGGATTCCACGACCTTTGTTGACTTTGGTGACGTGGACGATCAGCAACAGTATAGTATCAAGAAGATTCGTGTCAAAGTTTGTGGCAGATTCATCTACAACTATCGTAAGTGTTTGAAAGTCTTGTTCGAAGACCTAATCTAACATTTCATAGCCAGCGAGAAAGCTATGTCTAGAGGTGGATGGCTACAATTTTCAGTCATCGCCAAAGACTGTTCCTTGTTCCAGGCAGTAAGTCTGGCTCGAAGTTGGGATGAATTCTTCGAGCTCAACATCCTTACCTGCAATCACTACTTCCCTGCTGCCCAGTGGGCATCGTGGATCAGGAGTATAACGCATGAGCAACTGCTTCAATTTGGTTTTATTCCTTACTACCAGATGGATCAAGCGCACCATATGACATCGCATCATCAGACTGGATCTCGCGCTCATGGACAGCGTCGCACTCATCATGCTGTTGAGACTCGAAATTTTGTATGTGCTCACATGAAGCGTAACGATCCGGTCACTAGACGTTGGATTCAGTACGCCGTCATGGAGTCCTACAAGATGGCAATCATGGTTCGCGATGGTCGAACTGGCAATGTCATTGTCGAGCCACCCGAGGAACATAAATGGCTCATCAGAACCAAGTCCGGTGTTGGACGAGCAAGTCGAGCTGAATGGAAAACCGTCAAGGAGATCGACGACGATTTCTGGGACACAATCGACCGCTCCCGTAAGTGGCATCTCGGCTTCAAGGACTACTATGACATCGTGGTCTGGGACATTGAGAGCGGGGAACACTACTCCTCTCTGTACAACTCTATTCAAGAACTTCTCATCAGGGCTTTGCGATTCAGAGGTAAGATATTCCATTTCGCGTACCAATTCATATGCTGATATTGCTATANNGATCCAAAAGACTTCTACAAGCCTGCCGAGCATATCTTGCGCACGCTCACCCGTGACGAGCATCTTTCCCGTGCTAGAGACCTTCGCCCAGATGAAGTCGGCAAGGGGAAGAGCATCTGGGACTGGATTCATAGCGACAGTACCAGGATGAAATACTTCTCACGAGGCATCGACGGAAGCCACAGAGAAGAGGCACCTCCCAATTTGCTATACAAACAAGAAGATATGTTGGAGGACCAGGTTCTCTTCCCATGGGATCGCAGTTTGTGGACTGACGAGGAGGTTCCCGAAACGGCTAGCAAGGTCATCGCAGTCGCGAAGAAGGCTGCGGATCTTACACCAGCAAACTCAGGTCATGAGCTGATGTTGGCAGATGCCGATGCCGATTCCAACGCTGGCGACGAGGGTGTGCTTGCAAGTCAGACCGGCAAGATGCACAACTTCGAACACCACGGCCTGGATCTCAATCGCTGGATCAACGACCTCGACACCGACGAAGAGCTCAGCGATACTGAATATCAAGAAGTCTCAGAAGGTGAGGACGATGGCAGCGATTGGGAATCCGATGAGGAATATGCTGAAGGTGTCATTGAAGAACTCTCAGAAGCAGCCGGTGTAACCATCCGAGGCCGCTGGGTCGACGATCACAACGAGAAAGAGCCTAGATGGCAAGATATGGTTATGGCTCTGGAGCTGTGGGAAGACNCCTCCNTATCAAACCTCCGCGAAAACAAAGCCGTCGGGTATCGTGTACCAAGAATGCCTCCTAACGCAATGACCTCGGCAGGAGAGATGGAAGACATGAAGGCACAATGGGAGCTCTTCATCGACAGAACCAGAGCTAGCAGTTTCAAAGAAGCCTGGCACAAGGCTGACCTTGAACCTGGTGCTCAAGAGAAGTATGCCGAGACGCAGAAAATCATGAAAGCATATGTCGACTTCTTCGCCAAGGGGACCAAAGGTCCTTGGGCACCGGGTATGCTCGAGCGCCAGTTCATGCTCATGATGCTTTTAGAGATTGGACCAGACGTGCATCGCAGGGTCAAGCGCGACATGACATTCGCTAATGCCATGATGGCATGCTTCTTCGAGGGAAACAATCCCTTCTTTTGTNCCGAGGAAGGTCGTCCTTGGAGCAACTCTACGCTCTTTGACCAGGAAGCGCGCGCAAAGATGATCCCTGATGTACGCTCCTCCCACTCGAACCGCACTCGAGGCGCTGACCAGTGGAAGGNNGACTGGGACAAGGTCCGTCACGAGGTAATGAAGTCCGGGCAGNGAGCATTCCTGTGGGCTTCTGACAAGTACCCACAGGACTGGAAGTACATCACCAGACCCACCATAGCCCATCTCTACCGCCACGGTCTATTAGCACCACGCTACAAACCCGAGTACTCAGGCTGCGCCGTCGTCCTCGAGGAACCAACCAGACCCGACAAACCGGAACTATACTTCGACTTCCGCGAAGACGCGCAAGAGATGAAACCACGCCAACCCATGCAAGACCCACTCAAAGTCAAACCTCTGCTGGACTCAGCACGCGAGTACGCAGCCAGCAACCCAGACGCCTACTTCTCCTTCATGCGCATCTGGTCCGCCCCACACTTCTGGCCCTTGATGCTCGGCTACGACAACCGCGACGGCACCTCCTTCGCCGACGACATAGGCCGCACCTGGGAGTGGAAATTCGTCCCCAAAGACATGCCCTTCAGCGAGTGGAGCATCCACCACGCCCTGCGTCTCCGCCTCAACGAGTACGAAAAAATGATCGAGGGAAAGATTTTCCTCAAGGGAGATAAAATCCTGGTGGTTGGTAAGAATTGGGGCATGTGTAGGAATTACTCGACCATTGCGTATTTTGCGCTCACGACGCGGCCGTGGAGACTAGAGGTTGATGTGTGGAAGAGTTTCTTTGGTGTCAAGTTGGACTTTTTGGAGGGGTTGGATGAGAGGTGGTGGGAGTAATGTCTTCTTTTATGTATGTTGTGTTTTTACCTTTTCGGTATATGTCTCGGACATTTAATGATTTGCTTTGTATCTTTTCCTAGAGCTTGCACTCCTCTCGGAACAAATGACACTGGCTGTCCAAACCAAACGGAATCTGTACCTAACAGGGATCTTTTGATGTTTGCAGTGAACTGATCGTGGTAGGGAATATCAAATAATAGGATCAATGCTTTATTCTGGTAGGCTAATGTTGAATACAGGTAAACGGACATCAAAACTTCGTAATCTTCTTCTCTTTCTCATCCACAGCCGACTCCTCCCTCTCTCCGCACCTTGTGAATTCTTTGTTGCATCGAAGAGACCAAGAACACGTCTACTGCATCTTCTTGACTTCCGGCGGTGGCGCAGCTCTATCAATCAAGCCCGCACCAACCTGCGCAGTCTCATGCCAATTCCTCTGTCTAGCCCAGAACCTATCCTCAATCCTCGAGCTCTTCAAACTGCTCTGTCTAGCCTCCTCCTCCAGACTCTCTCTAGTGATCTTATCGCCAAACTTGCCGACTTGAGGTAGATTCTGGCTTTCAGAGAGTGACTCGGAAAAGTAGCGTTGGCGAACCAAGTAACGGTCGCGACGCTCCTTTTGACGGCCCGGAGAGTCGATTTTGGAGATTCCGACTTGAATGGCCCAGCGGATGAGGAGGTAGCTGTGTTCGGCGAAGAAGATGGTGAGGAGGAGGGCCCAGCCGCGGATGTTCTTGGGTGTGCCGTCAGGACCTAGGCCATCATTGCTGAAAAGATAGACAAGGGCGGCGGTGGTGATGCTGCCGAGCCAGGACAGGAAGGACAGAGAGTCCAACCAAGGACCAATGGTGTCGGCGCGTTCGGGGATAGGACGTTGCATCTCGATGCAGATCTTGACGGCGTCAGCACGGAGCTCGAGCCAGTTGTTTGCGAGGAATGAAACAGCGGTCAAAGGCCAGACGGTGCTGAAGAGTGCCAGGTAGCCGAATTGGACAACCATCTCGCGAAGGTCGGAGGTGACGTTGTAGACATCAAGTTCGGCTTCACGACGAACGCGAGTTAGGAAAGCAGCCTCATCGGGGTTATCGCTCTCAGAAGGAGTAGTGGTGGGGCGGCCACTCTTTGCGGCACGCTCACTCTGCATCTCCTTGTACTTGGTGAAACCTTGACGTTTGAGGTAAGGCACGATAACCTCCATACCAAGGTTGACGATCTGAGCAGTGACAGTGAAGTAGATAATCTGCTTGCGTAGGCGATCAGGGTTGATGACGAATGATCCGACCTGAGGTGCCTGTAGCTGTTTCTCATTCTCGGCGAAGGGTCTAGCAGTCAGACTGAAGACGTCGAGGAAGGGAACCACAACGCTGCCGAAGGGGACGTAAACGAAAGCAGTCAAGAACACAGGCAGGTATGAGGTGATGAAGTTCAGGACGAAGATCTTCTGAGTCATAGCATAGTCGTAGGCATCGTCTGTCTCGTAGTTCTCAAACTTAGTCAAACGTTCAGCAAAAGTGGTAAGAATGCCGTTCAGGACGGGCATGACGGTGGTCAAGATGATGGTAGGAAGGAAGACCTGAAACAATCAGTATAGCACGTGCAGCTATGATCAACAACGACTTACGAGTAGAGACTTGAGAGGTCCACTGTAGATTTCAGAGATGAAGATTTCGATGCCGAAGCAAGTAGCGATCAAGCTTCCAAGAACAGTTGCAGCGGCAATGGCAAAGGGAACCTGAAGAAGCTGACGCTGTAGACGCTTGGTGACAGGGAAGATCTGCATCTTCTCGCCAGTGACGGGATCTGTGCCCTCCTGCTCGTGCTCAAAGTGTCTACGCTTGGTCTGGATGTTGGAGACACCACGAACACCCCATCTTACACCGAGATCGACCTCCTGATGTTTCCAGTACTCGACAAAGACAATGCACCACAAGGTGCTGACGATAGCGTAGATGGGTGAGAATTTGCCCAAGAGAAGCCAGGCGGTAGCTCCGAAAGCAGCTGGAAAGACGAGGAAGGTAAAGTAAGACTGAGTGAACGCAAAGTAGAAAGCAATCTTCTCGCCCAGTCTGTTTCTGATCTCGTCGAGGTCTTCGGGCTCCAGAAGGTATTTCTTGGTCCATCTCTTGATCCACTCTTTGTTGTAGGCGTGGTCGTGCAGAGCAAAGATGGATTCCACGCTCTTCCACTCTCCTTCTTTGGGGGTAATTCCAGCACCGCCTTCTTCCTCAGAGTTTGTGATCATGCGGTAAATGATGCGGTAGCGCTCGGCTTCGTGGAGGGGCTCCTCTTCGAGAGCCTTGCGAGTCTCCTTNTGCGGTGCTGCTGATTTGACACCGTGAATCCAGTCCTTGACTCTCGAGCGGTATACCTCAGCGTTGACGTGGTCTTCGCTGGCGACCTTGACGAAGATCAACAGGGAGTGGTTGTCTCCATTGCGGACTTCGGTAGCCAACCCGACCTTTGCGAGTCTTTCTACAAGGAGAGCGAACTTCTTTCCTGCTTCAGCTTTNGGCTACGGGGACAGTCAGTCATGTCAATGTATACAGTATGGTTGAGACGCACTGGTAGTCGCGAAGCGGAAGACAATGACATAGTCAACTTCCATGTTTGTCTTGATGCCCTTGTCATTGTCCTTGAAAGTAGGAGACATGGACGTAGGTGAACTCGCCATATTGTTGAGTTGCTGTCTGCCACAGCAATAAAATGACTTCTCAGGTGTTAGATTGAGGACAATGACAACCGGGCAGAGTTGGTATAATGACTTGGGAGCTCACGGCTGGAAACTTGATCGCGAGCTGCGTAGACCTACGTCATCTAGACTGCCGTTTCACATGCAGCATTGTCCACTATGGAAGCCCTCGGCTAGTCAGACCCCACCCAAGGCCATCTCACATCTTTAGTATAGACCTTCTATGATATGCTGAAATACATCTTTACAGATAGGTGATTCAAGATCTATATAAAACTTTACCTTCTTTGTTAGACGTGTTGCTTGCCAAAGAATCAATACAATACTAGCCTCAGTCAATGTAGATATTGAAGCTTCATTACCCAGACGTTCACATGCATCTTGTCCTACCATCGACAACTCGTCCGTCAACACATCAAACATCAAATCTGCTTCGAACACCCACACACATCCTCTCTTTGGTATGGTTCGATAGCAAATGCCAAACATGCTCTCTCCTTTTGCGCCTCCCTCGCCATTTGAGCCGCCGTCTCTGCTCTACCTCTTCCTGCTCTCCCCACCAAAGTTCCTTCTCAGGACACTACACCGCTTAATCTCCATTTTCCGTTCGTCACCGTCAATACCACAGAATCTACTGCCCATAAGGGTTGTCTGCCTCTCAGACACACATTGCCAACTACCAGCCTCGGTCCCAGATGGCGATCTCTTGATCCACGCCGGCGATCTCACACAAGCCGGCACACCCAAAGAACTCCAGGCTCAACTAGACTGGCTGAACTCTCTACCTCACACGCACAAAGTTGTGATAGCAGGCAACCATGACACCTACCTCGACCCCAGATCACGCAGGACTCTGCCTGCCGAAGATATCGACAACGCAACTCTGGATTGGGGAAATCTACACTATCTCCAGCACTCAAGCACAACTCTAACATTCCCAACTCATCGAAACCGAAAGCTAAAGGTTTATGGCGCGCCTCAGATCCCAGCTTGTGGAGGTGAGGAGTTTGCGTTTCAGTATCCTAGAGGCCAGGATGCGTGGGGTGATACTGTGCCGTCTGGTGTTGATGTGTTGGTTACGCATACGCCGCCGAAACATCATATGGATCTGTATGGCTTGGGGTGTGAGTTTTTGCTAGCTGAGCTGTGGCGAGTCAAGCCACGCTTGAATGTGTTTGGGCATGTGCATGCTGGAAGAGGCAAGGAGGTCGTGTATTGGGATGATGCACAGAAGGCTTTTGAGGATGGGTGTAGTAGGCCGGATGGGCTGATCAGGGGTATGGCGGATCTTTGGCTGTGGATGGATGTGGTCAAGGTCGTTTGGCATGGTGCGTCGAATGTTGTTTGGGACAGGATCTGGGGTGGTGAGGGTAGGGCTACGAGGACGATCAATGCCAGTGCCATGTATATCAATACTGGCCAGCTGAAGAACATGCCGCAGGTGGTCGAGATTTGATCGAGGTAATAATCATGAACATACTTACAGGATTGACGATCTCTTCCGGCAGACTTACGTGGCAGAATACAACACTATTGTCATGGACTCAGAGGGCCGTAAGAGAGGAATCGATGAACAGTTCCAAAGGGTATAATATTTCCAGGGGTGATAAAGAAATCGCAAAAAAACTCTAGTCCTTCTTCTTGCCACCACCAGCCTTCCAAGCAGCAGCTCTGTTACTGCTCCTGGTTCTCGGCTTGCCCTTCTTCTTGCCCGAACCACCAAGCTTAAGTCCACTCTTACCAGACCCGGCCTTAGCTCTGTGACCTTCAAAGATGAAGCTCTCAGGAGTCTTGAAGCCTTGAGGTGTTCCTCCTATCGGTTTGCCCTTCTGGACTTGAGCAGCTGCAGCGCGACCGAGCAGTTTTCCTGCACGGCCCATGTTGGACTGCATAACAGGGTCGGCCTTGGGGTTGTAGATGCTCTTGTTGGTGGATCCGGGTGCCTTGACGGCGTTGCTGCCGGGCTTGACGTTACGCTTGATGGTCTTTGCGCGGGTGACACGTAGCTTGCGAGGTAGCATGGGAGGGAACTTCTTCTCGTTCAGGAGAAGGGCGGCCTCGACGGCGTTTTCTTCNCTGTTGTGTTGTTAGTGGTTTAGATGAGAGGTGAGCTTTCGAAATTGACTTACAGTGAATTGGACATATGCGAAGCCCTTTCCTACTCGGGTTTGGGGATCACGGGGCACGCGAACACTCTCGACCTTACCGCAGGTGGAGAATGTACGCCATAGGCCTTCCTCAACATCACTGGGGGTCTTGTTGCCCTTGCGAGTGCCCTTGCCCTCTTCGGCATTGGCCTTGTCGATGTTGCTTTCATCATCAACAAAGCCAAGGTTACCAACGAAGACGCATCGTCTAGGCTCGGTTTTTGCGGGATGGGCAACCTCGTCGACACGAAGATGACGGTCCAGAACGACTGTTCCATTCAGACGGCGAGCGGCTTCACGAGCCAGGGCGTTTGATGAGTAGACGGCGTATGCGTTTGTGGACTTTGTTGTCTCGACCATAATCTCCTTCTTTGCGAAAGCGGCCTTCTTTGGGATGGCGCTGGCGTAAGCAGTCGAGCGGAAACGAAGCGATTCTACACTGTGTGCAGGCTGTCCCTTCTCGGGGTCGGCGATATCTTCGAAGAATGACTCAAGATGGCGCATCAATGTCTTCTTGGCCGTTTTTGATGTGATTGCCTCGGCGGACACGTTGCCCAAGAAGACTGTACGTTGTGCTTTCACCAAGTCCGAGTCGTTGTCAGGCTCCAGAGTCTCGTGCATTGGCGGTGGTGACATTTCCATGGCATCAGCGCCCTCGGCTGTATCTTCATCGCTGTCGCTGTCGTCGGAGTCCTTCTTCTCGGTCTTTTGGCGCTTAGAAGTGCGATCCTCTTTTGCTTTTGCGATAGCCTTCTCCTCTTCGCGGCCGAGTTTGTCCATGTATACATCTTCCAATTCGGGCTGCTTGTCCTTTCTCTTTCTCTTGCGATTGTTGCTCTCGAGGGCGGCTTGAGCAGCAGCTTGAGCTTCCTTGACGTCCTCCACTTCAGCATCGCTGTCGTCGTCTACTTCGGCCTCGACTTCATCGTCATCGTCTGCGTCAATGGCATCTAGCTCATCTTCGTCGAGTTCTGAGAGCTCTTCGTCGTTGTCGGCTCCCTCATCTTCGTCTTCTGACTCTGCCTTCTTCGTGCTTCTGGCGGATTGAGTCGGGAATTCAGTGTGAATGGGTTTGGCGGCACCAAACNNTAGAACAGTCAGCAATTTGCGACTGTGTCGATGCGATTAGTTTGCGACACATACAGAGTTGGCGAACAGGCTGGAAATGGTAGGGTCCAATTTTTCAGCAGCTGCAAGAGCGGAGGGCTTTTGTGTCTTTTCAGACTTTTGGACCTTCTTGTCGACCTTGTCCTTCTTCTGTGACTTTTCCTTCTTGTCTTTAGAATGCGCCATTGTTGTGGTATGTGTGAATGATTGCAAGACGAACCGTCAGATTTTCTTCGAGTGTCGGGACGAAAGTTTGCCAGTTATTGCCGCTAAGTCCGGCGACGGCGTCGCAGCGCGCAGCGTCTGTGGGCTTTGGCTTCCCTCGTGAAGGTGACGAGCGAGTCCATCTCTCCGTCTACCATTGCTCCACTGCATTGCTTGATCTTTTCTTTGCCTGCCGCCCTCGCCCTCTAGCTCTTGTGCTCGCCCACGTCTACTTGCCTGTCTGCATCCTCTAGACACCATTGTTCTGCTCATTCGACCACCCACCACGGCTCTCGCTGCCCGCGACGGCCCTCATGCAGAATGGACACTCCCTCTATTTCTCCCCTCAGTACCACTTCGAGGACTGCTATTCCTTCGACCCTCGATCCCATCCCGCTAGAGCTCCAACCCACTGAACAACCCCATCAACTCGATCATGTCGACCAAAGCGACGGTTCGAGCAGTCTGAGCGACTATGACGCCGAATTCGACGATCAAGACCAGAGAGACAACAACGATCGGGACTCAGAAGCAGAAACTGAACGTCTTGAACGCTCTCCTGTCAAGTCATGGATTCCCTCTCCGACAAAACTAAATCAAGCAGAAGTTCACTCTGAGCCTGCCTCTTCGCCAGAACCTCAACCTCAGTCGCCCTCACCCACACAAGCTCGCCTAGGTACTAACACTGTCTCTCTTCAAGAACACAGTGCTGATCTCCATCTCTCAGCCTCTCCTGCAGCCATCCCAGGTAGAAAACGCAAAAGGCCGAGTCCAATTAGCGACGCCGACAGTCCTCTCTCTGAACACTCCGACTCTGAGGAAGCACTCGCTCTCAGTCACACCAACCATGTCGATCAGCTCCCTGAAAGTCGACAAGAAACACCAGAACCTAACGACGAAGCTGACGAAAATCCTTACATCTCTCCAATGAAGGCTGCTCGTCTGAAGAGAGCCAAGCAANAAAGCAAACAGATTCGCGACACTTCTCCAGCCGCTGAGACTGTTGGACAAGAGCTAGAAGACGACGAGGCCGACGAGACGAACGATGGCGACGACGAGACAAGAAAGCGCGCCACCGAAGCCTTCACAGCTATCGTCGAGCAGTTTCAAACATTTCGCGCCAAGTAAGTCGCACGCCTCTTTGTCATGCGCATCAACACTAATGGTGTATCAGAANTGCACAATGAACGTTTGGCCTCAGCAGAAGCCGAACTGGAACAGCTCAGTCTGCCGAACGCAACACACCCCGACTTCCTGGCCATGCTGCAATGCATTACAGCTCGACGCGACACCAAGATTCAGCAAGAGATAACACTGCACCGCTACAAGCTCGGCACTCTTCGAACGCAGGTGCTTGCAGAACGCGCCCAACTGCACACCCAATACTTCCAGGAAGCAAGAGAGCTGCGCGACTCGCTACTGGAGCAGCTAGGAAAGCAATGGTACGACATACAGAAAGAACGTCGCCAATTCCAGGCCGACCAACAGGATCAGTACTCGTACAAGTTTCCTACAAAGCGCTCAGACCAAGTGCGCAACCAGGAGAAGTACAATCGCGAAGTCTCAATCTTGTCTGGTATGGCCAAGTACCGAGGCTTCCCTGCTGCGCCAGATATTCAAGGCGCACGGACGAATGAGCTTGACGATGACTTCAAGGCCATGCATATCCCACGCAGGCAAACGCTGCCTCAACAGCAAGGCCCCGCTTACCAAANNAATCCTGTGCACATGCATTCGGCTCCTGCATCAGTACGTACTGCCGAGGAAAGATTCATAGAACAGACTCCATGGGCCAACCCTCAGCATCCTTTGCATCATCAATCGCGAACTCCTGGTCCATTCGGCACCTATGGCATGCATCTTCAACCGAACTTGATGCGCCAGGGCTCTGCTCCAGGCCAGCGCACTGCTTCTCCTTTCACCACTCCTCTACCAAACCCAGCTAAGCGTGCCGATTACCCACAGAATGGTCTTGGCTCTAACGACACCATTGGCATTCCCAGCGATCCTCCCTCAAGTGCAGTACCACAGACTGGAGAACGTTTTGCCCAAGGGCCACCTGGTGATATCTCACCGACTGATCAGCTCAAAGTACGCTCTGCATTAGGCAATCCGTTGAACAACCGTGGGGATAGGCGGGATTTCTCAGGCTTGTCTAGTGCTTCGACAATCGAGACACCGAGTGACCCAGCCGAGGTAGATCGCCATGGTGTACCATCACATACAAGCGCGGCACCAAATGGCTTACCTTTGCAACTCCCTGTCGAACATTCCGCTCCCCAGCAAGCCTTCGTCACGAGCGCATTGCATACGCAAAACGGAAAGCCAGAAGATCGCAAGCCAGAACTTTATGAGAATATCAATTATAGAAGGCCACAGCTGGGCGCATTTGGCACACCGATGCCTCTGTTCGGCGCCAATTCTCCTGCACATCAAGATGGCCAGAAAGCATCATAAGACAAGACTTCTCGGTCCGTTGCTGAGGGCATAGGGAGGTTGTTTTAGCATATCATGTCCATGGAGAAGGTGGATGCGGCCAAATCTTCCTTCTTCCGTATCACATACGAATAATGATTAATCGTCTTAACGACAACAGCGGGCATCTGAGATCTACATAAGGCGTAATAGTTGGAAAAGAGAAACAGTCTAGCTGTGTATGGCTTACCGAGATCTCATAGCGTGTTTCTTTGATTGAACTTGGCATGTATACAAGAGGCGAGAAACCGACTCGACGAGCAAGTGTTCTTACACCCAATGACTTCTCTCTATTGTCAATTGAGCTTTTGTAGTAAACATAGCGTAGATACATGTCAAGGTTCGGGGTCTTCATATGCTTGTTTTCACTTTTGCAACTTGTGACCATGTAAGGTCATCATCTGATAGGGTTGAATTTGAGGACCAATATCGTCAATGCGTATGCCGATTGACGTGGATTGCAACAACAAAACAAAGCACTCGCAATTAATTGTGAGTGTTGGCTTGTCGTAGTGGCCACGGTGTTCATGCAGATAGACAAAAGAAATCTCCTCTCTCTGAGTCGAACAAAGGACCTTCTGATGACAATCGAACAATTACAGTCAGACGCTCTAAACCAACTGAGCTAAGAAGAGATTGATGGAATATGCTGCGATCTTATCGTACATATCCTTATTGCCCCATTGCAACATCGACCCCACCGGACTCCGTCGCCCCGTTGGTACCTCTACCTTTGAATAACCTCACAATCATGCTTTCAGCTTGCAGAATCCTTCTCCACCAGCAGTCATTTTGGAAGCTATTAAACAAACACAGTGTATCGTTGCTGAGCAACAGAATGGCCCTGTTCCTGGATCAGTGTCTCCGTGACACGACATGTTGCATGGCATCTATCACCATAGCAAGATGCATGTAGCACCTCATCTGCGCAGATCCGGCCTAACCGACTTGCTAAACTGATGATCCCCCTCTTCTTTGCTCCGCATCAAGCTTCTGTAGAGCCGCCTGCTAGCGGAGCATGCAAGAGCAAGAGCAAGACCAGCCATCTGATCGCTCCTTCCTTCTCCGCACTTGCCGTCGGTTGCACATATAAGGTACCCATGTAGTCCTTCAATGTCTCGAGCACCTCAACAATGCTTGTCCCATCCATCGCCATGACCAGAGTGTTGCTATACGCATCGCTCGCTCTGACTGCTTGGGCACAGGACCCGTACACCCAAAAATACGATTCTAACAGGTAGAGCTTGCTATGACTCGACATCTGCACCGTCGAGCGCTCCTCTCAAGAGTCCTGCTTACGATTCCCAGGCNACAAGGATCCATCTTACTCGCCTGTCCGGCCTCCAGCTATACCTCTCGCTGTCCGCAGCCCCTACACCAGCATCTGGTCATCTACTGCCAACAATGGCACTCTCAACAGCAACGCAGCTATGTTCTGGCCTGGAACCACTGCTGGCTGGGAAGGTATCATCGTCGTAGATCAAGTTGCTTACGAGTATCTGGGTATTGGTTTGCAGTCTCTCCCGCCCCTCAAGAACATCAAAACTGCTTCCCAACTCGCCGTCTCGTTTGATTCTCAGTATTCAAATTTCACCATCCGTGCCGGACCTGTCGACCTTGTTGCAAGCTTCTTCAGCCCAGTCATACCACAAGACCTTTGCCGGACCAGTATGCCTCTTAGCTACCTTGAAGTCACCTTCCACAGTACGGATAACAAGGCTCATGACGTCCAGCTATACAGCGATGTCAACGCAGGTTGGATCTCACCGGAAACTAATACTACCGTGACATGGAACCTGTTTGAAGGAGCCTCAGCTGTCAATGGAAGTGGCAATGTGACAACTCGTCCATCTGCTATTTACAGTTGGGTGCTCGCCCAAGAAACACAATACGAGTTTGGAGAGGAGGCCGACTTCCCACAATGGGGCAACTTCACCTACTCCTCGAGCCCTGGTGATTCTCGAAACTTTAGCTTCCAGAGTGGCTATTCTCTCGACCTTCGATACAACTTCGTCACAAAACTCGGACTCTCTGACGTTGTGGATTCTGATTACCGTGGTGCTCAAAGCAAAGAACCGATTTTCGCATTCGTGCATGATTTCGGCTCAGCAACTTCGGGAAATACACTCTACACTATCGGAACAGTGCAGAAAAATGTCATCAGGTTCCTGACATCAGATGGGCTTGTCTCTCTTCAACCATGGTGGACAGAGTGCTACGGAGATAGTTTGTTTGACCTCATCGAGTTTCATTATAACGACTTCGCAACCAGTCAAGCCAAGGGAGCTGATTTCGAAGCTCAGCTCAAGGCAGACGTCAAAGCGTACTATTCGACCACTCCAGGAGCAATATACAGCAACAGCACTCCGTCGCCTCCTCCTTCATATGCCAATGCTTCAGACGAAGAGTTTCACGGCACAAATCAATGTGGCCAAGCCTACATCTTTGATTCAAGCAACGGATATGGTTTCCTTGACCCCAACAACTTCAACGGCATTGCTGTCCCTGATGTCTCGGAAGCTGAGAGCTACTATGCTATTGTCGCATTGAGTGCACGTCAGGTCATGGGGGCTTACGTTCTGACGGTCCCGCCGAACCTTCAGTATGGCAACCTGTCTTCAATCGTGCCAGGTGAACCACTTCTGTTTCAGAAAGAGATCTCAAGTGATGGCAACGTGAACACCGTGGACGTTGTCTTCCCGGCACTGCCCTTCTACCTTTACGCCAACCCCCAGATGCTCAAACTTGTTTTGAACCCATTACTCTATAACCAGGAGAACGGATTCTACCCCAATGGTTACAGCATGCACGATCTGGGCACACATTTTCCCAATGCCACTGGCCATGTCGAGGGCAATGATGAGTACATGCCTGTCGAGGAAAGTGGTAACATGCTTCTCATGGCTTATGCTTACTTCAAGTTTACTGGCGATGCAGCCTTCCTCTCCCAGAACTACGCCAAACTTCGTCAATGGGCAAGCTACGTATCCCAGTACTCGCTGATTCCAGAGGCACAGTTGAGCACTGACGACTTTGCTGGAACGCTTGCCAACCAAACTAATTTGGCCATTAAGGGTATTGTGGCACTCAAAGCAATGTCCTTTATCTCTGACGCCGTGGGTGACCTTCAAGCGGCGGCCAATTACTCAGCTACTGCTTCTACTTACTTTACCCAATGGGAACAATTCGCAATCGATCCAAGCGGTACCCACACGATGCTCGCCTATCAAAGTCGTGGATCCTTCGGTCTTCTCTACAACACCTACCCTGACAAGCTTCTGAACCTCGGTATCATTCCCCAGAGTCTCTATGACATGCAAAGCGAGTGGTATCCGACCATCTCTCAAATCTTTGGTGTAAGTCAGCTAACAACATTCATCGTGCAAACCCCTGACTAAACAACTACAGNNGTCCAACTCGACAGCCGGCACACATACACCAAGTCTGATTGGGAGATGTGGACCGCAGCAACATGTTCCCCTGAGACTCGTCGACTCTTTGTCAATTCGCTAGCATACTGGCTGAACAACACGAGTACGGGATTGCCGTTCGGTGATCTTNTTGACACTGTTGGTACTGGTGGCTATCCCGTGGGTGGTCCAACCTTCATAGCGAGACCTGTTGTTGGAGGCCACTACAGTCTACTAGCACTGCTGAAAACTGGTCAAAACAGCCAGACCGGCACCATGCCTGGTGGTTTCCCACAGAACAGTACGCAGGCACTGCCGGAGTCGCAAGCAGGTTACTTGAGCATTTCAGCTTCAAGCGTGTCGTTGCCAATGACCAGCACGGCTACTATGCCGGCACCGTCGCACAGCTACTACAGCAATTACACTAGCTCACGTACTTGGCGCAGATGAATTGAGGTACGAAGAGTATGAGTGATGGGGTTTGCTTAGATGCAGACAAGAAGATCATCATGTGAATAGGTACATATTTTTTGCTAAGCGCTTTTCACCATCAATTGGGGTTGTGGTCTAGTGGTATGACATCTTCTTAGCATTGCTCCTCGAGCAGTCCTGAGTTGGAGAAGGTTCTGGGTTCGATTCCCAGCTACTCCACATTGTTTTTGCCAGATAGGTCGTCGTAAGCATCTTTTGCTGTGAACAGTGTTTTGTCGAACTTTTTTGTTTTGTTGGTCAAGAGAGCGCGAAGGCAAGAACGTGGGCCGCAAAAACGTGGCCGGCATGATTTGCGATTTGAGCTAGCGTAGCCGGAATCCACAAACTTGGCTAGCGTAGCCGAAGCTGTTCGATGACACAGCATGCAGTTGGTTGCTTCCATCAAACCAAACACTCCTGTTCAACATTTTTCTTTGAGTATTTCTTGTGCCATCAATTGCAACCATGGAGTTTGACACCAAGACGCGTAAGTGTGTCCAACCATGTATGCAATGTGAAGATTCTGATGGTGGCATCTACAGCTCTTTACCAAACTTCGGACAAGACATCATTTGCGTACATTTCTGCGCGCGATCGCTGGCCTGTTATTCTTGTGAGTGTCTACTGGATCTTCTGAGTCTCTCTCCAGAGGTCTCGTTTGGTTCAAACTGCTGCTCTCGATGCTCCTGGTGCGGTGTCGACTTCGAGGATAGCATGCTGTTCTGGTGTCAGGAGTATCTCAGGATCTACTTTGACTGCTGAGCTTTGCTATTTATGGTCTTTTCAATCCTGGCATACATAATTCTATGGCGACTATTGCTTGTCTGCTTCAGGACGAACGACAAATAGACATTAACTTGGAGAGCGAGCTTCAAGGACAATTTGCTAACAAGTGCCGTAGACAGGAGCCATTGACGACTTGCACAAGGCAATCGGAAAGACTGAGGACTCTGAGAAGCAGACAGAGGGCAAGAACATTGTTTCCGAGCTTGCCAAGCTCAAGTATGAGTTACAGCATGATCGCCAGCTTACGTGAGTGAGAAAGAGACACTATTTGACTCACGATACTGACGAATGAAAAGACNCACTGACCGACGATGGACAAGGCGACATTGAGAGCTACAACAAGGAACTAGAACAGCTCGGCAACCCCAAGTGGTTCGACGTACCATGGCTGTTCTCAGAATGTTACCTGTACCGCCGCATGGCCACTCTTTTCAAACTCTCCACTCACTGGAAGAACTACGACGTCTTTAACAAGCAAAAGATTTCCACTTTCCGCTCTTCCCGCCCTGCAGTTTTGGAGCTTGCTTCTCGCTACAACGAACTCACTAAACAACTCTCTTCAAAGGCTGCTTCATCCCAATCGGACGAAGAACGCGTGGCAGCTGAGAAGATTCTCTTCACTGAGATGTGCGAGATTTGCCTTTGGGGTAACGCTACAGATCTCTCGCTCCTCACTAACCTGACCTACGAGGACATCCAGAAATTGCAAGGCTCCAAGGCAAGAAAAGCAGCAGAGAAGAACATCATCGCCAACGATTTTGACGCAGCCTTCGAACTACTTCATGCAGCCAAGAGTCAAGGTACTAAAGAACGTCGTGTGGACATTGTCCTCGACAACGCAGGCTTCGAACTCTTCGTTGATGTCATTCTCGCCGGATATCTTTTGCAAGCTGGTTTGGCCACCACAGTCGTACTGCACCCCAAGAACATCCCCTGGTTCGTTTCGGATGTCGTGCCCAAGGATTTCTCAGACCTCTTGACTGTATTGGTCAACGCAAAGAACTTTTACGAGTCTCCATCTGAAGACGACGAAGCCAAGGGCGTCACACCATCCAAACTCTCCGAACAAGAATCTTCGGACTTGCAACAGTTGTTCCAGAACTGGAGTGAACTGTACGCAGAGGGAAAGATTGTGCTCAGACCCAACAGATTCTGGACTGAAGCAGGCAGTTACTGGAGACTTCCTGGTACTGCTGAAGCTCTGTTCGAGGATCTCAAGACGAGTGAATTGGTCATTTTCAAGGGTGACTTGAACTACCGCAAGTTGACTGGTGATGTAAGGTTTTTTCCTTCTTTTCCTCCTCCTTCTTCTTCTCCGCCACCTTGGTTTCATAGATGTAAAATACTAATCCAATCTGCAAAAACAGNNGCAGCATGGGACCCCACCACCCCTTTCACCACCGCAATCGGTCCTCTCGGTCCTGGCTCAGGAATGCGCACTCTCGCCCTGCGCACCTGCAAAGCCGACGTTGTTGTCGGCTTGCCTTCAGGCGAAGACGAGCGTCTCCGCAACACAGAAAACGGTGGTGGAGACAGCGGTGCCCGCAAGTGGGCTTGGAGTGGCAAGTATGCAGTCGTGCAGTTGTGCGATGGCAAGAAGAAGTAGAAGTTCTTTTGCTGTCGGGAGAAGAGAATGGGTGGTGGGTGTTGTGGATACAAATGGTAAAAAAGGGTTAGAAGGTATTTTTGTCGAAAATGAATAGAGAGGGGTACGTGGTTTTCCTTTTCTTGAGATACGATGTTCGAAGTTGCCTGTGGTGACTATCGATGTTTGGTGTTTTGTAGCGGCTGTTTGTGGTCAGGGTCATACCATAAACAAGCATTGTCGAGACAAAAACTCGAACGGCAATGTCATTTGTACCTGATATCTTTATTGCACTATATGATTACAACTATAACGATCACTTTCATTCGGTATTGTGACTGGCTAAGCATATATACGTAGGTTCGTGAGAGTATTCAGAATATAAAATTCTAGAATGCTGATGTTCAGAACATGACCCCAAGTCTCACCACCTCCTGCGTATCTCATTACAAAAATGCAGAAAGAAGTATGAAAAGTAGCAGTTTCCATTAAGAGCAATACAGAGCCACTGTCTCCTGAGTTCGACTGCTGATAATTGCTCAATATCATGACATTTGATGACTACTTTCTGAAGTGTAGCTTCAACTAGGGATGTATCAAGGTCCACACATCCAAAAGCAAATTGTCAGGGCACACTCAGCAGCAGCGACGAGGTAGAATGACAAGTCTCTCATATGAGACAGCTAACACCTTCAACCATTCATCACCATACCAAACAATGAATCACCACAAAAGAAAAATAGCAAAAAGTCTCAGACCTTTAGGAGATGTCGAAGATTTGAACCATGGCGCAACAACAATCCCAGACATCCGGGTTCGTTCTGCGAACGACTAAGCAAGAAAGATCTCGGCACTCCCACGCAAAACACCACATAAATGATTCAGATTTCTTGCAATACAATGGTTCAGCTTTGTGCCATCTTTCGGGTCGTTGGACAAGCATATATAGCACCCTCGCCTCCGAACACAGTGAGTATTAGCAAGCTGATTGATCATGATCACCAGGAGTAAGAGTAGATTGCTGATGTTTAAGCAGAAGAAGATGCCGCCATTGTTGAGCTGCAGGCAGTGCCACCTGCTCAGCGTCAGGTGCGATCGTGGCACACCTTGCTCGAGATGCGTCAATGCAGGACGCGAGTGCACCTATGACAAGGTGCTGGTAAACGGCAAAGGCGTAAGAGCAGTGAGAAACGCGTACGAGATAGACTCGCGCTGACAAAATGCAGATGTACCTGAGAGACGATGGCCGCACCAGACACGGCAAGCTCGTCGTCCCTGACGACCCTGCTGCAGCACCTCGAGCAGCAGCAGTGGAAGCTTCTGCTCCTGGTGGGGTCTATGACCCGAGCTTGCCTTCCGCGCCCCTACATCTCTGGCGTGGTTTCTCTGGCCCTTCGGCCTTCACGCTCATCAACGCGTCTGGCATCCCTTTCCCTGGACCCCGAGCGCCGCTGAGTCTGCTCCTGCGCGCTGGCAGGACTTCATGCCTAAGAAGAGCAGCGAGGGCGTGTCTTTATCCCTGCGCCAGCACCCATCATCAGCAGCAGCTGCTGCTGAAAAGCACAAGGGTGATGCCGACGACGGTGGCAGAGAGGAGAAGGACGACGACGATGACGATGAGGAGATGGGTGAGGAAGACGAAGAGGACGAGAACAACAAGCATGATGGCTAAGTCGAGACATCATAACCGACTACGCTTTCAAGAATTGATCGAAGACAGAAGAAAGAAGAGAAGTTATTACAGACTGCACTCATAGATGGCAGCCCAACTCAAAAGCCCAGAAAGTGCCAACTTCATATGCACAGATGTATTTAATAATGCTTTCCGAGTCCAGTTGCGTCAGAAAGAGATCCCTTTACGCCATTGCCGTCTTGACCCCGTAGTGTGATGGCTTGATGCAAACAAAAGAAAAAACAAGAGCAGCTACCTCAGAAAGTGATTCATATGACCAGGTACACGGTTCCTGCATTTGTCACAGTCTTCGCGATATCCCATGGAAAACTTCTTAGAAGTGTCTTGGTCACGCGGTGATGTGAAAGCACCACTTCGTTGTCGTTGCTTGCGGACGTGTACTTCTGGTGTTTGCGGAGGAGGCCGAGGTGTGGTCTCAGCATCCATGTCGATATCATTAACAGTCAACAAGGAGAACTGGCTTCCGGTAGCCGTGGTAGGTGTGTGAGGCTCATCTTCAGAAATTGGTGATGGAAAGCGTTCTCTTGGACCAGCCAACCGAGCACGCATAGAAGTAGAGGCGCCATAGGCACTACTGACACTGGTGTTACCTTGCAGTGGAGTAGGCTTTGGGCGTGTAGTCAAGAGTGCAATGGGNGTTGGTACTCGTGATCCTCTATCATCCAAANNAGCCATCCGAGGGTTCCGGAGTGGGGTGTTTTCGAGTATCCAGGAGGAAGGCTGCTCAGGAGACTGGGAGTACTCCATCTGAAAGTCATCCCTCATGTCCATATCCATGTCGTCGGATGAGTCGGTTCCGGCCATGGTAGAAGCTATTGAATCGTCCATGGCTCCAGGAGTAGATTGAGCTTCGACACTGGGGTTTGAACCAAACACACCATGATCATGTCCAGCAGAGTGACGCAACCTCTAGTAGAAGGTGAGCTTCATCATGTCCCGTTTATATCAACAATGTAGTTATACCTTGTCGTGATGCATGGACATAACATCGTCGTCGTCATCGTGCCGACGTTTGTGGGACAGTGAAGAGAACATAACGGGCGGTCAGACAGGGCTGAAGTGCAGATTGTGAATGTAGACGTGGACGAGTGAGGCTACTGGGGTGCAAAGGAGGGACAGGGAGACATGAGCCAGCATGCGAGTGAAGGTTAAGCAAGTCAGCGAGCGTGTTTATGGCCCGGACAGGCAGGGACTAGTGAGAGCAGGTGGACGTGCGAACGCAATTGCTTCTACTCGTATGTGCCTAGTGAATGTGGGGTTGTGGCTTGCCAAAAGTGGCTTGCCAAAAGGCCAAAAGTGCTGCGGCCAGAACAAAGAATCTTTGAGCCGCGATCGGCTCAAGACGCGGCCCGATTTTTCCTCATACAGTCAATAACTCATTCAGTCATCCCACTCTCTGACTTTCTTGCAGCACATTCACAGCAAACATGGCCGGCCCCAACATCGATGCCCAGCAGCTCCGCGAGTCCCAGAACGACGACACCCGCGTCTTGGGCTACGACCCTCTGATTTCTCCCGAACTTTTGTCCTCCGAGATCCCCGCTACCCAGGTCGCTCTCGATGCCGTCAAGAAGGGCCGTCGCGAAGCCCAGGCCATCGTTCACAAGCAGGATGACCGCCTTCTCGTCATGGTCGGTCCCTGCTCGCTGCACGACCCCGACGCTGCCATTGAGTACTGCGGTCGTCTGAAGAAGCTCGCCGACGAGCTCCAGGATGACCTCTGCATCATTATGCGCGCCTACCTCGAGAAGCCCCGTACCACCGTCGGCTGGAAGGGCCTGATCAACGACCCCGACCTCGACGAGAGCTTCAAGATCAACAAGGGTCTGCGCGTCTCTCGCCAGCTCTTCTGTGACCTGACCAGCCAGGGCATGCCCATTGCCAGCGAAATGCTCGACACCATCTCTCCTCAGTTCCTTGCCGACCTCATTTCACTCGGTGCCATTGGCGCCCGTACCACCGAGTCTCAACTGCATAGAGAGCTTGCCTCCGGTCTCTCTTTCCCCATGGGTTTCAAGAACGGTACCGACGGCAGCTTGGGTGTCGCCGTTGATGCCATTGGCTCTGCTGCTGCCAAGCACTACTTCATGGGTGTTACCAAGCAAGGTCTTGCTGCCATCACAAAGACTACCGGAAACAAGGACTGCTTCGTCATCCTCAGAGGTGGAACCAAGGGTACCAACTACGACGCCGAGAATGTCAAGAAGTGCAGAGAGGCTCTGGCCAAGAAGAGCTTGCCCCAGGTCATGATGATTGACTGCTCGCACGGTAAGCAAGCCAAGTCTGCCGTTTCAAAGGTTCGAAAATTGACAATTGCCTGCANNGGAAACTCCCTCAAGGATCACCGCAACCAGCCCAAGGTCGCCAAGACCATCTCAGAGCAACTCCGCGCCGGCGAGGAGGGTATTGTTGGTGTCATGATCGAGTCTCACCTCAACGAGGGTGCCCAGAAGGTTCCTGCTGAGGGTCCTTCTGGCCTCAAGAGAGGTGTCAGTATCACCGACGCCTGCATCAGCTGGGAGACAACCGTCGACGTCCTCAAGGACCTTGCCGAGGCCGTCAGAGTCAGAAGACAGGCCAAGAAGTCGACCACCAACGGTCAATAAACGCGACGAGCATACGAATGGAGTCCCGGGATTTTAAAAAAGCGTATCTTCTTTTGGATGTTTAGGTATACACGGGGTTTTATATCGAGCCGTTCTTTCTCAGTCATGACCAAATTTCGTGCCAATGGTTTGCACAGGATGGTTTTACGAACTTGTGCCTCTTGAGTTTGTCGTTCGTCGTGAATCGTGAAGTTCATCGTGTCTTTGTCCCGTGGCCTGCTTTTTGCTATCATGACAACAGACTAGTTGTCTGCAAGGAGTTCGGAGTGTCCCGCGGTATGTCTGATGATGCGCAAGCTCTTTCGTCCACTAGACAGGCAGATCCTTATTCTTATTGCCCTCTCCAGCCTTCTCGCCTGCCTTTTGCAGACCCCTCGCAAGGTATGGTCCCACTACTGGGATGTTGTACGCGAATCCAGCTATCGTCTTGAAGAACTCGCCGAACAGTATGAAGATGCCGTAAATCTCGACGAGGAAACCGATCAATGGCCAGCGAAGGAGGATGAGGATGATGCCTGCGACAAAGGCTGCTGTGCCTTTAATCTTTTGGCGACGCGCGAAGAAGAGGAATGTTCGTTGGACTCCGAGAAGTAGGGTTATGCCAGCCAGGAAGAGGATNCTGTGTATATTGGTGAGTTCCGAGTCAGGAAATGCGGTTGTGATAGAGCGTACGTTTCCCATGGCCAACCTGTTTATTTCTTGGTTAGCGGTCTCGCTTTGGAGGATAAGCGATGGAACGTACATTGAGCGATCAAAGAACATTATGACACCTCCAATCAGGAAGAAGCCTCCTGCAATTTATATCAGAGCTGCTCGTGCAATGAATGCGACTTTGCGCGCACTCTCACCTACCGCCGGAGCAAAAGGCAACCCCAATCTCTACAAGCAAGTTAGCACAGAGAGCAAGACGGGCTAGATGGGTATACATACTCTGGGAATCTGAAAGCCACATTGTAGGCATCTTGGCGATCGGTTTGGGGGTGGTTGACTTGGTCTTGTGCAATAGGTTGAGAAAGTTGAAGGCCCCAGAGATGGAAGAAGCAGACACCAGCCTCCAGGGAGACGTTCCGCGCGTCGCGAAAGCGACGAAAAGGATTTCGTCCTCGGACGACCACCTTCCTTTTCGATACAGCAATTTCGAGCCGCCCCTGCAGATGCTCTTACAAGTGGTTGTTTGATCATCACTACAATGGGCATACCACATTTGACGCATTCGCTGTCACCTTATGGTGATAAAGTGGTTCTGCCGCAACATCCAGCAAACCACGAAAACGCCATCATCGATGGTCCCAGCCTAGCATACCATGTCTTCTATGTGTGCATAGCCCGTAGAACAAGCGCTAGAAATGCTCTCGAAGCGACTCCGACATATCAAGAACTAGGCCAGGCCGCTGTAAACTGGCTCGAGCAAATCGAGCAATACGGACTAAAGATGTATGTTGACCGCTGAGGTCTGTTCAGAGTAAGTAGCTGATTTTTCTTTTCTCCGTGTAGTAAAACTGTCTTCTTCGATGGCCTGTTGCCGTTGTCTAAGCAAAGCACTAGGTTGTCTAGATTGCAGAGCTATGCGAATCAGCTTGTCACTTTTAAAGCGCTGAACAAGGAAGACTTGCCTGCACGTATGGACAATGTAAAGTCTTCAAAGTCTGATGTCTTGAGTGCGGTCGTCTCTTCAAATCGGCTCAAGGCTCTTCCCGCCCCGCCATTCTTGGTTCCTGCAGTCATCGAAATGCTTCTTGAAAGCCGTTTCAGCTCTCTTGTCTCGGTCATTCCTGGTGAGGCGGATGCATACTGTGCAGACGCTGCCAGAAAACATGGCGGTGTCATCTTTACCAGTGATTCGGATCTCTTGGTCCACGATCTAGGAGAATATGGAAAGGTGATACTCTTCCGAGACCTCGAAACCATTCACCTACCAAGCAGGGGAAAATGTCTAAAGACTCAGGAGTACCATCCAGCTGCCATCGCAAAGCGGTTCGAACTCCAAAATCTGGTCAAATTGGCATTCTTTATGTCCCAAGACCACCACAAGAGTCTTACTGAGAACATTAGACTCGCAGCCAAGAACACACCAATGTCTGCTGGATTTGCAGAGTTTGCAGAGGAATACGGATCTCTGCCTAAACTGTCAAAACTGGCTATGGCAGGAAGCATGAACGAAACGAACACAGCTGGAGCGCTTGCCCGTCTGGATCCAAGGATATCTGAGATTATCCATTTGGTTCGTGTAAAGGAGGCTCAAGAAGCGCCCTCAGCCCTGCAGGACTCTGAGAATCTCAATATGTATCTTCCATTCATTATCGATGATCCGACGAGAACATCTGCATGGCGATCTGGTGTCTCTGTCCGTGCTCAGGCTTACTCATTGTTGCGTGTCCTGAACTCGAGCGTCACACAAGTTACCGAGTTCGAGCGAAAGGGCACTCGCGTGGCAGGGACGGTAGTTGAATTAGACTCCACAACCAGCCCGAGTACGATGTTAGAAGACTGCTTGAAAGCTTTACAGCAAGATCTAGCACAACATTCATCACTATCCCGCGCGGCCAGATGGCGTGCTGTGGCAGTGAAACTTGTCTGTCAGTCGAATCTGGATAACGACAAGCCTCCACCACTTAGCAGCGATATCAGCAGACTTGTCACAGGGTCACGAGAGGGCGCTCTAACTTGGTCATTCATCCACGCGAGCGGTCAAATGCAGGCATCTCTCTATTCGCTCAGGATGCTATTCCAAATATCCACCATCGTACACAATCTTCTCGAAGGCACTAGTCATGAAATTCTACCGCCGTTACAGAACCTCATCACTTTGCTGCAAGATCTGCCCAGCCTTCGAGAACTTCTCGATGAAAAGACACCAATGATTGATGGCGAGGCTGAAGCTGCTAGAGCGGCTATCTTGAGCACATTGCAGAGTCTAGGTATAACTCAAGATACCACAGAAACGTCGACAAAGAAGAAAAAGAAAAGAAAGAAGAAGGGCGAGCATACGGGTGATCGTACACCTCCTGGTGTGGCATGGAGTGCCAACAACATGTTCAGCAATCTTGTACAGAAAGATTGAGATATTCGAGATATGAGGTCACTTTGGCACACCGCTACGATCAAACGTCTTGGACGATTGAGGGCGTCTGTGCAAGCTCCATCACAAGACTTGTTCTCTGCATGCTTTGTCCAACTGTGCAGCTTCGTGCCCGGCTACGATGAGGCTCACTGACTGGATGTTGTAACCGTTCTGTTTGATGATGACAAGTGCTCAGCGGCCATTAGGGTGAGATCTTCAGGAGTGGTGTGGATAGTAAACCGACTTTCACTTCGAATCGTAGCTATTGTCTTTCTTCGAAATGAACACATGCTATGCGCCAGAGAAACCAGACGCACTATCATCGGAACAACATGTATGTGATAGATAGGCATACCGCCACCCTATTTTTGTGTCTGTCCCAGTTTCTCAGACTGACACACTCCAGGTTCACCCCACACTCTCTACAAGTACATGGATGGATCTACATAAACCCGTTTGGTGGATACGAACAGATCTTCAGACGAATGGGAATAAACAGTGAGAGACGCATCCGTGAGCTTTACCAGCCCGACAATTTAGATCGATATGGGAGTGCCAGCAATCAGGTTATGTATCGGAAAGCTGTCAATCATTAATCGTTCATCGGAGATTTTTAGACTCGGATGTGTAAATTGGAGGAGAAGCTTTGTCAATGATCTTCCGGCTGCTAAACGTGCTTCGCGCAACAGGTTTTCAGGCGCAACGATATGTGGTCGCATGTGTGTGGATCGGAAGAGCTCGTCTAGCAGAGCAGAGCAGCCGTACAATTACTGTCTTAGTTCTCAACATGAGATGACTGATGAGAAAGATGTTGCGCTCGCCGCAAGCACAGTGAAGTTAAAAATTGTCTTTTGTAACGTCCCGCTGTTGGTGTTTGGCCGTTACAAGACCCTGCGCTTGAGCCATGGATTTGTTTACTTCTGAATCACACGGTCTGTCGGGCTTGCTGTTCGCGGTATGACTACTGGAGTCGAGGTGGAAAATCTAGGGTCTGTCAGGGTCAGAGGCTGAAGCAAAGGGTAAGGGTAACTTGACACATGGCCCATGAAGATGTTTCGAAACTCGACAGGCCTTCTCAGAAGCTGTCATGCACTCAAAGGGACACCGGAAGATACTTTTGACTAGACGAGTCAAACTTGACGGCTTCTGCGGCCCGCCCAAGAGGCTTCTCCTCTCCGCGGCTCAGGCCAATCATGTCGCATGACGGCCATGCCCAGGAACGTGGTTCATTCAATTTCTACCCCTGAGCATTGCCATGCCATGACCGGGATGTTGGATTGCCTCACTGTTTGACGGCGTCGTCCTACTGCGATGGCGATGTGGGAGGTTCTTGCGTATTAACCATGGTGGTCAGAGATATATGAGCCATGACGAATTGGAGGAGATGACGGTTCGGCAGGCACTTGGGAATATGAACAAAGTTGCTTTAGGTTGCGTCGTGGTTTTCAAACGTCACGAGCAAGCTGGAAACAGATGGTCGGCTTTCTTGCAGCGTGGTGGGCAGGCTAATGTGCAAAGGGATTTTTCTCGATAGAAGGTCAATGGGATATTAAGGAGTGCCTGTGTCTTCTCGTTTCTCGATTCTCGAGACCGTTCGTTCAAAGACGTTTGGCTTTGGAAATACACAATTCCGATCAGCACAAGGGCGGCAACGGTAGAGACAAGCGCGTGGAGAGAGCAATCTGCACTTTCCGCTGTGAAACGAAGTCTGTGTGCCGCCTACTCTACTCGATTCTTTCGTGACTGATTCGAGTCAGACTCGATCAGGTTCCCTTTGCTTTCTCTTTCATTCACTTGTTCCGCCGCATTTCTCGACCAGCGCTCATTTTTTGGCCATTCACTCGACTTTCGACCATCGCCAATTTCCTGACAACATTCCTTACCACCGTCTACCAGACCCCCACCACACACCTACGCACCCATAGCCCCTCGACGGCCACCTGCGTTTTCGATCATTGCTCCGTTCGCGCGTTTGTTCCTGCGGCACCAACTGCATTCGAGCCACCGGCTGGCTTATTCGCTCAATCGCCCTTCGTTTGCCTTTGCATGCCCACGCCCAACTCCTGGTCTGACCGCTCCATGGTGTAAGAGCAGTTTCGACACTCCGAAGAGTCAATTCTCAGCTTCCAACGCCAGTCGCCCTGTTACCGTAATCCTACTGGACTCTACCCAACATGCACCGATTTCTCGGCAAGAAGAACGGCGATGCCGCCTCTAGCCCGCTATCACCACCCACATCAAGCAGCAAGAAATGGAAGAAGAATAAGAAAGATGTTGTAGAAGAGAAACCACAGCTTGATCTGAATTCTGCCTTGCCGTCAATCGACGACTTCCGCACCAGTCTTATCATGCCCAATCTCTCGACCAGATTCAGTATGCTCAGAGAGCAAGACGACCCACACTCGTTGCTCGGAAAGGCCTCAGATGATAGTGTCCTGCAGCCTCAACGCAACTCTCGCCTACTCGACTTTGGCTTCTCATCCAACAACCTCAACGACATTGCCGAGGTTGCTTCAATTAACAGCTCTATCCGCCCACCATTTGCTCTCGACCGAACTGGCTCTTTTGCATCTGAAGAAGGCTATGGAACTGACAACAACTCTAATCCCGATGGCAGCGTCATGAGCCGTGCTCGCCCTGGAGAAGGCAATGTGCTGTTCGGTGGTCGTCAGAAGGTCTACAAGATTGCCACGGGTTCCGCAAAAAGCATAGGAGGCAACAGCGAACGTGGTATGGGCAGGATGGTCTATGATGACGATTTGAATATGTCGGCGTTCCAAAAGTACAGGCAGCAAGAGAGAGAAAGACTGCTTGCAATGGGCGCCGACTGGGACAGCGATAGTGCTCTGCTGTCTCCTGAGTCCGATCCTGAACATCGTGCATCAGACGATCTTCCCAAGGGACTTGGTCTGTCTGGCGCTGAGACTGGCTTCTCGTTCCTCAAGCGCAACAGCGATTCGACGACAAATTCAGTTCCATCTCAAGATCCATCCTCATCAACAGCAACGTCGGTCGCCTCGCAATCTATTGGAACTGCCATTTCTACTCCTGCGACACTACCGAAAACATCACCAAACCCTGCTGGACCTGGATTAGAACGCTCCATGACCAAGCGTCGTTTGTACGAGCAAGGTCTCAACCAACACATCCAAGATCAGCAAGCCTCGACTATGTCACGATTGAACTCCATCAACCAGCGACAACGTGCTCCAACGCTGCCATCTGTTCTTAACCACTCCAGAAGCATTGGAAACCTGCAGGATCGTCGTGGCTACAAGCCATATGCTCTGAACACCACTACCACCACCAGTCCACCACTCAGAAATGGCATGGCTCCTCTTAACACACTAGTCTCAAGGGTAGCTTCCAGCACTTCTAGCCCAACGGTCTCCAGCTATCCGCAATCTCCCATCAGCCCCGTCATCCCTGAAACTGAGGAGTACCAAGTTTTACAATCAGCTCTCGAGCAAGGCGACCACGGGAAGGCAACTGCTCTAGGCATGTTCAACAAGCCAGCTCAACAATTCGATGAGCAGCAGTATCTCCAGCGACAGAAACAAATGGGTCAGGCTAAGAATGAGTCTCCTATCGACACCCCTGTCAAGTTGTCACCCGTCAGCCAGTCAGGAACACCTCCACAGGCCCCTGCAGAGCAACCACCCCTCAGCAAGTTCATGTCAAGAGAGGGTGCTACTTCGAGACAAGCGTCAGCAGAGCACACTCCTCAAGACTCTCGTTCCGCTCGATTTGACTCCGCTAGACAAAACAACTTCTCACGGACATCTCAGCGATCCCGTTCGCGCTCCGTCTCGAAGTCAGGAGCTACTGCTACTGCTGCTCCGGAACCACCGGTCAACGCCGCACTCGCTGTGTTCCAACGCGCTGCTATGCAGAATCGCGTTGCTCATGGAGACTCTCCAGAGCAAGCAGCAGTCGCAACATTTGACGACAACAATCGCACATTCTTTGGCGACAGTGATGATGAAGATGAGGACGACGACAAATTCGACAACGCACCTCCAGCGCCTGTTGCCGGTCGCTATGGTGTCAACAATCAACCACCCGCTTTGCAACATCCAGCTCTCCGCAATGACTACCTTCCCGAGGTGGACGAGGAAGAGGAAGAGGAAGACCGCAAAGGCTTCCCATTCCCTGAACCATCCCTCAACGTCGCTCCTACTCAGGCTGGTGCTGAAGACATCGACTCGCCCACCATTGGCGTACATGAAGGTATTGGTGGCATGATCAGTCAGCATTTGCGCAACACAAGCGATACCTCTTCCATCTACCCACCTCACCAACCATATGCCGATCGCGCCTCGACAGTCAGCCGAAACACTTACTCAGATCGCCGCCTCTCTGGCAACTCAAGCGCCTGGAATATCGACGAGCTTGACAACTACTATGGAGACATTCCTTCGCGAATCTCAACAAATTCTGCTACTACTGCATCGCACGGTCAAGGACTTCACCCACATCCTTTGAACACAAATGGCTCAAGGCCATCGACCTCTGATGATAATGTTGGAAGTGTTCCATGGCATCCAGCACACAACCGTGATGCTAGCACTGCAACTCAAGCAGAACGCGACGCCTTTGCTAATGAACTCGAAGCTCGCAGAAAGGCCATCCAAGAGAAGATGAAGAGCATCGTCGAGAGTGAAAGTCGTGGACCAAGTCCAGGACCAAGCACAGGCGGTGCACTCAAGGCATTTGGTATGCTGAAATCAAGACCCAGTCAGGAGACCATGAACCTGAGACAGAACAATGGCTCAAGGCTCGGTCTTGGTCTCTCTGGTGCTCATCCTATTGAGCGCAACCCAAGCTATGAGGACAAGCTGTCGCAATCGACGAATGCCGGCGCACAGTGGCCTCTTGGACCTGGACCTCTGATGCCGAGTGCCAGGCCACAAGCAGACAGCGAGATTGGCCGTACACCTCCGCAGCAAGCTAGAGAAAGATCACGCAACCGATCAGGTTCTGATGCCTCTCGAGCACGCTCACGTAGTCGCAACCGTGGCGAGATTGGTACGGTGGTGGGCATTGGCGCCGACGCTCCACCTGCCATGCCTGCTCAGAGACCCTCGCCCGAGATCAATCAATACAGATCTCCATCCACAGAAGGTAGAGGCCGCTTAAGAAGCAACAGTAGAGCTGCAGGTCTACACCCTAGTGCGAGACCACCCATGGGCCCATCGCCTTCACAATCACCAGCAAGCTTCAACTCGGTCATGTCTCCTCCTCTCAGCACCACCTCATCAGCATCAAGGGCTCCGTTCCCGAAGCAAGCCCCTGCAGTCTTGCCATCTGTACCTCTTGGCAAGCCTAGAGGCGAGTTGTTGCGCAAGAAGACCATCAACAAGTTTGACATTTCAGAGCCCACTCTTGTGTCATCCACATCAAACATCGATACCGTCGATTTGCCTCCTGGAGCTTCACTCAAGAATGGTATGGACGAGATCTACGCCATCGAGCAGGCTGCAGTAGTTTCCCGTCGACGCAAGTTGTTTGGCTTTGGTAGAGATGGTTCGATGGATAGGNAGAGGACTCCCGACAGTATCACATCACCGCCATTGAATGGATTCAGCTCACCGCCAATGCGATCTATCGTGCCATCATTCGGGTCTCAGGAGCACATGGGTTCGCGCAAGCCTTCTGCTGAGGCTGTCAATTCTCAACATCCCCCACTCCGTGTGAAGCAGAGTTTCGAGACCAGCCGCACAACACATACAACACACACTACCCACACAGCACAAACAGCAGCAAGCAGTGCTCGCTTCGATGCTGTAGGTTCGCCTGTTCTCAATGAGGCAGGCATGTTCTAAACTTAACCCTTGAACGCGATCTGCTCGATCCGATCAATTTATTCTTACTCACGATTTTCCTCTTCATTAATATTCATCATGGGAGGGGACAGAGAGTAGAACTTCTTTTGTTAATAAGCGTAGGGAAATGCGAAAATGAGAGACCATTTTTGCAGGAGTTATCAGGAGCAGAGGAAATGGACCAAAAATGGTGGAGCAAGACATGGGTGTTTAGTTGTTGACCTCTCTTTTGTTGTTTTACTCATGCACGATACCTCTTTACGCAGTTCACTTTTCAATCTACTTTATTCCTCACGAAAGAATGCTTGTGTCCAAATTCAACTTGCTAGGTGAATTGTGTTGATGGAAACCTCCAGACTGATAGAGTGGAACGCGTGGTGGAGCGTGAGAGCGTGTTGGACGTGTCAGGGTGACCCCGGATTTCAGGTTTACCGGCGGGCTTGCCATGTCAACAACCTTTGTTTGTAAATTGTAACGCCAACGTCTTTGATCCTCCTTCTTGCATCAACAAGCAAACATGGCGAACCGCATGCATGCCACGCCTATGGACTTCCAGTATGAGAATGGAACAGGACCTCTAGATGAACGGTCTCCCTTTGCTCAAGTAGGGCGCAACTCACAGCGCAACAACGTCAACACAAACGACAAGAAACGTATGTCTCATGTGCTCGCGTGTGATCAAACCAAGGTCCACTTCGAAGGTGACTAATGATATTGACAGGAANGCTACGCAGTATTTGGATCGCCAAACAAATCGACATTTCCCAGCCTTCGCGAACCCGCTTCTCAGCCACACTTTTTCTCGTCGCCCAAACCTCTGCCTGCTCTACCCCCGTCTATGCGAAACAACCCCTTGTTTTCTACTCCGAGAAAGCTGGACGTTGACGACTTTGCATCTTCTGGCGGCGAGACTCCCAAATCACCCGAGCGCAACGACGTTGATAGTGACGCTACCCCCGACATGAGCCTGAGATCAAAGTTCTCCAACCTGGATACCATGAGCAAACCAGTCTTTACTGCTGGAGGGAAGAAAGAGAAGGAGAAGGAAAAGGATTCGCTGTCACGCCGTCAGAGCTGGTGGAAGGGTTTCAAGGACCTGGCTTCATCACCACGTTCAAAGGATGACTATGCCCACGGAGCCGAGCGCAAAATTATGAAGAGAAGGAGCAAGGAACAGCAGGCTCTGGTACCTCGAAGAGACAGCATCTCAGACTCTGAGACAGAACCAAAGCAGCTTCAAGTCAGCAAGTCACGCAAGGTCAGCAGCAAGCAGGATAAGAGCCTGGACAAGCCCGCGTCACCGCAAGAGCACCGACAACAACAGCAACCTCCGAATAAGCACTGGACTGTGACCTTGTTCGAGTTCATCACCGCACACCCAACATTACCACACGTCCTCTCCTTCTACGCGCAACTACTTCTCAACATGTTCCTTATTGGCAGCATAATGTATATTCTGTACAGTTTTTGGGCCACCATTCGTGGTGATGTCGACAAGAAGACAAGCATCGCTGTGGCCGAGGTTCTTTCACAGATGGCCGCTTGCGCAAGGGATTACAAACAAAATCACTGCGATCAAGACCCTCGCCCACCAAAACTGGAGAATGCTTGCAGCAATTGGGAGCAGTGTATGGATCAGAACNCCCATAATGTCGGTCGCGCGAGGATCAGCGCTCATGCCTTTGCCGAAATCTTCAACAGCTTCATCGAGCCCATCTCGTACAAAGCAATGGTAAGCTCCACTTGTACTCTCAATTTGCTGTGGACTGCTCTGACTGACGATTGCGAATAGATTTTCACGGTCCTCTTGATCTTCGTTACCATTGCCGGCTCCAATTTCGCATTCAGCGTCTTCCGCGACAAGGCCGCCGAGAACGCTAGTGCTCAACATCATCACTACTACAACGGTGCTCCTCCACCCACTCCTCAGCACTCCTACAATCCCGCCTTGAAATGGAACAACAACCCATATCAGCAAGGCCAGCAGTTGGGACTTGAGCCAGCCAGCAGCCAGTACGCGGCAGACAGGGAGACATCGCCAGTGAGGAGACTGCAGTTCCGCTGAGCCCCTTTTCTGTTTTTTCTTCTCCTTACACAATCGCACTCCTTCCTCGATAACATGCGGAGGGGTTTTATCGTGAGCTTTTTCTTTGTCTCGACCCTCTCACTCTTCTTTTGGCTTTCTTCTTGTTTACGAAAGTTTCGATATGATAGCAGTCTTCGGTACTAGCGCTTTTCTTTTTGTTGAGAAGGAAGGAGAAAATTCATGTTTTTTTCACCAAAGGCGCGTCTTTGAGATTATGAGCACTATAAAGTCGAACAGCATTTTTGTGTCTGCATTCACATGTCTACCTTCCTCTATCTCTCAGTGGTCAAGTTTGTTTATGTGATGGTTGCAGAAATGCAGAATAGCTGAAGGGAGCAGAGCTGTGCGCCTTGAGAGCCGTTTATCTTGATGGCTCTCTCTGGACCACCCTCCAGTCTCGACACGGTTGTGCACTTTGCATTTTCATGCTGCCGACACTCCTCCAAGCCTCTCTTGCTCCGCCTTGTATGTGTTGATCAAGCAATGAAATACACAGTATCATTGAGAAAACAAGACATGTCCATTGAGAGATTGATAGTCGAGGGCTCTCAATGGATCACACCTATAAAACCTAAACAACGCTGCGTTTTCACAGCTCTATTTGTCCCTCCATAATGTCCTGGGAGCCGAACCTCGTAGCCAATCTCTTGTATGCCCATGACACAGAGTCCAGCAGGACCGAGATAATCGTCCCTTCAGCAAATCCTTTACCACCACATTTGCATATCAGACCGCAGAATCTGCTAAAGCCTGGCCAATTGATCACCCAGCCCTGCTGCTGGAACTCGAGAATGAAACAGAGCATGAACAACTCCATTGGTAAAACTCCAAAAGGCCGACGGGGAGAACGTTTTCGAGGTGAGGTGGAATGTTCTTTGTCTGTTTCTGCTGTATGTTCTTGCTCGTCTGGACGAAATTCGAGCATGTCTCGCACATAGCTTCTGATTACTGGACCATAGTTGCTGCTCAAGAACGAGAGAACTAGAATCATAGCTGGCATGATGAGCCATGCTATAGTAAGAGAAAAACTTATACAGAGGATCNNGAGCGTATGGTCTGCATCCAGCTGGGGTTCGCGGTGCAGGGATTGCAAAGACCGGAGCAGTGTGTAGACATGGTCGTTGTCGTGATATAGTTTTTAAAGACGAGTCTGATATGATGGCTTGATTGTCTGATGACTTGACGACTTGTGATGGGGTACATCGCTGGTTTATATCCCAATATATGTTTGCGGCACGGTTGTGAGTCCTTGCTTCATGCACTCCACAGCGTCTTGGCCAGTATTCATCCGGCGTGTCAAAAATCCCAGCTGCTTCAGCCCAATNCGTCTGTATCCTTCGTACACCAACCTCAGCATCGCTAGCACAATCACTCCTTCAACACATCCCTTAGCTGTTAAGCCTAGGAACTCCTGAAAACTAAGAGGACGGTAGTTCGGGCCTGCCTTTATCTGCTCGTAGAGAACACAAACAAGATGCGGTATCATTGCGATCAGCCCGGTAAGCACTTTCTGAGCATGCATAGTCTTTTGCCTCTGCATAGGAGTTGAAGGTAAATGNATGTTGAAGGACGAGATGAACGTTTCGAAGAGGAGGGCGCCAAGTGGTAAGGCTAATCTCATGCTACTGAGATAGATAATTGCAAGGAAGGCCGCTACAGCTACCTCCCCGTGTGCTGAAGACAGTCACATTGAAGCTGTAGAGTTACACAATACTCTCGCGTAGAATACTGTCTCCAAAGAGAGAGACCTAGCAAAGGCCATTTCAATGGCGAGACTTGTTTTCGAATGGTGACTGTGCATTTTGATAGGCTATAACGGCCTTTATAGCTCGAGTTGGAGAAAGGGTTAGTTGCAAAATGTGACTGTGTTTAGCACACGGCGAGGTACCTGGCATTGTTGCTGTGAGACATGCTCGTTGAAAGGATTGACAGTATCATGTCCATGTTGGAGAGTATTGCAGTTCAGAGTCCAAATTGTCTTCAAGTATTGTTTGTGGCTTGACAGGATGGTGATGGCTGGCAATGACTACTTGATTGTATGATGTATTTCTCGACGTGTTGCGATAATTGATGTCCCGTTCTATTCAGACAGTCGGCACGTCGTCCAGTTCCGATGCAGTTTCTCTGATTCCTTCATGAAGCTTGCCAGATAGCTTCTTCGTCCTGCGTGCTTGATCTGGCATCAATAGCGGTAAGAATTAATAACAATCTTCTCAGAGAACAAGGTAATGTTTATCGAAAAATGGGCTTTTGAGTCATCTCATAGCCATTCTTTCGAGTTTGTCACAATTTGTTGCTCTCACCTCTTTCAAGAATCTTATTGCGAAAGAGCAAAGCCAATCCCAGCACAAAAGCTACATCACACACTATCCTTATGAATCTATGAAGGCTCAAACGCTCTTGCAGAACATGATTAGCAACTAGAAGATCAAGGTACTGATGATGAGTGGCATTGAAGAGTGTCTCGGCTGCGGGAAAGCCGCGTCGTTTGCCTTCTGCTGAATTTTCCCAACAGCAAAAAGCATTTTTCCCGGAAGAACCTTCTCTTTCTCTTTCTCTTTCATCTTACAGACCTTGCGACAAGTATAACACCCGTTCCCAATCAAGAATTCGGCCCATGGTCGTTGCATTGTGGTACAAGGGAAAGAAAGTCCCGAGTGGTGACCGTAGACACCACCAGAGGACCAGACTTTGTTCGTAACACGATATATTGCTTCAAAATTCAGTTCTATGCATCTAATCTGCCTCCTTGGCCAAGTGGTACGGCGTGTCACTCGTAAGAGTTCGATTGAGCTTGATATGACAAGATCCATGGTTCGATTCCGTGAGGAGGCATATCATTTTGCTTTTACTCCAGAGCACATCTTAGTCTGCCTGGATTAAGTCTTTGGTTCAACAAAAACAACAGTTGGCTTCACAAAAATTCAGGCTTCAGTCAGTCCTTTCGCAGTTTGGGATGTTTTTTCTCTGTTCACATTTAATCAATCTCGTGAGATCCAAGATCAGAGCTCCCCCACTGTCATTACATCATGCATCCACGCAGGTGGTTGGTGCAACAACACCTGTTTCCTTGGAATCTCGCACCAACATCCTCCCTTTGTCACTTTCCTATCGTTCCAACAAGAGTGAAACGAAAAATCAGAACAAATGGCAGAAGCAGCAGGGGTCTTGTATGCAGTCGAGCACCTAGTCGAAGGTGGCCTCGCGCTGGCCAAAGGCATTTACGACCCAACTCTCCCACTCAAAGCAACCATCAGACCTATCACTGATGTAGACTTACCACGAGTACATCACAGTATTTCTGAGGTCAAAGGGAGGGCATACATCTTTGGAGGAAAAACGCATGGTAACCAGGTTAGTAACGTTTTGGAGGACATAATCAAGAACGAGATGACTGATAAACTCCAGCTAGCTGACAATGCTATGCACATGATCATTCTTCCTTCCTCAGGTATAGAAAGCACAGATTATCAACGCCTTGAACCGACATCTGCATCTCCACCTGCAAGATATGGTCACAGTACAGCAGTCATAGACGACCAAATCTACATCTTCGGTGGCTCGGACGCGAACGGGCTTCTCAACGAGAAAGGTAAAGTGTGGGTCTTCAACACGGACACGAATTCATGGTCAAGTCTGGATGCTGCTGTGGGAGACGTGCCAAAGGCGAGATATTTTGCAGCTGCTACTGCAAGTACACAGCCTCAGCCTGAGCATCAGAGGACCGATGAGAATGTAGCTCCACAGCTGCCTCCTGATCCGGCGAAGATGGTGCCTGAACCTTTGAGCCCGAGCACGTATGGCACTTTCGTTTTGTTGGGAGGTATATGTGAAGGTGAAGACAGGTAAGTCAACCTTCCGGCCTCATACTCCCTCTTCCCCAAGCCACATGTGCAGCTGCAAAAGGCACGATTATCCTCAGATCTGAGCTTCATCCAAAGAGAGTCGAGACTATGGCGGCTCTCAATGGACACTGCTCTGTTTGTGAACGACATCGTGCATCTCTACAGCTCACATATCGCTTTTGCCGAGCATGAAATGTGTGATGCAGCAGCATACGGAGAGAACCCCTCGCTGTTCATTCCGCTCAAGACAGTCTGGAAGACTGACACCTCGCGATAGTGCAAGCTCAGAATTCTGGACCTTCGACATAGCCTCAAGGACATGGTCTCAACTGCCCTCACCTCCAGCCACATACCTCCCGATCACAAGTCCTAGCATCGCTTTCCACGACAACCGCCTCTACTTGGCCTCAAGAAGCCCAACACACTACCTCGACCTCTCGTTCACCTCCCCATCTTACACCGAGTCTAAAACCACAGGTCCTACTCCTCTGAGTCCTTGGTCTTATCTTTCACCAGACACCCATAAAGTTCCATTTGCTTATCCTGAAGGCTCATCGGCATTGTTACCCATCACCACTGGTCAAGGTCGTAATTACCTTCTTCATATTACACCGCACGCCCTTTCAACTATGCAACTCACGTCCTCATCCACCACAGCAGCGAGCCTCAAAGACCGTGCTCGTGATGCAATCAGCAAGAAGAATGCAACGAATGAATGGGCAGAAGTGCGATACTTCAATGCCGAAGGCGTGATGATACAAGAAGGACAAAACGACAGAGGAATAGGTGGACGAGAGAAGTTCAGCGCAACAAAGGTCAAGGAAATCGATGGTGGGTGTGTTTTCGTGTGGGGAGGAAAGGTCGATGGGAAAGTCAGAGGGGATGGATTGATGATTGAAGTTGAGAAGTGAGGAGAGCATACTTACATCAGCTGCTGGAGAAACAGCAAACTTGACCTCGAGGGTAGCGAAGAATTGAAGCAGAAATATATTGACTGCTGGCAAACGGTTTTTCATTGTCCAATCACAACAGTCGCAGTGGTTTAGTGGTAAAATTCGTGCTTGCCATGCACGAGCCCCGTGTTCGATTCACGGCTGCGACATCTATTTTGTCTTTTGCTGATCAATTGGCTGTGTGATCGCAATCTTTTGGGTACGATTTGTCATAGCAATCGATGCCTCTTATTTTGTGCCTGTTGATGGCTGACAAAGTGCGAGGATATGGAGAAATCGGCGTTTGAGTGGAGTTATGCGCCAGCACTGAATATCGGCGCCCTGCCTCACCCGTGTACTAAAGTATGTAACGCGTATACCCGTAGAAATGCAGAATGGTAATAGAAAACAAGATAGTATCCACTGAGAGGCAACAAGTTATCAATTCTCTGTGGACACGCTCTGATTCTGATAACAACTGTGCCTTTTTATAGTCCAAATTTTGCTCTGAACTATAGTCGGAGTACAGTGAAGTTACAGGCTTTAGTATACGGGGAGGTGATGGAATGATGGAAACAGAAAAATCTGGATGACGAGAACGAACAAAAACAATGCCTCGCTTTATTTCTATTATATCATATTCTATGCCGTTTCTGCGTATCCAAAACAAAAAGGTCTAGGGTATAGCGATTGTGTATAAGGAAGAAAATGAAAAATTGGAGAATCTCATGACTCCTCTTCATGAACACTGGCCCTACGGCCAAAATTCCTGGGTTGTCTTTTCAAGAATGCGCCTACTGCACCAAGATAGCCTTCGTGGCGCAAAAAATATGCTTGTTTATTGCCTTTGCTCCAGAACTTGATAGCAAAGGATAGAGTGTGGATGGTTTGACGGTGGCCGCGGATGAAACTGCCGCCAAAGTAGATGTGCTTGAGGTTGTGTTTTTCTGATTGAAGGTAGGCGATTTGACCGATGTTGTTACTGNNTAGTCGCAATGTTAGTGATATGCAAGCCTGACAGTACCGGAATTGGGATAAGACTAACCTGACTGCGTATAGCAGACTCCGTGAGATGTCTTGAGGTGCAAACATACGACCCTCGCCGATGTCAAACTTGCGATCTGATTGTTGCTTAGCAGCACCTTCTGGTGTTGCCGTGTCGTATCTCTCTGGACCATCCTCGTGTTGTAGTTGTCCGTCCTCGGCATTTTGTTCTGCCTCTCTTTTTCGCTTGAAGACCTTGCCGAATGAACTGGCAATGGTCCTCTCGCTTAATCCAATCTTGTCGTAGCCCATTCCTTGACCGTAAATGTCACCGACCAGCAGATCTACTGTCGAGTTGTCGCCAGCATCGGCCATTGCTAGCATATCATCGAACGTGCGTGCTCCGGTGAGCAGAGAAAGCAGACCCCAGAGGGTACCACCACCGAGTGATGTTCCGCCAATACGTTGGAATTTGGAAGGCCCTTCGACCTTGATCATACTCACACCACTGCCAATGTTGACAAGCAAGTATGGGTATACATCGGCGCGGGCGTCAGTGTAGTGTATAAGGTTGTCTTGGTCCTCGTCGTGGTAGGTAAAGACCTCATTCGGAATCTCAGTGATGAAAAAGTCCAACCCCTGGATCAAGCACTCCATCTCATCCTCTCTCATGACATCAACGCCCAATCTTTCCTTTATGCGATCGTAGTACTTGAAAGCACCACCACCGGTAGCCATGACGCAAAGTTCTGATTGCTTGCCGCCATTGGCTCTCTTCTGCTTCTTTTGCAATTCGCGCATGAACTCAATACACGTATCGATCTTCTCCGTCTCGAAGCGCAANAAGTGTAGACGACCTCCCGGCTCTTTCGCACCAGGCTCGCGTGAGAAGTAGACGACTTTGGCAAGGGAGCCACCAATGTCTGCGGCGACGTGGCTGACGACTGATGTATGATTGGGCAAGCGGATGTCGCGGCGGTCATGCTCATAGCCTTGTTCCTCGGCACTGCTGTCGCTCGCGGGTGATTGGGCTTCGCCATTATCGATTATGTAGGCTCCGCTGACGTTGATCTTGATGGTGCCCGGGTCAACGATACTGTGTTGCATATCCTCGGCCGAGCTCGACACTCGTCGGCGCTTGAGCGGCGGGGGTCGGTCGGTCATTTTGGAAGGGTTATCCAAGGGGCACACGACAGCGAAGGAGCGGGACAAAATGTTGAGTCGATAAGGAAGTTGCGATTGGAAGCTTTGTTTCGACGACTTCGGTGTACCGCGTTCGAGGATAGTCGAAGGACGCAGAGGAGAATCTGTTGAACGAAGACAAGTAGGGAAATAAAAGGAGAAGACAGAATCAAGTGGAATAATGGTTCGACTTGTCTCGCAGTTGCTTGCTCACATAATTAAACAAAGTCCGTGTCCCCCACTAGACCGCTGCGGGGCCGAAAGAGACCCTGGGGATGATGATATCCACCGTGAGGTCTTTTCATAACGAACGTCTAGCACTCTTTGACGATTAGAATATGATCTTTGATTCATATCGTGAATGAGTCCAAGAGATGATAGTAGAAAGCCACGATTCATTGGGTACTCAGACATCATATCTATTGCCAACTGAGATAAACCAATGCTTGGTGTAGGGACGAGAATCATGACAACAATCATAAGAAAGAACAGCGTGGATGTGTGGGATAAGAAGTCTTGCAGCGCTCGCTATCATTTCTTTCGCCGTTACCGAGTGGCCGAGGTCGAAGCTTCCGCAAGCCCATTTCCACCAACATGAACATGTTCATCAGTCATCATACTCGGTAATGTCTCGTGTGCTGCTTTCTATCGACACGAGATCTTGTTCAAAAGGTCAATCTTGTCGAATAGGAGATGATGTTCATTAAGTACTATTGTTTATCACTTTTCCCATTACACGCGAGCCCCTATTGTGTGCCCCATGTCCTTTTGATGCTATGCAAACCAGCAAATGTTACCACCACAACTTCTCGAACCCACTCTGAACTAATACGTGCGTCGTCTAGTCGTACAAAGCCTCGAAAAAGTAGATGACACCGAAGACCAGGAAAGCAATTGCTCCACCCAAAGTCACNTGTGATGATGTTAGCTTCAGCATATCACGTAAAGTATTCAAAATGTACTTACCAACTCTCAAGCTCACTCTACCTGCAAGAGCACGTCCACCAATGACAGCAATACCAGTGCAGATCATGTGGCCTGCAATAGCACCACCTGTCACCCACCAGTAATCTTGTCCAGCAGCCATTGCAATGGTAGCGATTTGAGATCGGTCACCCCATTCGCCAAGGAAGGTCATTACAAAGGTCTGCACCCATGCAGGAGAAAGTAGAAGACCAAGAAGGTTGTTGAGTCCGCCAAGCGCATTGCTCACTGAAGCTTTTGCTCCACGTCCAGATGGCGAGGGTGATCTTGAATCGTCAGAAAGAGGAGATTGTGCGCGTGCAGGGAACTTGTGACGCGAGCCAGATCTTCTGCCGCGACCAGCTTCGAGAACGTATGGTGAGACTGACGATCTTCTGCGGCCTTCTTTGCGGGCGAGATGTTCCTTCTCTTCCAGCTCAGCTTCAACCTCTTGCATTTCCTCCCCAACACCAGCGTCCTTGTCCATCTCAAGACCTTCGCGCAACAGCTTACCTCCGAAGATCAGGAAAAGACCAGCTGCGAGCCATGCTGTCAGGTGCTTGGGAAGAAGTGTTGGGACTGCGTGTCCAAGTACGGCAGAAAGTACAGTCATGGCAATCAGAGCAGAGAATGCGCCAGAGAAAACAACGAGCTGCGGGTGACGCATGGCCATGAGCGCGGCAACCAGGAAAGTTTTGTCGCCAATCTCGGAGAAAATGATCATGGTGAAGGCAAGAACGAAGGAATGGAAAGGCTGGATAATGCCTTCAGTTTCATCCCCAAGAACTGGTGCTGGTTTTTTGCCTTCGGTGTAGGGTAATGTGTCCTTGAGTGTAGAGCCCACAGTATGGCTCAGTGTCCCGGAAGATCCAGTGTCCGCTGGTGCTGCGTGTGCAAATGTGTCCTTCTTTTCAGATTCCAACTCTGCAGCTTTCTTGGGAGCAGGTGCCGGGATATCGTGAGGCTTTTCAGGGAGGTCGGCCGGTTTCTGTCATGCTCTGTTAGTCGCGCGCTAGGTAGTTCGGATCGCCATGCGTACCTCAAGTCCTTGAGCACCCTTGGGCTTTCCGACAGGGTTGATCGCGTCCTTGGCCTTTTCTGGCGAATCCTTGCTGATGCGCTCCTCCTCGCTATGAGGAAGCGGAGGTGCTTCTTTTGGTGTCTCTGGCTTCTTCTCAGCCTTCTCGCCAGTCTGACCTTGTGCTGCCTTCTCTTTCTTGTTTCTCTCGGTGACGCCTCCCTCGGTCCCAGTAGTGCCCTCCTTGGGGACAAGACGGTTCACATCATCCATAACTCCGTCATTCTTCTCCGGGATGGAATCGAAATCTGTGGCATCGCTTCCCTTCAACTTTGAAAGGGATGTGGGAAGAGGCTTCACAAGATCCTCAGCGACTGCCGCAGGCTTCTTCTTGTCCTCGGGGGTCGTGTCGACAAACGGTCCAGCATGCGGCTTTCCGTCCAGACCATCTACGGGAGCGTCTTTCGTGCCAACAACTGGCTTTTGTGTTGGAGCACGTGCGTTCGAAGTGGTGATGGCGGTATAGTCCTTTACGGCGCCAGCGACTGGTGCCTTGGCTGCAAGAACTCCATCTTGCGCTTTTGGTTCAATCGCTGCTGAGGAGACAATTGCAGGTAAGAGAAGTAGCAAGAGAGTCGAGGGAGGCGATCGCACTCTCATATTGGCGGATGTCGGTCAAAAGTCCGGATCGTATATGCGACGTAAAGTAGATGTCGGTGGGCTGCTGACGAAAACAGCTCTAGCGTAAGTTTGCTCCGAGTCGCAATGCTCGAGTCTGGAGTGTCACTCAATGAAGTCCGGTATGCAAACGTATAAAGAAGGCAATACAGAAGACGGTAAAGTAAAAGAACAGAAGTGAATACAAGAAAAAAGGGTGAAGATTGAGGCGCAACAGTTGTTTTCAGGGATAACAACGATATATTCTGAGCGCCTCCTTTCTACATTGCCAAGCAAGCTTCGTAATTGTATTGCCCATGCGGCAAACTGGTGAGAAGGCGGCTAGGACACGCGTTGCATGCCTGTCTCGAAAATCAGGCCTTGTAGTAGCATTCATCTTTGTGCAGTTTCAATCATTGCATACGAGCTCAACGCATCCGAGATTGTCAGCGGACCTTGACAGGCGAGCTCTGTGTTGGTTTCAGCTTCATTCAGAGCTTGGTCCGATGTTCAATGAAATGTTGCATAACGTGAAAACAATCTCTCTTTGAGCACCAACTCAACAACACGTGCTTTTCATACACAACTTGCTGCACTTCTGTTGAATGAATTAGTTCCTACCATGCCGTTTTGTGTATATGAAGAGGCTGTCAGCGGATAGGCAATGCCAGGCGGACGGAACCATTGCAAATAAGTGACACTCTCAACATGGAGCACAGACCATGATCCAGTACCATTGCAAAACATGGTGGTCTAGGGTATAAGGGTTTCTTCATGTGGAGATCAATGCTGACCCTAAACTTAAGCCTAACCCCCAATCCTGACCCCAAGACAAAACCTAACCCTCTGTATCTGACCGTGAACAAGATGTGACAGAGTGATTTTCAGGTTGTTAGGACTTGGGTGAGGACTTGATCAGTCACGTGTTGCGGGATGTGAAAATCTCTTCGCGCCAGACGCGGTTGTCTGTTCTACAAATAAACCACAACACAACAATCAACCATCCTTGACTCCGCGCCCTGCAAGATGGCGCGCACCAGGANNAACCAGAGCCGAGAGCCTAGCGTCGAGCCACGATTAGTATACCGCCAGGCCAGGACTGTAGGTGAAGCGACAGCCGGGAACGTTCGTCAGGCCCAACAACGTAAGTCATACTTGCTCGCAGCGATACGCGTGTGTAATCTGTCATCAACGTGATTCTGAACTATCGGTCTCTACTTGTATCACGTGCCATGTCGACTGACCTGTGGTCTAGAGCTCGAACCTCTGTCCGAAGGTCCTAGTGAGATGGCAGATAACGACGGCCGTCAACAGTCGGCAGCATCTGAAGATGAGGAGGTCTTCGACTCCGACTCTGCACCGATAGAAACATTCTCTCAGACTGAACTACAGCGACTCAACCCTGTCGAAATGGAAAGCAATTTGGAAGAGCTCAACGGACGAGCCAGAAGACTTCTTGGTAGCTTCAAAACGCGCACCGGACAACCCAACGAGCTACAGTCACTCATCCGCGAATTGCAAGATCCTGGTTCAAATCAAAGACAGAGGGCAGATGATTGCCGGGATGCACTGGAACTCACGCGAGCAGTGTTCACTCGTGGTGCAGAATACCTCAAACTTGACACCATTCTTCGCGGCTTACTAAGAAAACGAAACACACAGCCATTGCCTAAAGCCCCCCGTCCCTGGAGACCAGATGATGTGATCTGCAAAGCAAACCTAGCTATCTTCGTGCATACCATCATGACACAGTCTTTCAACGAAGGTCTCGTAGATGCCTTGTTGTCTCTCGACGAGTCCTTCCCCTCACTTTTTGTGGTTGGATTCACTAGACCTGGAGCTCGAATGCAGGCAGGCTACAGCGCACTTATCAAAGCCACATTCGAATTCGCTCTGGAACTTAGGACGCAAGTACTTGCTGGTATGCTCAATGCTGACATGTCTCAAGATGCAGCTGCAGAGATGATCCAGAACGCAATGCTCAATTTCAACAAGAATCCCGATAAGTATGGGGATGACTTGGAAGGCGTTCTGAGTCTCCAAACTGCTCTTTCAAGCAACAGCCATGCTAAAGGATGGGACATGCTCGACCCTCATGCTTTTGGAACCAACGAGTATGCCGACATGATCATGCAACGCACTGAAGAGATCAGACGACTACTTTTCAGTGATATCGAAAATCCCTTCGCTAGCACGTCGGAGAGCTTGGAATCTGGCTTGACCAAATTGCGAGAAGAATTCCCTCAAGAGCGATTCCGGAAACACCTCTTGCGATGGACCAACTTGCGCCTCTCGGAGATCGATAGTAGTATCAAAAGATTAGGTGGTATAGATGAGATTGTCACTGCCTTGGAGGATGAAATCAGGCAACGTCTTGACAATCCAGACGCATACAACGATGAGCATCTGAATCGGGCAGCATCACCAAGCCTCGAATTTAATGCTCCTGCGATACAAAACAATGCTCCATCAGTACCAACTTCAAGGTAACGACACTCTTACGAAGCAAAGGCTTTAGTCTGACAGTTCAGCAGCACAAAGGTAGCGGCAAGACCATCGGTTCTATTCAGGGGCCGTCCAAACACATCTGCTAGTGCTCCAACACCCTCTACTGCACGTGAAGAGCCGATCCCAAACACAGCACAAAACGACGATCAAGTCGCTGACGACGCAACGTCATCCGCTGTTCTGACACAGGACCGTCCCAGATTGACCGGGAAGCTGGCGAGAGCAAACGCACTTGACGAACAAGAACGTCGAAAACGGAGATTCATCGATGAACAAGCCAATGGTGTGAGAATCGTCGATGACATACTCAATTCTCAGCCTTCGGTTAGACAAGAGATGGAAATTGACCCAGTACTGGAGGGCGATGTGCAAGACCCGAGTGAGGATGAGGGCTTTCAAGTAGACCAGCGTAATCTTGCTGGTCGCAGACCTGCACCAAGACCATCAGCTGCGCTCAGACAAACCCCAGCTCCAACAGAGAGCACACAGCCAGCACGTCGACGCGACAGGACTCCTGAGCATGACAGTCCAAACAAGCGACAGCGAAGAAACCCTGGTCAGTCCATCGTAACCTTTCGATCTACTGGAGACGATGTTGTAGACTCCTTCAATCTCGCATCTGTACGCACTCGGCAGATCAATGCAGCGACCATCAAACCACAAAGAGGACGCAAACCATGGACTGACGATGAAGTGGGAGCTCTACTCAGATTGATCAGAGATCACGGTATATCCTTCGCTTTCATCAAGAGCATCGATGAAGGGAAGGTCAATCCAGAACTCGAGGATCGAACAGCCGAAGACATTCGCTTCAAAGCTAGAGAGATCAAGGTCAAATTCTTAATGTAAGTGCCATGTTCCAAGAAAGTTTATGCTTGTGCTTGTACTGATATGATTATAGTGNCTAAGCGGCCCCTTCCTGAGAACTTGGGACACGTCCCCTTGGGCAAGAAGGAGATTGAGAAAGTCAAGCAGCACGTCCCCTACGAGCAGAAACCTCTACGTGCGCGTGCTCGCATCGCTTCGATTTCGCCGAGACCATCAGCAGAGTAGTGATGCTGCTTCGAACAGTGTCGGTGTAACCTAGTTGCTCAGATTCCCATTTCTATTCAATTTCCTACTGTCTAATGCTGCTCATCATGATGAAAGTAACCAATTATGATTACACAATTGCTTTATCACTCCGAACTGAGTTCATTGTTGCACATTCGCGACACGCGACTCTTATGCTACCTAACATCTGTAAATGTGACTGTGTTCCGGCATGTTTCATCCTAAACACGAAGTCGCTGTTCAAAGAAATGAATACTCTATGTATAAAGATGGATCGGACTTCACTTGATGTAGCGTCAAGAAGGTCCGATAAGACTCTGAAATCACTTGTACATGCAAAAAAAGAACTTTCAAATTGGTATTTACATAAAACAAATATACAAGGGTCCTGGATGCAGTGCATCTACAGCTTGGCAAACACAGTGCCAACAACACCGCCCATCTCAACCAGAGTGCTCTTGTTCTTGACCCAGGCCTCGAGACCCTTGCGGCCGTTCTCCACGCCTACACCACTGAGCTTCCAACCACCTACAGGCATCTCGGCAGGACTCTCGCCCCAAGTGTTGACCCATGTAATGCCAGCCTGCAATTGAGCAACAATCTTGTGGGCGGCATTGATATCGTTTGAAAAGACACCGGCAGCCAAACCCATGGGTGTGTCGTTTGCACGCTTGACAACCTCATCCACGCTATCGTAGGCAAGAATCGACATGACCGGGCCGAAGATTTCTTCCTTCACAATACGCATGTCATCAGTGCAGTTTGTAAAAATCGTGGGCTTGACCCAGAAACCTTCTGAACTTGCACCAGGGATGGTTGGCTTCTCGGGGCCACCGTAGATGAGCTTGGCCTTGTCTTCTTGCACGCCATGTCGGACGTAGTCGAGCACTTTATGGTAGTGGACTTTGCTGACCAGGGGACCGAAGTTGGTGTTCATGTCCATGACATCGCCGGCACGGACGTATTCCATCTTCTGGAGAAGGCGCTTCTCAAATGCAGGAACCATTTTCCTGGGTACGAAGACGCGGGTGCCGTTTGTGCAGACTTGGCCAGTGGAGAAGAAGTTTGCCATCATGGCACCATCAACGGCGTTTTCGATGGGGCAGTCAGGCAAGATTATTAGAGGTGACTTGCCGCCAAGCTCCATAGTCACATATTTCATGTTGCCAGCGGCAGACCCGGCGACCTTCATACCGGTGCTGACTTGGCCTGTAAAGCTGACTTTTGCAATCTTGGGGTGAGCAGTCAGGTATGCTCCGACATCTCCAGCTCCTTGGACAACATTAAAGACACCAGCGGGTACACCAGCTTCGGTATAGATCTCAGCCAGAATTTGAGCGTGTAGAGGAGTGAACTCCGAAGGCTTGTAGACCATGCAGTTTCCCGCCGCCAAGCAAGGTGCGGACTTCCACAGTGCGATCTGAATAGGGTAGTTCCAAGCACCGATACCTGCGCAGACACCCAGAGCATTCTTGGTGGTATATACCCATGCGTCTGGACGCAGTTGAGTGGTTTCGCCATTCAAACCGCCAGAAGCAACCATGTTAGCAAAGTACTCGAGCACGTCGGCACCAGTGACGACATCCACGGTGCTGGTCTCTGAGAATGGTTTGCCAGTATCATGAGTTTCGACCTTTGCAATCTCATCATTGCGTTCTCGAAGAAGTGCGACGGCCTTCAGTAGAATCCGTGATCTTTCAATCGGAGGAGTGCTTGACCATGATGGAAAAGCTGATTGTGCAGAAGCAATAGCTTTGTCGATGTCGGCGTGTGAAGCAACTTGAACTTCTCCCACTGGTTTTGCGGTTGCTGGATCCACAGTCTCAAATGTTGAGTGGGAAGTTGCGTTCTGACGCTTGCCGTCGTAGTATAGCTGGCGGAGGGGGTAAGTCATGGCTGTTTGTTGAATGATTGTGGCTCCTTGTCTCGAGAAGATCGGATAGGGCTATATTGAAGATGATAAATAATGCCAATACCTTGCTGATAAGGCACGGACAGTTACCCTAGGTTTAACACCGCACTTGACGTGAGAGGAGCTCGGAGAGTGTCACATAGGTGTGACGCTCGGTCGAAAAGGTGATCATGGCGGGCCTGCTCTCCAAGCTAGTTTCGTTGACAACCATCGCCATCGCAATAACTTCAGCGTTCCAATCTCGAGCACACCATAGGGCAAGCCACAATCGGAGTGCTTACTCTGCACCATGCTCGAATCAATCCATGCCAACCACTTCCGCACGAGCAAGCTACTGATAGGCCAACTCGATAATCAAGCATAATAGACACAAGGAACTGCATACCCTTTTGGCAGCAAACATCTCCTTCTCTATTCCTGAGCAACACCCTCGAGAGGTTTGCTGATCGACGCTGCAGAGTCAGCCCTAATCTAGGCCAAGGCGAGCGCGTCGTGGAGGGGAAATTTTGAGAACGCGACGCAGCAAAGCACCCTGGTGAAACCGTAAACTTTGACCAACGCATGAATCGAGGACTGCCCGTTGTCAATCATAAGATCCAAGATACTGAGGGCGCCAGCCGCTATCGCGTGGGGCTAACTTATTCTTACCTTGGAGACAGATCGGACTCAGGCTGTAGGTACTCGTACGGTAGCTAGCTACACGGTTGGCTGTTGCAGGAGCTGCTTTGCATCGAAGCTTTATATACGGTACCCCCGCTGTCAATCGCCTTTTGTGCCCTCCTTCCTTTCTGTACATCTGTTTTCCCCTTGTCGTGTCCCGACATCTTTTAGAGGACATACTTAGCCCATAATGACTACTACACACCTTCCTTCGAACCCCGAGAACCACTTTGATTTTGTCATTGTTGGTGGCGGAACTGCAGGATGCGTTATCGCCAGTCGTCTCTCCGACTACCTTCCCAACAAGAAGGTCCTTTTAATCGAGGCTGGTCCCTCGGATTTCATGGACAACAGAGTTCTGCTTCTCAAGGACTGGTTGAACCTCCTTGGTGGTGAACTCGATTACGACTATGGTACTACCGAGCAACCCATGGGCAACTCTCATATCCGCCACTCTCGTGCAAAGGTGCTTGGTGGTTGCTCCTCGCACAACACCCTTATCTCGTTCCGTCCCTTCGAGTACGATTGCAAGCGTTGGGAAGCTCAGGGTTGCAAGGGATGGAACTTCAAGACTTTCATGCGTCTTCTGGATAACATCAGAAACTCGGTCCAGCCTGTTCACGAGAGACACCGTAACCAACTCTGCCTTGACTGGGTTGACTCGTGCTCTACTGCTATGGACATTCCCGTCATCCACGACTTCAACAAGGAAATCAAGTCAAAGGGTGCTTTGAGACAGGGTGTTGGTTTCTTCTCTGTTTCTTACAACCCTGACAATGGTCACAGAAGCAGTGCTTCGGTTGCCTACATTCACCCCATCCTTCGTGGTGACGAGAAGAGACCTAACTTGACCGTCTTGACCAACGCATGGGTCAGCAAGGTCAACGTCAAGGGCGACAAGGTCACTGGTGTCAACGTTACTCTCCAGGATGGCTCCAAGTACACCCTCAACTCCAAGGCCGAGACCATTCTCTGCGCTGGTGCCGTTGACACTCCCCGTCTCATGCTTCTGTCTGGTCTCGGGCCCAAGAAGCAGCTCGAGGAGCTCAAGATCCCCGTTGTCAAGGACATTCCTGGTGTTGGAGAGAACCTGCTCGACCACCCCGAGACCATCATCATGTGGGAGTTGAACAAGCCCGTTCCTAGCAACCAGACCACCATGGACTCTGACGCTGGTATCTTCCTCCGTCGCGAGGCCCCTGATGCCGCTGGCGGCGACGGCGACATTGCAGACATCATGATGCACTGCTACCAAATCCCCTTCTGCCTGAACACCGCTCGGTAACTAACCCCCAAGTTCTCTCACCCAAATCTCAATTTTCTAACTTCAAAAACACAGTNNCTCGGCTACGACAGCCCCATCGATGCCTTCTGCATGACCCCCAACATCCCCCGTCCCCGCTCCCGTGGTCGCCTCTACCTCACCTCCGCCGACCCTACCATCAAACCCGCCCTCGACTTCCGTTACTTCACCGACCCGGAAGGCTACGACGCAGCCACCATCGTCGCCGGCTTCAAAGCCGCCAGAAAGATTGCCACACAAGCGCCCTTCAGCGACTGGATCAAGAGAGAAGTTGCTCCAGGCCCTAAGGTCACCACCGACGAGCAGCTTTCCGAGTATGGACGCAGAGCAGCACACACTGTGTACCACCCTGCCGGTACCACCAAGATGGGTGATGTCAGCAAGGATGAGTTTGCGGTTGTGGATCACACACTCAAGGTTCGCGGGCTCAAGGGCATTAGAATTGCGGACGCAGGTGTTTTCCCAGAGATGCCTACTATCAACCCCATGCTTACTGTTTTGGCCATTGGCGAGCGTGCTGCTGAGATGATTGCCGAAACCCATGGCTGGAAGGGTTCGGAGAGACAGAAGCTGTAAAAAGCTTGTTGGATGCTTGAGAGAAGGGAAATGTTTTTGTGTATAACCGCAGAAGGGAGAGATATCCGCAGACAAGGCGCAAGGAAAGGTGTTCTTAGAAAATTCAATATATACCCCAAAGTCAATTTTTGTTCAAACCAGTTTCCATACACCAATATGAGCTGAAATAAATCTGTGTGTTCTTCAATCACCTGCTGGCAAGAGATGTTTTCTTTGATCACAAGAGTGCAAAAGATTTAAGAGCAGATTCGATGCATCCATTGCTTGCTCTAGGCATCTACGATAAACAATGTCGCAAGTCAACAAAACGTCTTATTCTGATTCTTGCAGAGCACAGGCTCGCTTCTGTTAGTCCGTCGACTACGGCCTCCCTCTTGGTTTCCGCAGTTCTGTGGTCGCAGCTACTATTGCAAGCTGTCATGGCGCGAGCTAGAGACGACATGATCAAATGGTCTAGATCTAGAGATAGGAGCTCTGTTGGCAATTGCCCACGGGAAGTGATTCATGTCAGACCTGAACTGAGATGAGCATGCCAAACATCGTAGTGCGTTGCGCGATACGGCTGACGCGTTCGTAAAGATAGGCGATGCCAGCTGTGCGAAAGTTGTGGCGTTTTGATATAGATTAGGCAGCCCAAACGCAGAAACTCTTCACCTCTTTGCGCCAGCAGGGATATCATAGCCTCTTGTCATAAAGTCTGCACTCTTGCCTAGTGGCTTACTTTGATCTCTAGAAGAGAAAAGCGTCTTGAGATTGTCATTGTGCATTCTTCTCTTCTTTGCTTCTTGCTCTTGCAGGACCTTTGCTGTCAGAGCAGCAGTTGAAGAGTTGTTGATGTTATTGGCATGTTTCTTGTCAGTGACGGGAACCAGAGCGGGAGCCTCATCAACCTCTTCGCGCTTCTTGCGCTTCTTTGATTCCTTTGCGGCTTTCTTGAGAGAATGGGCAAGGCCCTTTTCCTTCAACGTCTTGGCGCGCAGGCTCAGGCGAGCAATATCTTCTGGTGTGGTAGGCAGGATGGGGATAATGTCGTTAGAGGCGTACTCTTGATCGCAAGTAACGCAACGCTCTCCCGAGACTTCTTTAATGGCAGTGGCGGAGAAGGCATGGCCGCAGGGAACGAGGTAGACGGCCTTTTCGCCAGGGCCGAGACGGTCGCCAGTGACAGGACATTTCCAAGCATTTTTTGCATCCTTTCCAGCATTGGTATCGACATCGAACTTGACTTCTACGACGTCTTTCAGACTCTTGACTGAGCCTTGAAGTACTGTGTCGGCGTCGGCTTTGGTGGTGGTGGCATGGTCGGAGGGCAGTAGATACTCGATGATGGACTCTTTGTTGTATAATTTGCCATTTGAATCCGAGACGATGGGCGGTGAGAGAGGTTTGCGAGTGATGGGATCGGTAGACCAGCCGTATTCTTGACGTTCGTGTTGCGACTGCTTGATCTCGGTGGTGGTGGGGTCGCGGGCGGCTTCCTTGACCAGCTCGCGTCTCGTCGGGATACTGCCACCGTCGTTACCCATGGTTTCGGTCGCTTGTCGCAAAGGAAGAGGGTGATGGAGTAATGAAGGATGGATGTCCGATCGGATTAGCCAAGGAGAGTGGGACGGGTGAGCTGCGAAGCCGTTCCGATCTGGCTTGAAGTTGCAAGTTGCATGTGATGGGCCATGACGTTGACATGGACATTGACACTTATCGACGAGGCGGCAACCACCATGACATTGACATTGCCACGAACATAGACGACAAAGGACATGGATACTCGGACGATACGATAGCTGCTTTTCAGAAATATCAGCATGAGCGCCCCTCTGCTCTTTGGGCGCACCTGCGCCAAACACGCCTTCCAAAAGCAGTCCAACGCCCTTCCCTTCTTCAAGTCCCAGGCCACTCGCTCCTTCACCTTTACTGCTAGAACATACAACCGCCCACGATTCTTTCAAAATGCTCGTCAATTCTTTAGAAGTCCACCTCCGCCCATCAAAGGTGGCACTCTTTGCCTCGCCGCTCTCTCGCCCGCTGCTTTCGTATCGCTGAGCGAGAATGAGGAGTCTGATGATGGCTTGACAGGCGAGCAACAGATGCTCGAAGCTTCGAGGAAAGAGTTGGCTGAGCAGGTCCCTCGCTGGGTCGGGGGTTCAAAATCCCTCCGTAAGGGCCTTTGGAAGTTCCTCGATACTTGGATCATTGAACCCATTGCCACTGGCTTCAGACTACTACATTTGATCTTCATTTTTGTTCCTGTCATTGTCACCGTGCCCGTCATATGGTTCGGCCAAAGACAACCCGACAGGGACAATGAGAGGTCCGGAACACTCTGGTGGTACGCTTTCTTGGTAAATGGCATGGAGAGAGCCGGTGCTGCCTTCATCAAGGTATCCAATCACAATCTTGCGAATCGCTCGACATCGACTAACTTGTTGTGTAGCNTCGGCCAATGGGCTGCTTCCAGAACCGACATCTTCCCAACCCAGATGTGCGCCATCATGTCTGCTCTCCACTCCAATGCTCCTGCCCACTCGCTCCGTCACACTAAGAAGACCATCGAGCGCGCTTTCGGCATGAAATTCGAAGACATCTTTGAGGAATTTGATGAGAAACCATTGGGTGTTGGTGCCATAGCACAGGTCTACAAAGCAAAACTGAAGCCTGATATTGCTGTTAGCGAGGATCTCGATCCTCATGGCTCCGACACTTACCGCGAGAAGATAAAGAGAGGTGTTGATATTACCTTGAAGAGCACGCCACAAAGAACACCTTCCAAATACGTTGCCATCAAGGTTCTTCATCCCAAGATCGAGCGCATCGTGCGCAGAGACTTGAAGATCATGGGTTTCATGGCTTCTATCATCAACCTGATTCCTACCATGGAGTGGCTTTCTTTCCCTGATGAAGTCGAACAGTTTGGCGAGATGATGCGCTTGCAGCTTGACCTTCGTATCGAGGCCGCCAACTTGACCATCTTCCGGAAGAACTTCCGCAACCGTACCACCGCTTGGTTCCCTTACCCCTACACACAATATACTTCTCGTCAGGTTTTGGTAGAAGAGTTCGCCCAGGGTATTCCACTTGAGGACTTTTTGCAAAACGGCGGTGGTGTCTTCCAGAAGGAAATCGCAGACGAAGGTCTTGATGCCTTCCTTCACATGCTCTTGATCGACAACTTCATCCACGCCGATCTGCATCCCGGAAACATCATGGTTCGCTTCTACAAACCTGCTCAGATTGACGCAGGTAGCTTCTTCAGCAGACCAAAGCCCGATCCCAAACAATCGACGGACGTGACGGAAGAAGTTCTCGAACGTCTAAGGCCGCACAGAAAGTCCAAGGACGACTGGAGTCGGACATTAGACCAGATCGATCGCGAGGGTTACCGTCCCCAACTCATCTTCATCGATACTGGTCTGGTCACTGAACTGAATGGCATCAACCGCCGCAACTTCCTCGATCTGTTCAAGTCTGTCGCCGAATTTGATGGTTACAAAGCAGGACATCTGATGGTGGAGCGCTGTCGCCAACCATCCGCTGTCATCGACAAAGAAGTCTTTGCCCTTCGTATGCAACATCTGGTGCTAGGTGTCAAGAGCCGCACGTTTGCTCTCGGAAATATCAAGATCGGCGACATCTTGAACGAAGTATTGAGCATGGTTCGCGGCCACCATGTCAGACTCGAAGGCGATTTTGTCAACGTAGTGTTGAGTATCCTCCTCCTCGAAGGCATTGGCCGCAGCTTAAATCCCGAATTGGACTTGTTCTCTGGGTTCGTAGACATTGGATCTTCTTTGCTCTTTGAGGATTGGTAAGCTGACTTGTATGTAGGGNCTCTTCCCATCTTGAGACAACTAGGTACCTCCGGAGGTGCAGGCAACATGCTCAAGGGAGGCGATCTTTCAATGATCAAAGTGTGGGCTGGCCTCGAGGCGAGAAAGTTCATGCAGGCCAGTGTTGAGAGTGTCGAGTCGTTGGTCGCTCATGACCAATTGTCTCCTAATATATAAAGCGGGTGAAATGCATCTTCTCTTTTTCTTTCTCAACAAGAGATTCGAGCTCGCATTTTAAAGCAGCAAGCTTGCTTTGTATGTTGTCTGCGTATAGATACTCCCGCGAAGAGTAATGTCAAGTGGTCATTCTTCTCTCAATAGAGAAACAGAGGGAGAAGAGGAACTAACGGTAGAAACCAGTGGCTGACAGTGGCACCCTGGTCGTGTCAGCTTTTGTCAATAAATGGCAACAACCATGGCCTTTTGTCATGATTGCAGACAGGCTCTGTCATGAGAGGGCAGTATAATGTATTCAATTCGCTGCTTTGCTGGATTTCATGATAATCTTGTTGCTAATTAGACCACTCGTGAAGCTCAACCATTTTGAGGCTAACACCAACAAGAACAACCATTAAAGCTATCCTTAAGCGAGCGATGACTACGTCCCACCACTTCTACGCGCCAGCCATGGCAGTGATCTCCTTCTCAACTCTCTTTGCTGTCTCAGAGTCTTCAGTCTCTGCATGTTCCGTATCATCAACAGGACTCCTATCTAACGCATGCTTAAAGACTGGACTCTGCTCAAGCACTTTCCAATCCAAAACCATGTACGCATTCTGCTTTGACAGCCTGACCTCTTCAGACCCACGTATACTGACTTCTTGAGCATAAGACTGCAGTCGTGATGCCAGGTCTGAAGTGGCAGAGGAAGAGTTATGGTGGTCGATCAAGATGTTGACGAGATTGTAAGCATCTTGGATCGCGTGATTGAGGCCTTGTCCACGNGTCTAAGTTTCTGCTTTTCAGTATTGTACTTCTGTGAATGTTTTGATTTTTGTGTTGTGCTTACGAGGTGGCATGGCGTGTGCAGCATCGCCAGCTAGGACGACTTTTCCATCTCTACAGTCCCATTCTTTAGTCTCCCAACAGCCCAATTCCTCGAATCTAACGTCTAGATCGTTGTCTAAACAGTCAAAGGCAGATTTGAATGGTTCACAGAGGAGACTGCCTCTACGTTTGAGTTCCGTGAGGCGAGAGCGAGGGTTAGAGAAAGAGGAACGCGAGCCTAGCCAGCCAGAGACCATCTGGAAGGACCAGGTGGAAGGATCCTGTGAGGAATCACCTTGTAGTACNTGCTGATGATCAGATCAGATTGCAATAGCATTGTGCTAGGGAGACTTACTGGATAGCAGACAGAACAGGTCTGGATGTAAGCATACACTCCATGCTGCATATCATGAGTCTTTTGAGAAGCAATCCATAGAGCTCAATAACAACTCACCAGGATGTGCAGACCTCAGAAACAAAGCCTTCTCTTTGTCTCCAGGTTGAAAGGTCACGTTCGTATGTATGACGTTTTCTAGCGGCTTGACAGCAGCGTCTGCTTCGCTGAAAAGGAGTTTGCGTACAGCAGAGCGCGATCCGTCTGCACCGACGACCAGTGACCCTGTTTCCTCGGCTCCATTGGCAAAAACAGCAGTTACAGTGTTGTCATTGTTGTAACGCAGGTCACTCAGAGAGTGATCGTACTGTGACCCGTTAGCATGTTGCCCTGAAGCACTCACGATAGAGTCGGGCGTAAGCATCACCTTCACGTCTATACCCTCAGCCACGAGTGCCCTCAATCTCCTTTTAGACACTCGAACGATTTTGCCCTTGACAGGGAGCTCCTTCATAACCTCTCCAGTCAAGGCATTGTACATGCGCATACAATTGAGAGGAGGCTGTGACCAATCTAGTGAAGGATCAACATATGCTTCGTGGATCCTCGAGGATAGATTATCAGGCAGTAGCGATTGAAGAAGGGGTATGGACCAATGCAATCCCATCGACCACTCTCGAGGGCGAGAAGAGGCGTTCGGCTCGTGATCGAAGATTGCATAAGGTATGTTTGCCTACATCTTGAAGTGAGCTTGTCATCAATACCAAACGTATGAGGCCTAAAGCAGTGGGGTTTGAAGCAATGTAGATCATGAGGATGTCTCTTCATGTGCTAGAGTCTGCACCACGAAAGCCATGTAATGCGCAATAGTCTCAAGAAGCAGGGTAGCGTCAGTCGAGATCAATCAAGTCTTGGCCACATCGCATATCTTGAGTAATTGTGCCGTTTGTTGTAGCTCAAGCAACGTTCCCTGATGATATACGAGAGGGTCGAAGCTCTAATACGCGGAGAAGTAGGAAGGATGTAGATCCTGATTCGTGCGACGAGGAATGTCGGCCTTACTTTCTGTAGTCCATGCGCAATCGCAAGTCCAGTCACGCCTGATAGAGGCACACATGAGTCAGCGATTATGGCCATATAGTCTCATGCGTGTGATATAAAGATGATACCAGCTCCAATGATTAGGACGCGAGCTACATCCTTGGTCTCTGTATTGGGTCCCATGGTGATGGAGCTCGCTCGGGTGTGATAACGTATTTACCGTGTGATGAACCTGAAACCAAGAAGTATAGTCCCGAGGCAATGGATGCGGCAAGAGAAAGGGGAACAGGAACAAGGCGAAGAGAAATGCAGTTGAGGAACAACTGGCCATTTGAAGTTTTTGTAGTTTCTCATCGAGAAAAGTGGCCAATCAAGCAAAACAGAACTGCCAGAGCCGCACTTGCCGTATATTATTGATGGTCAATCTCGACCGTGAGCTTCGGGCCGTGTGGTAACAATATTGAAAATTGGCGGCATGATGCGCCTCCATACAGAAGCCACGATGCAGTGACACATGTCAGACAAGCAGGTTACCGCTAGACCATACCACGCCACACCAATCACGCAGAATACTTCTCGTGTAATATGAGCGCTCGCTCGGCTCCCTGCATCCCCCTCTTTCTTGACACTGATCGACCTACTACAGTAACCGCACTTTGACGTACGCCAGTCCTCTGGGACCCGCTGACCATACCCACTTAATCGATGGTTCGCACAATACAAATGGAGGAGTGTCACCGCGATGAACTTGGGGACCTTTTGCGACAAAGTACGCAGTAAGCACAAAGAGAGAAAGAGCCAACATCCACGCTGGCAGCTTGAGTCACGACACGACACTCCACAGCCGAACCCGCGCGTGCCGCTGCATCCAGTAGCCGGACGATCATTGCATGCTCGCACCGACCTCCTACAAGGCTAGCGAATGGTTCACCAGACAAGCGAGACGAGACGGACATTGCAAGAACTCCAAGGAAATCCTCAGATATCATAAGATCTTGTCACTGGACTCAAGGTTGTGAAGAGGAAGAACAAAGGCATAAAAAAGTATGACGCTCGACATGGCAGCACATGAAAACAGCTGCTCGATGGCTTCAAGCAATTATATCCAGGACGTTGAACCTCACAATCAAAACACCATCCCCACTCAGTCTGAGGACGAAAATAGTGAGGTAGATGGGGACACTGTAGGTCGATTCTCAGTAACGCCGTTGATATATACTCTACTGAAGCCTGACAATAGGGCTCATCTGCTAGCAACTATGGCAGCTCGGGATCTGCAAGTTATTGCAGCACCATTCGCAGTGATGCTGAAGATTACTACTGGGAGAATGGTCGGAGATACCACTCAATGGGTGGTGGACGATATCTGCTCCCAAACGACGACACAGAACTGGATCGGGAAGATATGAAGCACCACATGTGGACCTTAGTCCTCGAAGGAGATCTTCACCTGGCTCCCCTAGGTGACAGTCCGCAGAAGATACTCGACGTCGGAACGGGATCAGGTATCTGGGCAATGCAAGCAGCGGACAGGTATCCGTCAGCCGAGATTATAGGTTTCGACATTTCGCCCGTCCAACCAAGCTGGGTACCACCGAACCTGGTCTTCGAGGTAGATGATCTCGAACAAGAATGGCTGTGGGGAGCAGGAAAGTTCGACTTCGTGCATTGCAGATTCATGTTCATGTCTGTGTTGGACTGGCCAGCAATGCTCGCACAAGCGTATCAAGCACTCAAGCCTGGCGGTTACATTGAGTTATCTGAACTTGATTTGAATCCTGTGCCAGCAGTCAAGGGCAAACCGAGCCCACCACTTATTGATAAGTGGTTCGGCATTCAAGGTAAAATCCTAGCANAANAGGGATACAACATGCGTATCGCATCACATTTCAAGCAGATGCTTCTGGACGCAGGATTCGAAGACGTGGTAGAGGTCGTGAGGCCAGTGCCGTGGGGGCTGTGGTCATCAGACAAGCGACTCAGGGCGATCGGATATTGGCATGTTGGTGAGTATGATTACATGGCGAGAAAATGGGCCTCAATCCGCTGATTCCAGTGCANNGAACAACTCAAAATGGGGTTACAGGGCATCACAATGGCGTCGCTGACTAGGGCAGGGTGGTCAGTGGCAGAAGTAGAAGTGTTTCTGGCTGGGTTGCGCAAAGAGATGAAGGACGCCAAATGGCAGATCCAAGATCAAGCGTAAGTCGACAAGTACAGGTCATTGAAGCACCAACTCATGACAAACAGGTACATTGTATACGGCAGAAAAGCAGGCTGAATAGCGTCATGATGGATGGGTGGTTCGATGGATAAATAATGGGAGAGGTTGATGAAAAGTGGTGACGATGATTGGTAGAGGTGGTCTGTGCAGTCGGTGGTTGTTGCACCAGCAACAGAAGGGTGTTTACAGTCGTCCAAATCTTTCCGCCCAAGCNTTGTTGTACAGTCTATAGTCGACAGTCGAGCTGCTTCACATTCCACCCACCTAGCTATCAGCATCAATACTCTCACACACACTATGGCGTCGCCTTCACGCTCAGGCGGCACAATGCACGCCCCAGTCACATCACCCTTCAAGTTCCTCATGGGTTCATCACACAGCGCCCCCGACATGTCGGTTAATGCCCTGGTCGACCGCTTCACCACCCTCGAGGTCAAGGATCGTGACGAAGACAGCGCAAAGCGCACAGTACGACGATTGGAAGCCGCTCTGAGGAGAGCAGAGATGGCCCGCGAGGAGGCAGAGACCGAAGCTACGAGCTTGCGCGACGAGCTCAGAGAGCAGCGAGACATGGCCGAAGAGCGTCTGCGCGAAAAGACTGACNTTGCGCCAGAGGCTGGACGAGTACGAGGTATGCAATACGTCCTCCTCCTCAGACTCCAACATGCACACGACTGACCCATCACAACAGAAAAAGTACGAAAAGGCCAAGGAGCGCTTCAAGCAGCAAAAGTTAAGCACGAAGAACAACTGCGCAAGATGCAAAGGGAGTACATGGAGCGTGAGAAGCTGCACTGGAGACAACAGCAACAACTGCAAGAAGAGGCCGACTGGGAGAAGAAATTGCGCGCCGATTCGAACGACCTGATCGCTTTCCTCGAAATCGACCACATCGTCGCTCTCCAAACAATCAAGGACAAGCACCTCGAGCTTCTCGCAAACCAACAACGCACCACACCTCAAGTCCAGCCTCGCGAAGACCTGATCGACGACTTCGACATCGAGATTGACACACCCAAGAAGCAAGAAGACGAGCCAATGCCCGAAGCACCTTCCGAGCCCGCTCAAAACGACTATGCTGTCGAAGACACTCCCGAGCCAGAGACAACCCATACCCGCACATCTCACACACCTGTCCGCAGCCACTCTAGCACGCCAGTCGCTCACGACTCACCTCAAAACACCACAACTCCCATGCCCCCAACAACCAGCACGAAACAAACCGTCCTGGTGCCCATAAACTTCAACGACGACGAAGAAGACNCCTCCTCAACCAGCGACAAAGAAAACTCCCTGCCTCTGCTCCAACCACCACGTACACCCCTTCCCTCCTCTCGTACCGTCAGCGCACCTCCTCACCATCTCAAAACGCCCTTGACTGTTTCTTGCTCGACACCAGCAATGCACCCGAACATTCCCGATTTCTTGAATACGCCTATTGATAGGGAAGCCGCGCTTGCAGCAATCAGGGAGAGGAGAGGTAGAGCTAGGAGCAATGGAGCTGCTAATATGGCTACTCCGAGACGACTAGGCAGAGATGCATCCGCACCTCCCGGAGCTGGAGCTGTTGGATCGAGATCTAAGAGTCGTGGTCCTTGATCATTCTGTCGAGAAGATACTTCTTTGTACATGTTTCTTTACCTCCTCCACACATCGACTTGCGAGTTTGGAGAACAGGTTCTTTGGTCTTGTTTCGTACGTTCAGAGGAGATTTTGTTTCTTGTCAGCATAGCGTGCTTTTGGGAGATGGGAAAACAAAGGGTTGGACGGTTTGTCGTTTTTGGGTTCTTCTTTCTGCTGTACCTTGTAGTAATGACTTCCGAAACATTGCAGTATTCTTTCTTGCTTGAATTAAAGAACCTCAATACGGATACATCAAGGCGCTGCAACCCACAAAGAGGACTACGATACAAGATTATCAGCATGTACATGTCGTCGACGATGATAATGATGTGTGGCCAAAATTAAGTCATGTTAGTGTGGCACGCGACATGCTTATAGTGTTTCTTGAACATAACTCTCATAGATGTTTACAAGGCAAGGTGGTTAGGGACGAAGAAAAAGTTGATGAATTTTGCTTTTGCATTCTCGACATGAGGCTAGCCCTGTTGCATAGCGACCAGATCGTTAAGAAGAAAAGGAAAAAGAGAAACGCCCTGTGTCTTTTCCAGCCCTGTTAGACTACACACGGAACGATGCACCTCTTCCCGGGTAATGTTGTTTTGATCATCTCACGTCCAGAAGAGAGAAAAGGTCGAAAAGAAAAGATGCGACAAAGCAGCACTGAAACAATGTGGAGAAAAAGAGACGAGCTTTTGCCATTTCTTTTCGTTGTAATTGTCTTTTTTCGAACCAACAAATCCTCTCCCTCCCTTGCAGCCTGCCCAGGCGATACGTTTATCGGTTGGACTTGGCGACACGCTCGAGCTCATCCTTCTTCTTGATGGCGTACGAGTTGGAAGAACCCTTGGCGGCGTTGATGAGCTCCTCAGCAAGGCACTCAGCAACAGACTTGATGTTGCGGAAAGCGGCCTCACGGGCACCGATGGTCAGGAGGGCAATGGCCTGGTTGACACGGCGGAGGGGAGAGACATCGACGGCCTGGCGACGGACGGTACCGGCGGAACCGATACGGGTGGAGTCTTCGCGGGGACCGCAGTTGACGATGGCGTCGACGGCGATCTGGATGGGGTTCTGGTCGGTCATGATGTGGATCTGTAGTGGGTGTTAGCTTGTCTGCGAGACAAGAGTCGACACAGCCGACTAGCTCGAGATTGTACGCACGATCTCGAAGGCGTGGGCGACGATGCGGACGGCCATGATCTTCTTTCCGTTGTTGCGGCCGTTCATCATGAGGGCGTTGGTGAGACGCTCAATGATGGGGCACTGGGCCTTGCGGAATCTCTTGGAGGCGTAACGGCCAGCAGAGTGGGGGAGGTAGACGGGCTGACGGATCTGGATGTAGTCGCTGAGGTATGAGGGTCAGCCAAGTGCTTGCGCGTGCCGATACTTCCTCTGCCTCGAAGGTGCGTCTGTTGCCAGTCTGTATGGTCTGGTATGGTATGGTATCACAAACATAAGTTTGCGCGCCGTGTCTCTCTTTCAAGACCTGCGCCAATGTCCAACTCTTTCGTGTCCAGCTCTTCCTTTCCAATTCCAGACTGACAATGACCATCCTGGCGTCGCAGAGGTTTGCGCAGACTCACGTCAAAGAGATATCTCTGATCTCGACATCCTCGTAGGTCCACTTGTTGAACAGCTTGACGCTGCCAATCTCCTGGGCGACATCCTTGGGCAGGACGGGGTAGCCCTGGGGCTGCTCGACTTCGATTTCTCCGGCGTCAGACATGTTGGCGATGTGATGAGGGAGGGGTGGAAATGGGCGAAATTGTCGAGATGGTCGCTGTTCGTCAGTCGCTAAAGCAGATTCTACGCAAATTCTGCTGCCGAGTGTGGACTCGCTAGAATCTCGGAAGTTGCCATCGACCGCTCTTGCCAAGCATTTTACACTGGCGAGGTTCGTCAAGCCTGGCCCGCTCGAGCCTCCGACTTCACCGGCTGCGACCACTCGCACGTCAGTGCTCGCCCTCGTCATCTTTTATTACTCTCATTCCACTTCGTGTTCAATCGATTACTCGGGATCAATTGTAGTTGGATTTGGTATTGTCTGCCTGCAAATATAATGTGTGCAGCTGCTCGATTTCTTGAATGGCTGCTCTGAAATTGTCATCCCCGTTGAGGCGTCGAGATGCGAGCAAGACAGTGCAAAGTAAAAGGTCTGCGATTTTCCGCCATGCTCCTTAAATCACAACGTGCCGATCGAGACTATGCCGTCTCTTGCGAGATTAATCGTAGCCTCTTAGGCACTTGCTATATACGCACCCTGCTTCCTCTCGTGACTCCATCGATGCAGTTTTTCGTCCAGGCCAGGTGCCTACAACTTGCTCCTTCCCTCAATGTCCACTTAGTCTTCAGATATCTCGTGTGAACACACCAAACAACCCCTCCTCATTGATGACCTCTCGACTTCACTACCATGGTTGATCAACCAGGATCCCCAACCAAGAAGTCTCCTGTTCGCAGCGAACATCCTTCAATCCTCGACCTCCAATACCTCAAAGGCCGCGTCTCATGGATTCGAGACGAACTAGATCCTCTTGTCGCTCGGGATGGTCCGGATACCCTACGACCTGATACTGTCATCATTCTCTTCAAATTCTTTGAGCAGTTACGCACATGTCAATTAACTCAAGAAGCTATCCGCGACTCCCGCATACACCTGGCCCTCATCGAGATTTCTAGGCGTGCTACCAGATGGCCGGTCAGACTTATTGAAGAAGCCGAAGAAATTATTATCAAATGGGAGTCCAAGTGGGGCTCACTCTCAAACATCAAGGTCAATCTTTACGATACAGGCGGAAGATTACATGGCATCAGCACTCCCGAGGATATCCAACGAAAATTGCTACTCAACAAATGGTCGCGCAAAGAGACCGCATGGGTCAACCCAAACTTAGCGAGGCGAAATGGAGACCTTGGTTTTCTACCAGGAGAGTGAGTATAGCTTTTCATGCTTCTTGATATTTCTAACAAGTCTTCTAGCTGGTGGATTAACACCATGTTTGCATATCACGACGGCATCATTGCCAACCCATCATCAGATAGTGGTGTCACCACCTGTTATACACAAGCATACGCCTTGCTTTTGGCGGATAATGACGAGCTGGAATGTACAGATCCAGCACACTTCACATACCGCTCGTCTTCAGGTGATGTTAGACGGTACCACCTTTGCGCCGGGACGCTGGCCTCAAGACGGCCCATTCGTGTGCTGCGAAGTCATACTTTACGGAGCTTCTTCGCTCCACGTGCTGGCGTCAGATATGATGGGCTTTACAAGGTCTCTGGATGGCGCATTACTCAGGATCCCAAGACGAAAGAGATCCACTATAACATATCCTTCGATCGTCTGCCTTCGGAGCCATCACTTGGTCCGGTGCTAGAACACCCGACTGCGGAAGAACTAGATGACTACCGTGAATACAAACGCATCCGAAAAGATATCCGAAAAAATCGCAACCTTTTGCGTCACGGTCTGCGATTCGGTGCTTCCAACACCGCTTCCAATTCGACTCAGGACCATGTTTCAATATCAAAGAAGACTGACAGTCATGACACCATAAAGACTATACAAAAATCGGTTGCTCGGAGGAGACCCAGCTCGCTGTCCCTCCAAATCTCAGCTTCCGAGCCTCCTTCTTCTGATCGGAACGTGCCAACGAAGTCTGAAGGAAACCCTTTCTTTNCCAGCTCAGCACCTGATGACAACCCCTTCTTCTCTGGTGGTCTGGACTCGCAAACCGGTCTTGGCAAGATCAACACGCTGCGTCCAGATATGATCAACTATGCACCTGTGCTACAAGCCGCCTCTGATGCTGGTGCGGCCATCGATCCATTCTTTGCAAACGCTTTAGAAGAGCAAGCATCGAAGAGGGCAGCTGCTTTTAGATTGAGTATCAGCCCACCGACATCTCCACGGTCAGTGAAATCGATGAGCCTCAATCTCGGTGGTAGGAAACCGATGGTTGGATTCATTAGTACGATTCACGAGGCAGATGAGCAGAAAAGCGATTCGTACACGAGGCGAGACTCACAAAGCCCGGTGCTTTCCAAAGGCTGAGAACTGTGTCTGCTCATTTCTATTCATCTCTACTTTATACCCACGGCGATATTGATACCCTACAGCTTGAGTTTCGTCCTAAAAGCATTTTCTTTTTTCTTCCATGCCTTCGCCGTTTCAAGATAAAAGTTGCGTCAATAGATACATGATCACCAAGAGAGACCTCTCAATCCATACGTATATGCTGTCCCACGCTGCCTGTGTAAAAAACAGGTTTCGCTAAGGTGATTTTGTGTTCGTTCAGTCGTATGCTAGGGGCGACCCTGACCTTCCACCGAAAACCGCGTTGCTCGGCAAAAGTCTCCGCGCAACATAGTTCAGTATCAACAAACATTTGATGTCGACAGTTCCGCATCCATATCGCAACTTCGCTTGCCTTTGAGCTGTCTTTTTTTTTCGTCATAGCTATGGATGTTACCGAACTAATAGAATGTAAGATCAATTTTTCCATACTTTATTCATTCTCCATGCACACCCCCTTTCAAGAAAAGAATCAACCCGCGGCTGGGGAGACAAAAACATTATGGTTCGTGTACACGGCCAATATTTTATGTTTGGCTGAGTGCAGAAGAAACTCCTGGGATCATGCATGCGCTCATCCTATGTGTGGTTGCAACACCATCCTGTGTGAAGACAACTTATGGCTAGCTGCTCTTCCTCGCCTTTCTTAGAAGAATGCCACCCTTACCTTCTATACATCCATATCTCCACCGCAATTGAGTACTCGAGATTGAGAGCTGACATCTAGATTCCAGCAACAACACATGCCTCGCCATCACCAGATGGCCATTACATTGCTGGTCTAACTCCCGACCACCTCTATGTTTATTACACGGCAACTCTGACCATTGCGTCTTCATTTCCACTTGACAATTCGAACGTCCCAACAACTCGATCTGCTGAAACACCCGCAATACATTGGACACCATGTTCGCTTTCTATCATTCTTCAGACCAGCAGTTATGTGTCACTCTACAGCCTAGCGAATACAGCTAGCAGGGTGAGGATTGCCAATGGAAGCGCCAGCTTGGGTAGAATAGCAAGTGTCGATGTTTTTGGTGATAATGTTTTTGTAGTGTGGGAATTTGGCAGAGTCGGTATCTTTGAGGTTTCGAGGGGTCGAGTCACAGAGGTTGGTGAACTGAAGACTGGCATTGGAAGCTTGAAATCTGCATGGGGAGTCAGGAGAGTCAAGGGTAGAGCTGAAGGTGTGTTCTTTTGTTTTGCTTTGGATACATGTGGAAACTGCAGCTAACAGTCACAGNTACTTGCCATGTTGTGTCGCACTTCAGCAACGGATGTTTTGTCCTTGATATTGGCTTCGTCGACTACGCCTTTCACGACCATCAATGTACCGACAACCGATGCTCAATCATTAGCTTGGAGCCCATCAGGTAAATGGTTGAGCATACTAGACACACCATTGAGCGCGCCAAACTCCGCCTTGCACATATGTACCGCAGACGGCAACTTCTATCGCAGTTATCCTCCCACGGGTTCTGTACCCACTGAGGAGACTTATGCATTAGGTCCTCTGCGTCAAGAATGGGGATCCAAACATCTTGCTCTCGCCAATGCAGATGGTAGCATCACTCTCCTCTCTACAACCACCTTCTCTCCAGTATGTACCTTTGAACCATGGACAATGGCTGAAGACGACATCTCAGCCGTATACCGCGAACAAGTAAGCGGCAAAGGCGACCGCAACTGGACTTATCTAGGCAACGGCGACGACACTACGTCTCAACTTCTAGCATCTTACTCGCCAGCCATTGAGATGAAATTCGATGCAGCTGGTAAATATGTTGCTTTCCGACTCGAGGCGTTCCCGGAAAGCGTGGTTGTTTGGAAGATTCCCTCATCTAAGCCTATCTTCGCCTCTACCTCCCATGATACCGAGCGAGAACTAGAAAACAACGAGGACCAAAATACCTCGATATTGGTTTTACACCATCATACCACTGTCAAGAAGCTTCAATGGCATCCTACAATCTCTGGTCTTTTGCTATCGCACACAGAAGACAACCAGGTCTACCTGTCCTCGACCACAGGCGAGACAAACGCACCACTACACCTCTCTCATCCCTTTTCCACCCACGCAGCATCTTCGTCAACTTCTTCTACTCCACCTACCGACCTTTTGAGTGTCCATTGGGTAGCCTCCACCATCCTCATCACAACCAAAAAACGCGGCTGGGTCATCGCATACCCCTTCGGTGCACCCTCGGCTCCTTCGTCACCAGTTCAACCCAAATCCTCGGCTGGGACGGATGGAAAGGAAGATCACGATGGGCAAGAAGAAGTTAGTGAAGATTCATTGTATGATATACTCAGTGGGCGAACACCGTTGCCTGCACCGAGGATCTCTGATGATTATTTACCAGAGGATTCGGAGGTTGAAGGAGAAGGAGAGGGTGATCGAGATGAGCTCAATGATACGTTCAGAGGCAAGGGCACTGCGGGTACCATCGGGAGTTTTGAGTACTAGAGTAAAAGGAAAACTGGTACAAGGATCTGCAAAGTTGATGACTGCCAAAACCTGTTTCGTGCTTTGATTGCGGTCTCATCTGTCGCCGTTGTTGCATCTTCCCTCTACTCTGTATCTGACGCAATCAACGAATCGAGACAGAAGCACGTAGCAAAGAATGGAAGGAGCGATCGTGTGGCCTCAAAACTCTACCAACTTTTTCAATATCTTCTCCACCTCTCTACCCTGTCATACACCCTTCTAACCCATAATCTCCCCTCTAGACAGAATCTTCACAGGCAAAGGCTTCTTATCCCAAACCAAATGCGTAGTCTGATCCAACCAATCCTTGCTCGCTTCCTCGGCAAGCTTGACATCGAAATGCCAGAGTAAATTCGCCATGATCAATCTCATCTCGTGATATGCCAACGTCAACCCAATACAGTTTCTAGGACCCACTGAGAAGGGTTGGAACACGTCTTTTCTGTCGTTATCGTAGACGGTGGAGTATAGAGGATGGGAAGAGGGTAGCCAGCGTTCGGGGGCAAAGGTATTGGGCGAGGTGAAGTTGGCGGGATGGTGGTAGGCTGCGTAGTGAGGGATGCTGACTTTGACNCTGCAAAGGAGAGGGGGGGTTAGTACACGGTATGAAGATGATGGGAGAAGGTCACCTACGTTTGCTGGAATGAAGTGGCCGCCGATTGTTGCGCCGGTGGGAGGAGTGATTCTTCTGATGCCTTCGGGAACCGCAGGGAACATTCTCATGCCTTCTTCCAGACAGGCAGATAGATACNNTGCAAATGGAGTTCTGATTAGCTCTCTTCTCCCTCTTGTGGTTATCGTCCTTATTGTTTCCCAACTCACAGGCAATCTAGGCAGTGACTCCATGGTAATGTCGTCGATGCTGGTAAAAGCCTCTCTGATCTCTTTGGTCAAGCGATCGAGCACAGGCTTGTTGTTCAACAAATGCCAAGTCAATCCACACAAGCTCGTCGCCGTGGTCTCGGTACCAGCAATCATCAACAAATCGGCGTTAGCATACAACTCATCCATCGTCATCTCTGCACCTTCCTCCTTATGCTTGAGCATCAATCCCAACATGTCGGGTCTTTCTGTCTTCATCTCGAGACGCTTGTTGACCTTATCGACAGTGTTTTGGTAGGAGGAGTCGATGGAGTCTTGGATGTGTTTTGGTATCATCATCGTGGCGAGGCGGAATAGAAGAGGGAAGTATTGGAGGGCGCGAGAGGTACCAGCGAGCCAGATAGAACCGAAGAGTTGGGAGAGCCAGTCTGAGTATTCCATGTTCTCGCAGAGACCGAGAGATTTGCCGAACATCAAATCAGCGATAGTGTCGAANGCTGTGAATTCGATTAGTGTCGTGTTACTTTTATCCCACACTTGGCTCTCTTCTTGACGATAGATAAGCAAGGAGATCAGTACGAGCCAGAATACTGAAATCACTCACGTAACGCAATTGTAAACCTTGGCCATATCGATAGCCTTGTTCTCCTTCATCCTTTCCTCCAATCTTTCAACCATCATACCGGTATACGTTGTCAACATACTTTGCTGCAACTTCAAAGCTCTCTCACCAAACGCAGGTGCCAGCATCTTTCTCTGTCTACCATGATCGGCACCAGCCAAAAGAATCGATCGCTTAGTGTTCTCAGAAAGCGCGTAATTGGTCCAATCCTTGGTCAATTCTGGCTTNTTGAAACCGTAGATGTCNTTCCAAACTGGAGTTATGAAGGAGAGTTCGTTTGGGGCCATACGAACAATAGGCCCGTATTTGAGATGCCATTTGAGGACTGTTTGAGGTTCGTGGCCGTTGATGTTCAACCAGAGGCGAGGGAGAGGAGAGATGGCATTGAGAAAGGGTCCGGGATGCTGCGAGAGTGGGTGCAAATAGAGGTTGTAGATGACCTGAGTTGCAAAATAAAGAACCACTGCAGAGATGGCGAAGATGCCAATGTTCGGCAGATGGTCCAGAAGTGCCATGATGGGCAGGCTTCAGCAAAGACGATGGTGTTGTAGTGCAGTCGTAAAGCGAAGCACAAGAACGATTGGTAATGAGCAGAAGACGCCAGTCAAAGCCTATATAAGTTGACCTACCATGATGATCAAGGCCCCTTCTTCTACCGATACGACCTCAGTGGGGCAGTCGCTCTTTATATACAAGTTGATATATATATTTTCAAGAGATTTTCAGGGTGCTTTGACCAATTTCGTCTTTCTGCTGAGTCTGACCTATCATGGTGGCAGAATATCGACCCCAGTCGGACAGAAGTTGGCCTGCATGAAATTTTGGAGCGATAGTGTGAAGAATAGATTGATGTCTCTAATAGGCGAAGGCGCGAAGGATGCACAGATGTGGGGTTCTCGGTGCAATTGCCAAAATTATCAGAAACACAGAGTCATGTCTGTGACTCTGAACAGAAGGGAGAGAGTCGGAGTGCCTGTTGTAGTGCAAAGATATCAATGGTCTTACAGAGTGTTGAAACTTGGAAGTGCATGAGGCTGGGTAAAACGTGTATCGAGTTCAACGTCATGATTGGCGGGCGGCCTTCCAAGTTCTCCAGAAAGCACCCGTGTGGAGTGAGATAGCCAGGCTGTGTAGAGACAGCGCTTGGCTGCGAGCAGACGGCGCAGTACAGTTCACAGCATGTACGCATAGTTGTGCGTGTAGGCAAAGAGGCTGAGTCAAAGAGCAACAGAAACAAGGAGTAAATAACTGCCAATTATGATGCTGTGGTTGAGACAGAGTTCCTTGTCTGGCCTTGAGAGATAGATAGCATTTCCTTGGCAGTGACGCATTTTTGGTTGAAAGCGCTTGCTCAAAGAAGCACGCCAACCACTTCTTTTCTGGCTCACCAAGTTGCAAAAGCTTCACATATTGATAGGCGCATTCCTTCCCTTTGCTGAAGTCTTGTCCTGATTGCTTGCGAAGAGTGTTTGGATTCGACAAACCACGCGACCTTATATCACCACCATCGCAGGCGTGACGAGCGGCTTATCGGACCCATCTCTCACCCAGATCCGCCGTCATGACCTGGTTTACAGCTCCAACTTCATACCGGCTCAACGCGGCAAATGCCTTGTCAGCAGGAATGGGAGGATTGAAGGAGAGAAGATACACATCGGCCGCCATGGAACTACCTATGATGGCTCTAGGAAATGGTCACACATCACACCCAGACTTTGCCCACTTGGTGCTGCTTGTCTTCGAAGCAGTGCTGGAGGTGGTATGCGTCAGTCTGCCGGGTTACATTGTGGCCAGGCGGGGCATGTTTGATGCAGAAGCTCAGAAAATGGTAGCCAACCTGAACGTTCAACTCTTCACGCCGTGTCTAGTCTTTACCAAGCTCGCCTCGCAACTCAACGCCGACAAGCTCGCCGACCTCGCTGTCATCCCCGTCATCTTCTGCGTCCAGACTCTCGTTTCGTGGATTTGCGCTCGTCTCATGTCCAAGGCCTTTGGTTTCGGTAAGAGACAGACCAACTTCGTCATCGCCATGGGTGTCTTTGGCAACTCCAACTCGCTGCCCATCTCGCTCGTCATTTCGCTCTCCAAGACTCTGAAGGGTCTGCACTGGGACCGTGTCCCTCACGACAACGACAACGAGGTTGCTGCAAGAGGTATTCTCTACCTGCTCATTTTTCAACAACTCGGTCAATTGGTACGCTGGACTTGGGGCTACAATGTTCTGCTCGCTCCAGCTGTCGAGGATACAAAGATTGCCGATGAAGAGAGGGACAACCTGATTGAAGAGGGAAGATACCGCGACGATGTTGACGAAGAAGATTTGGAGCAGGCTTCATCTTCCACAAAGAAGATCAGTGGCTCGGCGTCTGGCACCGACTCTCCTCGCACCGTTTCCTCCATGGGCTCTTCGTCTTCCACTGATGCTACTACAAAGCCGGTTGAGGGTGAAGTCATGGCTACACCTGCCAACGGAAATGTCGTCGGCACTGGACCTGGTAACTTTGCAGGCAATCTTGGTCCTCGTCAGCGCTCAACCGGCCACATGACACAATTCCCCAACTACTCGACTGCTTCGACCGATCACTCCGAAGCTCCCACTGGCATCAAGGCCACCATCTCAAACTTCTTTGCTCGCATTGGTGCTTCGATCAGTTCCTTCTTTAACAACATGTTCGCCAAACTGCCCCCAGGCATGCAGAAGTTCTTGAGCACTGTCTCTCACTACACTGGTCGCTTCTTCAAGGGCGTTTGGGAGTTCATGAACCCTCCTCTCTGGGCAATGGTTGCTGCCTTGATTGTCGCCTCAGTCCCTCAACTCCAGCACACCTTCTTTGCTCCCCACACCTTCGTCTCCAACTCCGTCACCCGCGCCATCCAGCAGAGCGGTGGTGTCGCCGTTCCTTTGATCCTTGTCGTCCTAGGCGCAAACCTTGCCCGTAACACTCTTCCTCAGGAAGAACTCACAACCACTCCTGAAGGCAAGAAGGAAGAACGCAACCTCCTTATCGCTGCCCTCGTCAGCCGCATGCTCCTACCCACCCTAGTCATGGCTCCTTTCCTCGCCATCTTCGCCAAATACGTCCCTGTCAGTATCCTGGACGATCCTATCTTCGTCATTGTCTGCTTCTTGCTCACGGGTGCTCCTTCGGCTCTCCAACTGGCCCAGATCTGCCAACTCAACGGTGTCTTTATGGGTGTCATGTCCAAGTTGTTGGTGCAGAGTTATGTTGTCTGGATCTTGCCCAGCACACTTGTCTTGGTTATGCTTGCTCTCGAGGTTGTCGAATGGGCTGCCTAGGAGACCGAGGACAAAAGTGAATATTGAATCTCTGTATTATAGCCATCCGTCTTTTTTTTGTTGCTGCGTTTTGCGCGTATTATGACATCTTATCTGACCTTCAAGACAACACGGGCGACTAAGATCTTGTGATTTCTTTCTGTGCATGCCTCTTCGTGGTGCCAATCTCGTCGACAGCAGAAGTGCTTGTAATGTAGAGAGACCAACTCTCCACAATCAACCAGACCCAGCATGCGCCAACGTAGCCGTTCAAGAATCGCAACCAAGCCCAAAAAGATAGACCCAATCATGCCGATGCTCACTCAATCTTCTCAATCTTTTCAGCCCTCTACAACCTCGGCGCTTTCCCTTCCATCAGCTCTTCTCCTTCTTCCCACCGCCCACTTCTTTCATGCCAACACTCGACTGGGGAACCATATGATCGACACAGTAATGTGCTGAATTTTCGTAGTATTTTGATTCGATGGACTCTCAGCGGACGTTTGTACCGCGACGTTTTTCGCACTGGCGGAAGTCTTCCTTGCGTTTGTCGCCGCAGGTGTAGCGGCGATAATATTGGATGCACATTCTTGGAGAGTGTGAGGAGGGTGAAATGGGGTTTGGTGATCTTGTCTGGGGAGGTAGATCTTTGACACTTTTTGTATATTGAGGTTTGGCAGGAGAGAATAGAATAGAGAGAGCAGAGGGAGCTGGCAGCAGTTTTGCTGCTTACTACAAGTTTGCTCTCGTTGATATGGTTACTGTTCGGAGATCAGAGAAGGTTGCAGTTGGTGGAAGAATTGTTGGCAAGGCTGAGTAGTGGTGGTTACCTTGCATCGAGACATAGCATGTGACCATGACGAGGCAATGGACAGCGCATCCAGTAGACAGACCCAGATGGATACAACCAGCCGTGAGGACTTGTAGATGAATTCGAGCATTGTCTCGGACAAGACTTGAGCACAAAAAGATGATGAGCGCATCACCTTGATGGACAGGCCGACGCCCAACGCGTGACGCGTTCTCTCATTTCTCGACGTCGACCGACAAGTCAGTCAAACATGCCACCTCCATATCGCCAACCATCCCAAGTAGGCGCCACGGCAGCGACAAAACGTCCTTTCAAACCTCCAGCCATCTCCAAAGGCGGCGCAACCTCTTCATCCAGTGGCAACGCTCCTGCCAGACCTGCTCCAGCAGCTCAGAACCCAACATCCCGAGCGACATCTTCCACAAGACCGCAACCATGGAATGCAAACAAACCCTCAGGCTTTCAAGCTGCCAGCGCTCAGTTCGACAAAGACGACCTTGAAGCCATGCTCATCTCGGACGAAGACGACGACAATGATGATTTCTCTGCCGCACCCACCAGACGGCCTGGTCCACCTACCACCCTAGAACCAGCAGCAAAACGTCAAAAGACTGCGCCGCAATTACCCACACGCTTGCCCTCTCTATCACCGCTATCTTCTGCTGTACAACCTGACCCTCTGCCTCAACCCGCACACGCTTCGGCTGCAGCAATAGGCAGTAAANAAGACGATATACCACTGCTTCCTTCAGCTCTGATAACACGCCTTCTACACGAGAGCTTCGATGACAAGACCACCAAAATAGGCAAAGATGCCAATGCATTGACGGCAAGGTATCTGGATCTGTTCGTCAGAGAGGCAGTGGCTAGAGCTACAGAAGTGGCGAAAGAGAGAAAAGAGATGAGAGAGGCTGGAGGTCAGAAAGTGGATGATGGCGTTTGGCTTGATGTGCAAGATCTCGAAGAGGTGGCGCCGGGATTGGTCTTGGACTTTTGAGGTATTCGGATTGATTGAAGGCAGATTTGGCTCGTACTTGGTTTGGTGCTGGCACAGTTGGCGAGCAAGCATCTCTCTTGGTGGCACATCATAATGCGCATGCGAAACGCCTGTCCGCATAGAAAGTAAAGTGACCCGCTTATACAGAGCATACGTGGTCCTTGTCCTCGACATACCAAGCTATTCACGATATCGACTGGTATGTATGAAGCTACGACGGACATATGTATCTTCATCGACGTTAGCGGCATAGATCCTGACTGCGATGCGTACGTCTTGCGACAAACCCAAGACAGCGAACACGGGAAGTTTCATTGAGTATAAGACATGACAAGAACTCGATCTTTCGACGGCATTAGCACTGGTGATGCACCGACTCTAGATGGAAAAGATGAGGAAAGAGCACACATCAAAGAATAAACGAAACAAGCTGTGTAGGGACATTCAAAATTGTTATAAATCAAAGACAAAAGTTTCATTAGATCGTTGCTCTGCTCTGGCCTTCTTTCCTCTTTCTGCTGCAAACAAGCAGAGTATTTCTGTGCCTGATTTCCTATCTTCCTTCATTCCACATATGCGTTACATTCGTTGGGGCAAGCATTCATTCTACTCCAACTCAACCTTCCTAACACTCTCCCACCCTTCCTCTTCCGCCTCCACAATCTTAGGCACCACAACCCTCAAAACTCCATCCTCGAGTTTGGCACCAATTCTCTCTTCGTCAATCTTAACTCCCTCTTCAAGTTTGATCTCCCGTTCGAACAGACCTACTTCTCTGCGTTCGTCGGTGACGAGACAGTTCATCATGGTCTCGGAGATGTCGGGGCGGGAAACAACACCGGAGATGGTGATGCTGTTGCGCGTGCTGGAGTACGTAACGTCAATCTCGGGCTTTTTGGCGCCGGGCAGGGAGGCGTGGAGGATGTAGCTTGTGGGCGTGCTGAAGAGATCGATGCTGGGTGTGAAGGTGCCGTCGTTGGTGTTGTTGTTGTTGGTGGTGGTGGTGGTGGCGGTTCTTGTTGCCTCTTCGTTGTTCTGGTTGTGGGCGAAGGGGTTGTTGTCGCCAAAGAGGGCGGGTGCAAAGGCTTCAGCTAAGGCGTTGAGATCGAATGGGAAGGCAGGAGGTCCATGGGGATGATGCTGATGACCGCCTCTTCCTCTGGGTCCATGGTGTCCTCTAGGACCGCGTCCTCTACCGCGATGCGGCGAATGATGATGATGGCGGTGAGATCCGCCAAAATGACCAGGTCCGTTGTGGGAAGATGGCTCAGGGTGATGATGCGGCTCTGCTGGGGTCTCAGGAGGAGTATGAGCGGACTCAGAGCGAGCAGGCTCGTCTACATGAGGGTGGTGGAGGCGCGCTTGGCTCCTGCTCAGGTCCGCTGCTATNGGTGGTGGTCGTGAGGATGGTGAGAGTGAGGGAGGACCGGGTGGCCCTTGTCTTCTGGCTCGATGAACCCAGGGGCCAGTCCAGAAATCTTGACCTTGGAAAGGATCAAAGTCGGCAGCAGGACCTCGGCCTTCAGCGAAGGGAGAAGCGCCCTGGTTGTTCTGGAGATTGGCGACAAAGTCCCAGAAGTTGTTGGCGTTGTTCATGTTTCTAGTGTTCGACATGATTGATAAGATGATGATGATGATGATGATGATGATGATGAAGAAAGAAAAGAGAGATAGATGGATGCATACAAACCTACCTTATATGTATACCTACCTTCAAGAGCTTGCAGGCAACAGCATCGAAGACGTGTACACAAAATTGTCACTTCATCAGCCACAACAGCTGTATCTTCCCGTCTATTCGTCCATGGCCATTTCCAATCAACCAGCATGGAAGAGCCTGGAAGACACAAGTTTGTACCACAAGGCGGGGGGAATAGGCAGCTCTGAGCCACGCGTTCGTAGCATTCGCCACAAGGAGGGCAGGTTCGCCCGCTGTTACAGCTGTGGCGTACGTATTTCGCCACAAGAATGAAAAGAGATGTTGGCCAATTGGTTCTCTCATGCTGGCAAAGAATCGATTTGTTTCTTGTAGAGATGACTCAACATCCAATAGATGCTGCCTCGAGAAGGAGATGTTGTCGGAGGACGGAGATGCATTCGGCCGACCAACTCCGACAGAACCTTCTGTATTGATCAGCTGGAGAATGCGTGATTCTTTCAATGTTGAATATGTAAGAGCGAGAATGCAAGAGGTGACGATTATCAGCAGACGACCTTGTCGAATCTACTCCAGAAGATACTCCGAGTATCACGCATGGTCAAAGGTCAGCTTCTATGCCGGTCCGACTTGAAGGCATTCTTAATAGCACCTCTTGGCGACTTGGACAGGACAAGAGTCGAGATCGTTTCGGAAGTGCACGCTTCGTGAATCGTCGGCGTTCTTACCTTCCTTCAGCACCGGCCGTAAATTGATACTTTGTACTTCACCTGTCAAAGGATGCTTCACGTGAAAGAATCGAATCATGATCTTGCCAACTCAGCAATCTTCGATTAATGCGAACAACCTCAAGGTTTCCAGCTCCGAGGGCAGAGATGCATACACAAGCAGGGAAAGAAAGGGCGAGATTTCGAAAAGGCGAGAAGCGCGAGAGAAGGGCCGTCGGAGTGCGCTCCAGAATTCGGTCGAGTGATGTCAAGGGGGCTTCGATGCAATCGGCAGAAAGACAATTCGATGCCCTCGAAGGATTCAAACCCAGAATCGATCTCCTTGTGTCCGAAAAGATATCGGTTTGGTGAGACGCCTCGACCCAATCGTGGCGGTCTTCGTCATGATAGACTTTGCAGTCCATGTGGCCGAGCCATGTGCGTGGTTGATGATGGAGATTTAAGGCTCAAGACAGCGAGCAGCTGGTACTTCTTGCCAGGTACCTTTGATGATCTGCATGTATTCGAGTCAGAAGAAAGACAATCTTTCTATCAGACAACCTTTTATCAATTGTAGGGAAAGTAGGAAGCACAATAAACCCTAAGTTAGGCAACAAGAACAGCTAGATCGCTGTTGCAGTGGTCGGATAAGATGAACAGAATTTGAATCTTTAAACCCATAGCAACTGTACAACGCTGAGATTAGCAGACCCAGACCAGCAACCATCTGTAGCGCAATACACTGCGTCAGTGATCAGAACGACAGTGCGAGACAATAGACAGTCTCCACGATTCGGTTAGTAGAAAGCAATAAATCTAGTTCGGTGAGTTGGGAGATTGCTTTGGCTGAACATGTTCAAGAGTCAAGACACTGCATATCGTACGATTCGAGTGGGAGGGAAGCATCCTACAAGCAAGAATCAATTCAAATCCCGCTGACCAAAACCCAGCCTCCCAGTGTTTCCACGAGTCAACATCCCACCATCATCCCTCTTCTCCCTCCTCTCGTTTGTGTCTGTTCCGGCTCGGTCCTGTTTATTCCTCGTGGCTTGGATGTGTCTCGTGCTTTGTGGGGCTCCTCGTGCCAGCCCAATTCTTTCCAACAGTCAGCAAAGGTGCTCGTGCGAGCTCCTTCCAGCTTTGAACTTGTCCTCAACGACGTTGTTGCCCTCTTCTCCAACACAATGTGTTCGGTCCTTTCCCACATAGACTCCACATGAATGCGTTTTCATTATTCAAAAACAATAGACCCGTGGAGCATCAAATAAAACCACAGAAATAACAATAGAAATCCAACAGTTAATCAATCAAACGATTAAGCGAGCAGAACCTAACCTTGTGGTTTCATAAGCTTTCTCTTCTACTTTTGCTTATCCATGGTGGAGGGCATGGAGAGTCTCGCCGAAAACAACAAGAATATAGACGATCTTCATCATGGAGACTTGGCACCGCTTTTCATGAGACAGCCATGTCATGCCTGTTGGGGATCGTCATGCCAGANNAGCCCGGCTTTGCGACCGTCACTTGCCGACNCCTTTCGTGTTGGGAATTGCTTTGCACGAACCCTGGCAGGGCGTCTCAGCAGATCCAGCGTCATGGCCGAAACAGCGGTCGAAGAAGAAACGTACCCTCCAGTACATGGCAATCAGTGACGATGGACAAGANCAAAATACGAGAAATGCAAGTGCATGGACATGACGAGGAGATGGTTTAGAAGGTGGAAATAATCATGAAATTGCATAGNNTCTAGAAAGAACTCCTCATCCATATGGTATCAACCGGAGAAAGCAACCCAAAACTCCCNNATGTCAAACCAGGCACCAATGCCATGTAGTTGTGATGTTCCAAGAATCTCTGAACGCCATACAGTAAACAAAAACGAAAGAATTAATGGGTCAATGCCCAGTCCCATAAGTGGTATCGGTCGCGAAAAGTAAATAACGTGCTCTGCTGCGACTAGGCGACAGTCAGAGGAGCGAGAAAGGAAGCGCTAAAACGCAGGACCAAGAACTGAGAAGAACGTGGACGCTCAGGCTTGGGAGTGCGTGAAGCTGGCGTGTCGTAGAGTCGATAAGGTCGTTAAATTAGAAGGTGCTCCAGTTCCAGTTGCCGCCAACGGACTGAGCAACGCTGCCGATAGGCTGCTGTTCCTCAGACGACTTCGAGCTGGGGACACCGACGGGCTGAGTGAACATGGTGTCGTTGCTGTCTCTGCTAGTGACACTGTTGTTGCGCGAAGGACGGGCAGCACGCCATGCACGGTAGTCGGTCCAGCAATTGTCGCAAGCACGCTGAAGAGTGCCCTCGGGGTGGAAGCGAGCCTCTTGATCGAGAGGGATGGCATGGGGGCTGTGGCTGCTGCAGAAGATGTCTCCGCAGCGACGGCAGTGATGACGACGGTTGAGCATAGAGAAGGGACGAGCGCATGTAGAGGACTTGCACTGCGCAGCACTGTGATCAGGCTTCCAGTGGTTTCTTGTGGGAGCACCAGTGACGGCACCCTTGGTCTCGGTCCACTCGTCGGAAACGACTCTAGTGATGCTAGCAGGGCCCCAAGGACCAAACGATCTAGAGTCGTCCTCATCAGGGCTGAGAGGAGGAGATGCGAGACTGGCAGGTGCGGCGAATTTGAAACCGTCTCTGGACATGTCCATGCTGCTGTGTGCGCTGCGAGGAGGGGTCAAGGACGTTTGTCTTGAACCAGGCAGCTCTGTGGGGCGCAGGACAGCAGGGATGTAGAGGGGCTGCTTTGGTTGGCGGACCTGCTTGGCGTGCATGTATGCGGAGCGGCTGGAGGGAGAAACATTGTTTGAAGGAGGAGTGGTCGAATCGCCATACTGAGGCTGGCTAGTGTAGATGTAGGTGGGCGACTGCAGAGGTTGAGGATGCTGGGCGAAAGTGGTGGCCATGTTGAATATTGGTCGTGTGTTAAGTCGCTCTAGAACATAAATTTACGTGGAGGGTGGTCGTTAAGTATCCAGTTGTTGGATGTCGTGGGTTGTGGGGAGATGCAAGGAGAGATGCCAAATGTCGGTCTGTCCAGGGGGATACGATGAATGCACAAGGGCTGCAAGATAAGAGAGATAGCTGGCCAACCAGGTACGTGGACAGTCTACTGCAAGGTGCAAGGCTACCCGGGTTTCAGGTATGTCGCGTGAGAAAGGGGATGAGTAGATAAGAGTAAGTAACAAGAGTTGGTGGCTGTGGTATGTAGTGTAGCACACGATGACCTTCCAGACAAGACAGGTGGGCGAGATGGGCTATGTATATGAGCCGCTCGCGTGCAGCGTAACAGTTGACTGGGGCAGATGGGGGCTTGACACGGCACGCCTAGCCTGGCGAGCGCAACAAGGTTTGAGTTACGTCCGGCGCTATGGGTCTTTAGGTGGATAATCGAGGACCCTTGGCTGGTGCGGCGAAGGGACCAAAAGCGACTCAGAGCGCTGCGAGCAGAGCCAACGGCCGACCGAGATTCAACGATGTCAACTGTGAGCGACCGTGTGCTGGGGGAGATAGAGCGGCGCGCCGTGCTGACCACAGATTATGACATCCCCGCCTTCTACTCTGATGCATTTGTTGCCTGCTCATCCTCTGCAAGGCAAGCAAAATCGAGCAAAGTAAGCAGCGCACTTTTCCACACACCGCTGCAGCAAAGCAATACTCATCAAATCTTAATTCATTTCCTTCTGGCCACAGAGCCAAAAGATCCACGACACTTCTTTGCTTCTGGCGGGTCAGCATCATCCTGCATGATGGCCGTCCGTTCTATTCCGCTTTGGGAGCGCTCGACTCAGTCGCAGAGATAAGCCAGTTTGCTCTGATTGGCTCGTTTACACTGTCGCATGCTCGACCCTATCTTCTCAACAAGCTCGTAGCCGCTACGTCTTTAGCATCTCTAGTGGCGGCCGCCGCTTCTCATGTGAACTCACGGTCCGGCAGGACTGAGGAAGCGCTGCAAGCCTTCCGACTCGACCGCGTATATCTGCTATTCGTGGTTGGCTGCACCGCCGCGCACCAACTCGCAACCTGTAACGGTCCCCAGTCTTCGCTGCCTTCTTCAGCCATGCCTTCTGGCGCGGAAGCACCATCTTGCAGCCGCGGGATCTGAGTCGTCCGTTGCATCTCTTTCAACTCCTTCTAACCAGGTTTCATGTGAAGATATCACTTGCTTTATCGCGTGTAACAGGTCTGGATGGGATGTTTCCTTCTTGAGCCCCGTCNGAGGATCGCCTTGGCTCGTGTTTNCCACT